TAATGCAAAACAGCGAATAATCCATTGTTAAAACTATACAAATTTTAGAACTTGATAAAAAAAAAAAAAGGATAAAAAAATCTGTTTATGAAGCTACGTTTGAAACGTTCAGTTCTGATGGCTGGAAGGATGAAGGGATGACCTCTGTTCCGCAGCAATCTGGACCGCGTAAGTGTTCAACTGATGGCCGGCCATCAAAAGAGGTTGTGGTAAAACTTTTCCACAGTCTTCTATGAGATATTTTTAAAATTTGTGTAACTGGTTTAACCGAAGCGGAACGCCCTATTTTGGAATTTATCTATCCTTACATGATATTTATTTTAGCTGACAAGGGGCACCCAACGAGGATATAGTTCAAAACCACTTAACAAAGCATTGTTGAACGTATTTTAGTATTTAAACGGTATATATAGGCATATTTTTATCCCCTAAAAGCTTTTCATCTTTTCGGATTTCCTAGCTGAAAGTCTAGTGATCCGAAAATTATAGGGATCAAAACTTACCTTTTCGAAAATTTCAGCCAGGAAAAGGCTCCCGAAAATTCTAGGTGGCCTTTTTTAGGGTCAAAATCCGTTAAAAATTGGTAATTATACCATTTTGTAGATGTTCGAAAATCCTAGGAGAGGCAGGCAAGCAAGAAATTTTACAATGAATGTTCCGAAAATTCTAGATCTCAAATCGTCTTCCGAACAGATATTTTCCGAAAATTGTCGTTGGGTGCCCCTGGCTGACGAAACCCCAAACTTAGTTGGCATATAGAACGACCGATCGCAAGGAATGAGCGCTGCAATTCTAATGAAATAGATCAAACAACTGATATGGGGCGTGAGCTTGTTAAACCAAAACAACTGAAAATGAGAAGGAAGTATTAAATATTTTGCACCCTGCATGATAACCAGAGGAATGGCATAATAATTCTTTTTTTAACGCACGATCGATAATAAGTTCATCAGTACTAATACAATATTAACTTAGTAACGTGAGTTAGAGAGGAAGTGAACTTTCCATTTTCGTTTTCTATTTCTTTTTTCTTTTTTTTGGGGGGGGGGGGCTTCCTGAGAAGTCAAGAGTTTTAGTTTCCTTAGCGAACACTAACCAGAAAGAGAAAAATTCTTTCTAAGTTAGTTGCCTACAGCCATGATTTGAATTCGACTACATTAACTTGGTTTAGGTGGAGCTGAACCAAACCAAGACCCCTATCACTTGCCTTAGGGCGCTTCATTTTCAGAACTGACCGGCCAGACCCTTCCCTTCGTAATGACAATTAAACTATTAATTTTATCAAAACTCTCCAGCCAGATCGGTAAAATCCTAAATAGTGCGCAGGAAGGCGATGGTTTTTCAGCAAAAGCCCTGGAAAAAAGCCGATTTCATTGTCAAAATGACTGGTCCAGTAATGGTCCGGCCGGCCAGTTCAAGACCAGTTCACTAAACCACACCAAAAGTTTAGCACAGGTTGGCCGAGGCCTAGCTTGCTGAAAAGTTAGATGACAAATAAATCAATATTCATTGAAAACCGACAAACTGAAATCAGATGAAACTGCTAAAAAAAAGGTTATATTTTTGCATCGTTGCAGTCCTTAAAATAAGAACGTTGAGGCTGACAATTAACGTTTTTGAGCGCAGGGCGGACTGGCAGGCTCCAGTTGTCTGAAGGGCGGTTATCGCTAACCCGGGGTTAAATCTTGATCCTTGTTCAAATTTATTTGATTCAAAATCGTTTCTTCAATTAATTTTCTCTCGTCATTCAAGAGCGTCCAGACATCAACTTGTAGACAAAAGTAATAACAAGGAATTGCTTTGTGAGCGTGCAGATTTGAAGTCTAATGTTGGGCTTATTCTGCGTTATCTTAATCCTGTTTCAAACAACCGTATCCCGGCTGAAAAAGCGGAGAATTAAAGGTTTGCGTGAAAATTCACGGCTAAAAAGAAAAATCTGACATACAACTTGACTTAAAAATGTTACAGAGTAACTCTGGACAAGATTACTCCCAGATGGAATTTTATTATTGAATGTGCTTTCCCTATATTTTTTTCTGTAACTTTTTGTACAGCGCTGAAATAAAAATTACAGACAATGTATTTAAAAAATCAACTTCTGTAAAATAAACCTCGCAACAACTTTAAAACATGGATAGGAAACACAGCAAATACAAAAGAAGGCAAGGATTGTAATTAGGGTTTTTGAAAACGGTGCAGTCTTACGGTATTAATCAAAGTTTCCCTCTTGTTTTTGTTAAGCGGAAAGCCACGGGTCCTTGGCTGGTGCGCCTTAACAGAGGTGTCCGTTAAACATAGGTTTGTTTTACAGAAAACATGGCCGGGAAGAAACGTTTGAAACAATTGCAAACTGAACCATTCGTCCACCCTTAATATGGATTCCGCTTGATACAGGTTTCACTTTTTAACGCTTGCTATGCCTCATTTCATGTCACGTAACTCTGATTTTTTTTTTTTTTTTTTGAAATTTCTTCGCAAACGTTAAGTTCAATAGCGAGAATAGAGGAGTAACTGGAAAATGCAGCAAAATGGACTTAGGCTGCCTTGGCAGAGCCTTCTTTATAGGAAAAATTTAATACTCGGTAGCGTGTTCTTCGCGACGGACTGCGGGCGATCTTCCTTTACCATTACCGCCGTGTTTAACTCGATCGTTCACTAAAATTTCCATTTCTTTGAAATATAATCTACGTGACCGATCCCACGCATCCAAAACAATGCGGATGCGACAGTTGCAGTTCTGTGATTAACTTAAGACACTTAACGCGATTTTGCTGAGAACCTTGAAATTCAGCGATGCGATCAGTGATTAATCGAATGGCGAATAGATTATTTTCAATCTCATGTAGTACTTGTGACACAAACCCTCTAACAACTTTGAATTTCACCTGTTTCAATAAGAACAAAATAAAGAAATTACCATAGAACATGAGGAAAGGGGTAAACCTCATAAATACCCACAGAAAAACCTCCTGGGACATTTGGACGGATAAAACACAAGAATAGTTCTCACACCAAAAAAGACCAAGACCAACGCCTAATAACTTGTTAACTGCCTCGGTCAACTTGAAAATTTTAAAACTGAGTATTAGACTATTAGAAAACAGTCTCTGATAATTCCGTCAGTCTCATGTTGTGAAATTCCTTTCATTCTTACCGCATAAAATCTTTTGCTTACGTCGTAATTTCAAAATGGGGGCGATATTGATTGAAGTGTACTTGACACAACAATCAACTTTTCTATTTTTTATTACCTTACACGTGCTCCTCCGTGGCACCACCAGATCTTCCGCATTTCACTCTCGAGAGCTCTCAAATGCTCTTTAATCACATTCATCACAAACAAGCTCTTTTTTTTTCCTTTAACAGAAAAAAAGACCAAAGGTTTGTAATGAATCCATACTGGTGGTATTACGTTGCATTTCAGGTATATTATTTAATATATGCCGTGGCTTTGTCAACTCTCTTGAAATCTTGTCCTTCTTCGTGACAGAGTTTGATCAAATACGTGATTCATATGTCTATACCGTGATGCGGTGTGGTTACTTCATTGTGCACCAATTGTGTCCACCATTTTGTACCTGATGCGGACGTTTCTGATTATATTATGTTTTTTTTTTCTGTTACTATGTAAGGTGGTACATAATCAAATAGTGCAGTTCCGTTATCAATCGTCATGTTTAGATCGTCTTTATGCGATGTGGTTTTAACCATCACGCATTGAGGTTTTTTTATAAACTTTGTGGCTTCCGAGACTTCCGGTATCAAGTCTGTCATTCACCCTTTAAAGTTTAACCAGCCTTTGGTTTGTGTGGAAAGCTGATCAAACTGATCACTAGAGTTACTCTTAGAACCAAAAATTAAGGGTGCGATTAGTGATAATGGAATAATGGTGAAATTTTTGCTTTTAGTTGTTAGTTTGGTCGAGCGCTAGAAGATTGCGTGAGTTTTAGCTACATTTAGAGTGTAGTCCGACATCTACAGCTTCATTCTCTACACTTAGTAACAGAATCTGTGCTTCGATCATCAATGTGGTTGAGTATCAACGCTATGTCGTCTGCAAATGCATTACTTCTAATCTCACTTATTTCCAATTTTACGATTCTTCCATGTTTCGATGTTTCGGTTTAATATTGGCCTTGAATTCCTAATTTTCTCTGATTTTATTGTTAGCTACTGTTCAATCAGTTACGTCATCCTTACTCGGACTTACTTGGCGGACTCTCTTCAGTTTTTTTTCGAGTTTTCTTTTCACCTACTGGTCTCGTAAAGTAAACAAGATTGTTAAATGTGTGTCATGATGTGTGTATAATTCGTCCCAAAAGCGTTACCCATGAGTTTTTCGGTAAAATCGTAGCAGGCAGTTTCATTTATTGTAGAATGCCTGGTCTCACGGGTTTCCTCCATGTGCTGCTTGATCGCTTGTTAATTTCTTTTTACGTAAATGAGTCTCCCATATTTGACTTCTTTAACTCTTTTAAAAACAACACTTCATTGCCAGACTCCAGGGTCCCCGATAGGTTTTTAGGTATCCGGGATTTCCCTTATTTGAAGGACGGGATTCAGCATTTTAAATTATCAAGCAAAATGGGGGTGATATTCCGCGGCATTGTAAGTAAGAACGGGATGCAGGATAAAGCTAAAATATAATGACCGGGATTAAAGGATTAAGCGAAAAGTTGGTTCGGGACTCTCAAGTGAGGTTATGGGGCGCTGAAACATATACATAAATGTAATTGCAAACCGAAAGAAAAATAAATTTAAGGTGTCCGTCTTCCTTTTTTTAAGTTTAGTTTCACCACACGGGTTTTAGGTATTCAAGATTACATTTGCTTAGGTTTCGGCATTGTTTTTTGTTATCTGTTTGTTTGTTATTTAAGTAAATAATGATAGCGAAATTGAGAACCCTTAAATGCGCTGGCGTTACCTATTTATTAGGCACGTGATTTTGTGACTAGGAAAACTGTTATCTGAATACTTGCACGAAAGGGAAAAATACTATAATGTCTGCTCTATTTTTCCTGCTAGTGGCGGTTCATCTCAGCTCTAGTTTTCATGCCACGGATTCTAATGGAGTGGATAAACTTCAGGTTCATCTCGTGCCACATACCCACGATGATGTAGGATGGCTGAAAACTGTGGATGAGTATTTTTACGGATCTAATAATTCTATTCAGCATGCTGGAGTACAGTATATTTTAGATTCGGTTATCCCTCAGCTAATTGCAGATCCTACTAAGCGGTTTATTTACGTGGAAATCGCTTTCTTTGAGCGATGGTGGAACGAACAAAGCGATAAAATGAAAGCGGATGTGTATAAACTTGTTCAAGGAAAAAGGTTAGAGTTCATAAACGCAGGTTGGTGTATGAACGATGAAGCTGCCACACATTACAACGCAATTATTGATCAAATGACTTATGGACTGAATTTTGTGGAAAAGACATTTGGATCGGATGCAAGACCTCGAATAGCCTGGCATATCGATCCATTCGGTCACTCATCTGAACAAGCATCAATCTTTGCTCAAATGTCATTCGATGGATTTTTCTTAGGTCGCGTCGATTACGCCGACAAAAACCTTCGTCTGAAGCAGCAAAGAATGGAAATGGTTTGGAGAGGAAGCAAAAATCTCGGACAAGATTCTGAAATTTTCACTGGGGTTCTATATAACAACTATGCGCCTCCACAAGGGTTTAATTATGACCAGTCCTGGAAATACGCAATCCCAATACAAGATGATCCAAATCTCTTTGATTACAATGTCAATGAAACTGTCGAAAGATTTGTAAAGGCAGCAAATGACCAAGCTGCACACTATAAGACTAACCAGATCCTTATGACCATGGGCGAGGACTTTCATTACGAGAATGCCAACACCTGGTACAAAAACCTGGACAAACTCATCAAGTACGTCAAAAGGGTAAGTATAAACATTTTAAGTTCAATACAATTTAACATAGTCTATGCCTGCCAACTCTCACGCCTTAGGCGTGAGTCTCACGCCTGTGGGTTGAAAACTTCGATCTCACGCCGGCTCACGCCTGCGGCCAATTTCTCACGCCTGATTGAAAAATGTGAGTTGTTGCCGTCCTGCTTGACACAATTTCCAAAAATATGTTAACTCAGACCCATGTAAGGAACGAAAACCATGTGTAAAATGAATAAATGGCAATACCTTCCTCGCTATCTCTGATTTTTGAAATGAAAAGCACTGGGAGCGAGCTCGCCTTTGGCAGACTTCGGCAGACTTCGGACGTCTTCGGAAGACTTCGGACTTCTTCGGGAATCTTCGGAAATGATCGTGTCGTTTTAAAAAATCCCAGCACTCCCAGGATAAAAATCTCACGCTTATATCTCAGAAAAAGTTGGCAGGTATAACAGTCACACTACTTTCTCTGTGACATCATATGCTATTCGACAATATCGTGCTAAAAAACATTAACGAAAAATATATATGGATAACGCAAATGCACACCTCTCAGGACGACCATGTCTTTTTGCTGTGGAAAGGGGGCGAACATCTCCGGATGTTTTGAACCTGCCTCTTTTCTACCCAGAGACGTGAACAGAGAAGAGAAGACATTCAGAACGCGCACCGAATGAACCAATTTCAGTGCTTACTGCTTGCCGTAGCACAACTAAATTAAAAACAGGTGCGACCAAAACGGTCAGTAAAAGGAGCGAGAATCAGTTTGGTGCGAAGACTTTGTACGACCCTTTCTTTTGCTGCGATGACTAAAGAGGCGCAAGTGAAGGATACCTCCCGTCCTCAAAAATGGCACATTACATTATTGATAATCACTAGTGGAGCAGAGTAAATATCCTTGCAGATTGCAACAAATAAAAGGTCTTACCCGTCCTAATTAATTACTGCGTGAGACTGCATCAAGTGTCTTAAAGTATCTGCCATCTCTTAGTCATCTAAACTGTGGGGCAACAACTATTATAGTCCTATTCATGATGTAGTTAAACTTCAGAATAGAGCAATTATAATAATTAATGATGTTCTGATTATGGATAATATTACCCCCCACTATGTAAATCTAGGCATTTTGAAATTTCCTGACAATGTTAAATTTCTTTTTTTATCTCTTATGTTATTCCGAACCGTCCAATTCTATAATTACTCTTTTCTGTATCAGAACAACCATGAAAGCTAAACTACGAGTAATTTCCTTTGCAGAACAAGTCTATATTCCCCTTTTCAGAACAAACATTAGAAAGTTCTCTCCCAGTTTTATTGGAAGGCATTTTCCATCCGAGCTAGGCCTACAATCATTACTTATCCCAGTACTAAATGCTAGATTGACTTAGTTGCTTAATCTACTCATACTAATTTATGTACATAAATATACTGCTTTCATGTGTATGTGAATAATTTTTGACCAGTTCTATTTTACTTGCTTATTGTGTGATATCTTTTTTGTTTTTGTTTAATGGCAATTAAGAATCTACTGTATTTTTTCAACTATTTTGCCCATTTTCTTTTTATTTCTCAATTATTCTTATCTATAAACTTGTTTCTTCTGTGGAAAAATAAAATACTACTACTACTACTTGACTTTTTACTTCACAATGAGTAACGTATTGATAACTTACTAATAAGTCAGTTGAAAATGTGGGTGAATTATCAGGGATTCTCAGCTTTCTGTTAATGATACTAATCTTTTAATTCTAACGGCCCCCAGCACGTGGACAGATATGTTTGTGCTGCGCGGAAGCCAAACCATTTTACCAGTGACATCTGCAGATCAAAAGTCCGAAAACAACGATTTCACTCTGTAGAAAAAACAAGTAATCAGGCCTCACCCTGAATCAACAAACTAGCAGCATTTGAGTCGATTGTTCTAGAATCTATCACCATAACTGATTCTCAAACAGACGGTCTAATCCTCAGAGAGATAAAGTTCGTATCAATTAATTTAAGCCTGCCATAGTACGCCCGCAAGAACGTCTTCTTTGAAGTCAAACTTGACACCCAGTGCATATGGCCACTCATTCTCTAGTGCATTTATTATTTTTCTTATTCAGTTTTGTTATTCACTTATTTATATACGAGGAATCATCAGTTTAAAAGTACATACTAAATAATAGTAAAGTACTAATATCTGATTTACATGATCGCCGTGTGGGATAATCGCAATAAGGCCCTATCGTCAAATGCATCTGCATAACCTAGATTATCATGAAAACCTCAGACCTGGTTACTTGTCAGCATCAGATTTTACCCTAACTGCCTCGTCTCCTCAAAAATCAAGAATCAGGACGATTTTATCATACCTTGTTCCTTCACATGGGAAAGCCCTCGAGCATCCTTCTACGTCACAAATATCCCCACGCCCAGCCGTCATGGGCCTTCTGGTTAATTTCCACTGACTTGACGCAGTTGGCATTTAACTTTTCTATTCAGGAAAACGTTTCCGTACTCGGTAACAATAACGTTCCCAAGGAGCAGACCATAAAGCCGTGAAAAATCAGTATCCCAAATGCTTCAATGAAGTGGGAGAGTTCAAATATACTGCTTGATCTCTGTGTACCCCCGTTAGTCCATTCACTGATGTTTGAGCTCGTCAGTGAAAAAGGAACAGGACAAGAAGGCTAAAATGGCGCAGTGGCAAAGAAAGGAGAACCTACAAAATGGATCAATAGCCTGTTCTCTCGACTGCAAAACAGTCGGTTTTTACTCAAAATCGGTAAAGGTATCGGTAAAGCGTGGCGCTAAGCGCGAGAGCCTCAAACGCCCGTAGGGCGTGTGAGGCGAGGTTTTTAGCCTCTCTCCCCAGTCTCGCTCTCCGTTTTCAGCCTCGTTCCAGACCTTTTGATTGACTGCTCGTGCGTAGAAAGATAACACGCGGATGGAAAATCGCTCCTCCCTCTGCGTCTCACCTCTCCATGTGGCACGACGATTTTCACGGGCGCCCGAGTATTTCGCTCACTCAACTATCCCGGCCAAGGAAAGTGAGGGACTACTCGTAACGGTTACTCGATCACTCAAGGTATGTAACTGGTTCTAGCTACAGCCGTGAGCGCTTCCGGTGTTTGTGTTTCCTGTGCTGATGCTGTTACTTCTCGTTCACTGACATGGTTTATACAGAATTTTGGGAGGAAAAACAATGACTTTTCAAGGACTTCTTTTTGCTGTACTTTGACATAGAATGACACGAAGTAAAGATCTTTCAAATTCGTGCGTGGAAGGAGGTTTACTTATTGCAGCTTATTGCAATACCTTCCCCCAGGAAGGCACGGTTCCTAGGGAACTTCAAATAACGGAAAATGAACTATACAGGGAACATTGGAATCATGAGAAAACACACTTTCATGATCACCAAGAAAATTTACGTACTTCTGTGCTTTCAATCTTTCCTTTGGGCAAAACACTTTTTTAACAAAGGTTATTTTTATTGAAAGAGCTTTCAAAAAATATTCAAGGACTTCTGTGGAAAACTCAAGGACTTTTTAAGGATATCCCACAATTTTTCAATTTTCAAGGACTTTTCGAGGACATGATGCTTTTTCAAGGACTTTTCAAGGCCCGTGCGAACCAATAACCAATGTCACAATAAAGTGGTGTTAAACTCAAATTCAAGTTACGGCGATACATACTTATTGCAACTACAACTAATAGTATACTCTTTAAATATTCAGAAATTTCAGTTTAATAACTTGATCAGTTAAAGTAAGCATAAGCAAGAGCCATGTGGCTTCATATGGCAAGAAATATAGTCGTCAGAAGATTTGATAGACCAAACGGGGCACTGGACACTAGTAGTGCCAGACCCACCCGACCCTTATGGCGCCTGTCATCGCCTGTCATCGCCTGTCATAAGTTCATAAGTCGACAAAAATATCTCGTGACTCACGTATGACTTTACAGTTGGGGCAGTGATTCACTTTAACATCGCGTCAAGATGTACAGTTTGGTGTTTTTTGTTGCCATTTGTACTCTTGGCCTAGCCTTTGAATGCAATTTTAACAGAGAAGTGAAGAACGAAGATAAACTTCAGGTTCATCTCGTACCACATACCCACGATGATGTAGGATGGCTGAAAACTGTGGATGAGTATTTCTACGGATCTAATAATTCTATTCAGCATGCTGGTGTACAGTATATTTTAGATTCAGTTATCCCTCAGCTAATGGCAGATCCTAAAAAACGGTTTATTTACGTGGAAATCGCTTTCTTTGAGCGATGGTGGAACGAACAAAGCGATACCATGCGAGCGGAAGTGAAGAAACTTGTTCAAGAAAAAAGGCTGGAGTTTATAAACGCAGGTTGGTGTATGAACGATGAAGCTGCCACACATTACAACGCAATTATTGATCAAATGACTTATGGGCTAAACTTGGTGGAAGAGACTTTTGGATCGGATGCAAGACCTCGAATAGCTTGGCATATCGATCCGTTCGGTCACTCATCTGAACAAGCATCAATCTTTGCACAAATGTCATTCGACGGATTTTTCTTTGGCCGTATCGATTACGCTGACAAAAGCCTTCGTCTAAAGCAGCAAAGAATGGAACTGGTTTGGAGAGGAAGCAGAAATCTTGGACAAGATTCTGATATTTTCACTGGGGTACTTTACAATGGTTATAATCCACCTAAAGGATTTTGTTATGATCAATTCTGTACTGACAACCCCGTCCAAGATGACCCTAACTTGTACGATAACAATGTCAAGGACACAGTGGAGAGATTTGTTCAAACAACATGCAAGCAAGCCTCACACTACAAAACAAACCATATCATTTTGACGATGGGTTCAGATTTTATGTATGAAAATGCAAACTTATGGTACAAGAATCTGGATAAGCTGATTAAATATGTAAATGATGTAGGTACAAACCTGTTCCCTTCAGGTTTTTAGTTCTTTACCATTGATTATCAAATGAGTAGTGTTTGATGGAAGTTTGGTAATCACATTTTTTATCATTTATAAAATTGTGTTGTTGTTCACAAACTTAGTTTCAACTCAGCCTTTGATGTCGTCAACAGCAAAGTGCATTAAACTGTGAGATATAACTGGTTTTTTAATTACCTCTTCCACAATGGTTATCTCTTTAATTTAACCTGAGACCAAGCCAAATATTAGCAGCTCTCTTACATTGATGCTCTTTCTTTTTGTTTCATCATGCCTGGAATGTTATATTTACCAAGCAAAACAAAATTCAGCCTGATCTGTTATTATCTTTTATTTATTTTACACTCTTTGCTGTTAATGGCGTCAAAGGCTGATTTGTTGCCCCTGAAAATGGAAGAAGTTGTTAAAACAAGTAGATATAAAAGATCTGTTGTGGTTACTCAGCTGATAAGTGCAGTGTAGTTAGTCCATGATAACATGGTTTGGACAAAGAAAATTGAAGATCTTTTAAGTGTTTTAATCAACTTAGAGAAGGTAAGAATGAATTTTCACAGGTGCCTTCATTTGATCATTGTGCAAGATTAGTTGCAGGTATAGTGGCGGATTCATGGATAGGGGAAGGGAGCTGAATTCTCTGTTAATACACCCATGAGGCTGGACGATTTTTACAGTAATTTATAAAGCTAATTTGTAGGATCATTTATAAAGGGCAATGTGGCTAAAAATTAATAGAAATTAAGGATCTGCTGAAGCGGGCTTTAAAAAACAAAGACCACTCACAGCACACTTTCTCTGGAAAGTGCATGGACCTTGAGAAACTTGACAAAAACAAAGACAAAAAAGGTTTCCAAAAATGAAAAGCTCCTAGATTTCTTAGAACAAACTCTTCAGTTTTTCCTGATGAGGATAACATGCTTCCATGCTAGAGACTAATACCAAAATCTCATAGGAAAAATTATCACTGAGGTTAAATTTGCTGAACAGAAGTCAGATTTACCACAAAAAGGATTTTTGTTTCGAGATACCGCCCTGCCGTTGCCTAATCTTAAGAACACCTTAAGATAAAATGGCATCTAATTGAAATCTTTCACAAAGAGAAATATATAAGGAGCCTCCACTTTTGTACTTATTTTAATACTAAGGTCATGTATTACACTAGTGACTTGCATTTGGCCCTTATTTTCTACTCATGATTGGCCTTTTACTAAACAACCGCTTACTGCTGATTGGTTCTCTGGTAATTTGCGCATGATTGTCAACTGTATTTGCGAACAAAGAGAAAGGTATTTAACGGCTTGTTTCAGCAGATGTTTGTGGGGAAAGAACGCCTGACAAAGCCCTAAGAATATCTACATGATTGAGAGGCTATGTGAAGGTGTAATGATGAAGTGTTTAGTACAGTGAAAGTTGGATCCAAATGCTTTTTCCTCATCCTGTGGCTGTGATTGTGATGTTGTTGTGTTTCTGATCAGTGACTTAATGCCAACCGTTTAAGTAGTCTGAGCAAGGTTTCATGCAGTTGGCAAGAATATTAGCCATGCTTACCCCCGGTAATGCTGTAGAGCATACATGGCCAGTGCCGGATCCAGACCTTGAGATAAGGGGGGGCCCTGGTCATCCAGACCCTTACATAAGGGGGGGAGGGAGGGGGGGGCCTAGTCTCCAAAAAAAATTTTTTGGCCCTTCGGGCTTCAGTTTGGTTTAAAAATAGGGGAGGGGTAGCCCCCCGGGCCCCTCCCCTAGATCCGCCACTGATGGCTAAGCTTTATATTTTAAAACTTTTTGATCGGGATAAAATTTTGTCAGAAATGTTGCACTAAAATGTATACACCTGATGAAGAACATGTTACGCGGTAAATGATTTGAACCCCAGCCAGAGGTCATATCATATTACATGCAGTAGGTGGAGCCATAGAAAATGATTGCACACGTGAGTGTTTTCAAATATGACCAGTTATTGTTGACACTGTGAATGATTTTTTAAAAATCTGTGCATCATCAGATTCGAAGTGAATCATTACATCATTTTATGGTTGATGATTTTGAACTCTGGTTTTTGACCTGATTGGTCAACTAAGAACATGTGGTCTGGTAAAACCCATCGGCTACTAGTATGAAAATTGCAAGCTACATGTACCTTGGAAACAGCAATAAGAAAGAAAGATCTGAGCTAGTTAGTTAATACTTAAGTGCAAGGAAGCTTGCCTAAAATTAAAAACTATTATGTTTTCTCCTTTAGGATGGCCGTGTGAATGCTTTCTACTCCACACCAACGCTTTATTTAGATGCTCTTCACAAAGCTAATCAGACATGGGAATTGAAGACTGATGACTTTTTTCCATATGCAGACTGTCCACACTGTTACTGGACTGGTTATTTTACCAGCCGACCAGCTCTTAAACGATATGTTCGACTCAACAACAATTTGCTTCAGGTTAGTTATTGCCTGATAATGTGCCCCCATAATGTATAATGTTGTTAATTCACCCAATATGAAGGTAAAGTACTGTTTGGACAAACAAAGAAAAAAGGACTGGAAGAATTAAGAAGATTTGAAAGATATTAGGTAGCCTGACGAGGGAGTGAAGAATTTACTTTGAGTGCGGCGTGATGGGTGTGTCTTACTGGCATTCAAACCTTTACCAGGTGCTGCACAAAATAGCAGGGGAACCTCCTGCCCCTCCCCCATGCAATATGATTTTATGATGCAAAATATCAAATTACATTATTTTTTATCTCACATCTCAAAGTTTGACTTAGCTAGGGTTAGGGTTGACTTTAAATGCATGCCATCATATAAGTGTGGCTTACTTGATATCAATTCAGCTGCACTTGTCAGTAACATTCCTGGGAGTAATTTAATGTTACTCGTCAAATATTTCAGGTGTGCAAGCAGCTAGAGTTAATCAACGGATCTGGAACTGGCAAAAATGGCCCAACTTCAGACATTCTGCGTCGAGCTATGGGAGTAGCTCAACATCATGATGCTGTGAGTGGTACTTCCAAACAGCATGTGGCTGATGATTATGCCAAACGACTCGCCATTGGTGCTGCTGAATGCCAGGTATGAAAGTCAAATCACTCTCCTGATGATTCTTAGTTTTTTTATTTAATTTTGGCCGAAAACTTCTTAAAGGTAAAAACTGAATGAATGAAATGTTGTGGATGAGAGGACATTAGGCATGTCCTCTTTACATGTTAACAGTAAGCTTGGATGTCACCATACAAGGAAGCTACTGGCAGCCTCTATCAGTCAATTTATGACCTTACTCATCCCACCGACAGCCCAGGATTATGCATGATGTGTGAAAATGATTATGGATGATGTCAGAAACTTCCCTTCTTTGTTTTGACCACTAGTGTCTGGTTCTTTTACATCCCCTCCGATTTCAATAATGCGTTCATCTGAATTGAGGTCTACAAGATGTTAAATTATGATCACAGCCAGTATTAGCCTGTTCCAGGCATTCCGATAGTGGAGCGCGGCGCGAAGGAAGAGAGCGAGAAAAAAATAAGCAGGAAAAGAGGGAGAGGGAGAGAGGAGGGTACGCTCTTACCCTGCTACCCCCTACCTCACCCCCTTGTTAATTTTTTTTTCTGCTTACATCTCTTTGCACTGTCCCCACGATTTGAACGCCCGGAACAGGCTAAGGCAGTATCAACTTACCTATTTTTAAAGACTTTGGTAGTTGGTCTGGCCGACATCCCGCTTGGCAGACCGGTGCTCTCCCAACTGAGCTGACCGGGATATAAATCCTTTTTTTCTTTTCTTGTTTGTTTCATTTTCGTCATGGCCTTTTATTGTTTAAAACACCTTTTTGTTTTTCCACTGTTGTGTAAGACTATGACTGAAACTGTTTTGTGGAAGAATATTGAAGAATGTTTGTGACCGGTTATTTCGGTTCATGAGAATGAATGCCAGTTACATCTTGCGGGCCTACTACCAACAGGAAGTCGGTTAACTGCACTTTGCTTTTTGTAGCTTTCTGTTCTCTTTGAAGGTTTTGTCTCTACGTAGATTGGAGTTCAAAGATCCTTGTATGTCATAACGCGCTCTTGAAATACAACTTGTAAAGTTACTGTTTTGAAGAGTTGTATTTTAAGTTAATTTATTTCAACACATTTCCCAACAATTATGGCATTTTGTGATTCAACGATTTGTAAAAAATACCGCAGAACTTCTATCATGATAACCGTCATTATAAAAAAAATCATTGGATAATGCAATTCTAGAGCTCTGATTGGCTTAGCCATCATGGTATATGAGCCATTATACCATGCTCTCCAAATATGGTAACTGTACGAGTCTGCTCAAAATTTAAAACAAGCTGAAAATCGGTTGTTTTTACAAATAAAGGAGGGAAGAATTCTCGATATTTTATAGGCGTTTTTAATAAGACAATTATTCCACTCGCGCTTGTTGGATATGAGATGATTATAGCCAACTCATATCCAACGTTCGCTCGTGGAATAATTGTTGATTGACATGTGTCATCATCATTATCACAGTCGTGTTTTCTTCACCGTCGTTAAAAAATTTTTTTTTTACCAACTTAGTTGATATAAATCTCTTTACGCTGGCCAGTTTTTTTTTTTTTTTGACAAACAACACTTACAGTTAACGAAATACAACTCTAACATCCAAAATAAATGTAAAAGGCCAGTTTACTTTATATTAGAGCGCTTTTCAATTGAGTGTCGAAAACCAAAACCAAAGTAATCACAACGGCCAATCAGAATAAAGGAAATTATCAGAGGGAGCCAATGGCAACTCGAAGTAAACGCGTGTAACCGGTCTTTAGCGCGAGAAAACGCGAGTGACCAAAGAGCGATTGGTTTTAGTTTACATCTGATTGGCTGAGAGGGTGGCGCGAGTTTTCTAGACGAATCAAACAGCACAGTAAAGAAAAACCAATTCAATCCTGGATTACTTTCAACACTCAATTGAAAATTGCTCTATCCTATTGTTATTATTATCATCACGTCACCGACATTATCGTCGTCATCATCGTGATCATTATTGTCTTTCCCATAATCGTCAAAACCATCATCAGACGCAGACCATATAACAAGCCTTAATTGTTTGTGTGTTGTTTGCAGGACTTGATAGCTGATGTCCTCGGCAAATTTACAGTGAAAAACTCTGGAACTCAGCCCCCTGATTTGAAGTTCTGCGACCACCTTAACATCAGCGTGTGTGACGTCACTGAGCAAAACAAGTCCTTTACTGTGACGGTGTATAATCCTATTGCACGTGACGTAACTACTGTGGTTCGACTTCCGATAGCAAGCAGCGCAATGGCTGTTTATGGACCCCATGGAAAATCGATCAAAAGCCAAATACTGCCAATCTCTGACGCCACGAAACAACTTCGTAAAATTCAGAAGCAAGCGAGTACCTCTTCCTTTGAAATTATTTTCAACGTCAAAATTCCTGCTCTCGGCTTTGCCACCTACTTTGTGAACTCAACCACGTCGTCTCGTCTAAAAGACTTGTTCCGAGCTCCCGAGAAAAAGTTCTACGCAGATGCCGATGAAATGTCCATCGAGAATGAATTTATTAAGCTTTCGTTTACGTCTGACACTGGTGATTTGGTAAGCATGACCGATAAAAGCTCCAAGGTTACCACCGCTGTGAAACAGGCTTTCTACTGGTACAACGCGAGCATTGGAAACAAACAATCCAAGCAGCCCTCCGGAGCCTACATCTTCAGACCAAACAAAAGTGAACCGATCCTAATCTCACAGGGACGGAAGACAGAACTCTTCAAGGGTCCCCTGGTGCAGGAAGTGCGTCAAGTAATATCTCCTTTCGTCAGTCAGGTGATTCGACTTCACCCTGGTCAGCGGCATGCAGAGTTTGAGTACACAGTTGGACCCATTCCCATCCGCGACAATTGGGGCAAAGAGGTGATCACTCGCTTTGATACTGATATCAAATCTACCAAGCTCTTTTATACTGACGCAAATGGCAGGGAAATGCAAAAACGCGAGTTAAATTTCCGTCCCACGTGGAAGCTGGACGTTACAGAGCCAGTTGCTGGCAACTATTATCCAGTCAACAGTCGAATATACATCAAGGACGACGCTAAACAGTTAACAGTCCTGACTGATCGTTCCCTTGGTGGGTCCAGCCTTATGGAGGGCTCCATGGAAATCATGTTGCACAGACGTCTGCTCGTAGATGACTTAAGAGGCGTAGGCGAGGCCCTGAACGAGTCTGGAATCTCCGGTAAGGGCTTGATTGTCCGAGGGAAACTGTGCTTAACTCTAGCGCCGCCCCAGTCCTCTGCTGCTCTTCATCGTGAACTTGGCGAGCTGATGTTGCTCGAGCCTGTGCTTGCTTTCACGCCCAACAGCCTCACTTTCAACAAGTGGACGAGCCAATATAACTCCTTACACAGCGGTCTAAACCGTGAGCTACCCGCTAACGTGCATCTGCTGACCTTAGAAACCATGGGCGACTCAGCGCTGATCCGAGTGGAGCATCAGTACGAGGCTGGCGAGGACGCTAAGCTGTCGCAGCCAGTTAACATTTCACTTGAAGGTCTGTTTACTGATTTCGAGATCGAATCCATGACGGAAATGAACCTGTCTGCAAATCAGCTTCTGAAGGATAAACAACCTCTTCACTGGAATATTAAAACAAGAAAGGAAGCAGGAAAGAAGAAAAAGAAGATGATTTCACGGGCGGCCACTGATTTAAACGTGCATCTGACACCCATGCAGATTCGCACATTTAAAGCTGTCATTAAACGTCACAGCAACACACTGTCGCGTTATTATAAGAACTAAGTTCGGCTGAAATACACAGATAACGCTTTTTGGTAGTTCTAAACTACCATTTTGCTTTATTAATGTATAATGCTTTTTTTTACAAAGTTTCGTAAATTCCTCACAATCCTTTTGTATGAAAATTGTAAAAGTGAATGAATAAGTAATTACAGTGATTAAACATCTGTGTTTTACTTTGAAAATCCCTTAGCTTTTATCCTTGGCAGCTTGAATTGTGGAAAAAGCGAAAGTCTTAATAAATGAATAAGAAAATTTGCGGGAAGTGCATAATGTAACATTAAACTGTCGTATCTTCCTCGATAGCGAGTTTAAGCAGCGACGTTTTTAAGACACACGTCAACCCGAAGTGAGCGTTTCTCTCTTTTGATATACCTTAACGCAACCAACTTTGTTTTGCTAATGCCTTTACTCGTATAGAGACGATTTGCCCAAGAATTTGTTCAAAATTACGGCCGAAGAAGTTCCACTTCCGGTTGACGTGCGCCGCTTAAAAACGTCTGTGCTTAAATTCCCTAATAAGGAGCTTTAGCATCAGCGAAGGCGAAGGCAGCAAAAGCGTCACTGTACTTTAAAACGAATTCACGTTTTTTCAATTTTTGTCGCGCTGATATATTCCAATTCGCTGAATATGTCAAATCTAGGCGTATTTGTGTGGAGTCTAAAACTCTTGTGAACTAGAAGTTAGAGTATGTATGTCTGGCGGTTTTGATTTGCGGTCCAAACCAGTGGGAATTATTTCGGCGGCGGGGAGAACTGAAATTTGATCTTGAAAATTAAAAAAAGTCCAGGCCGCACTTGTTCAAAAGGTGGATAACGTTATCCACCGGATAAATCACTATCCACGGGATAGCGCACTCGGTTTCGCTTACACTTATCCGACACTGTGGCGAATAGGCGACAGGACGGAGCAACGAAGTGATACAACGAAGCGACGAGTCGAACATTTTTTTCCACGATTTGACTTCAGATTGTTGGGTAATAAGGTATTTTATTGTTACATGATAACCAGTTGATAATCTACGATATTTCTTGAGGAGACTGGAGAACAACAGGCAGTGAAATGGAATATCAGTCTGCGGACACCACTTGACCATTAAATAACGAGGAAGCAACCTTTTTGTCACCATGCTCGTCACATACTAGCAACCTCACTCCCACCTGTTCTTTCCAATGGTTAGTAACAATGAATCCTGAACGAAACATGTGGACGTTTTTTGGATCGTTTTCTGTCTACACAGCGAAAAACGGCTTTATAACGCGGAGTCTCCTAGATTTTGCGATGGTCCGTTTTTGTCGTCTGCATAAACGCTTTGATTGTATAAAATCTGTGTTCAAGTAAAAAATAATGACTAAAATGGATACAACTTCAGTTATTTGTCTTTTCCTCAACTTGGAAAAAAAGGCTCACGATGAACGGTGGTAAATTAACCTCTTAGTTATCAACGCAATTTATAAAACCACAATTTTGTGTCTACTTACTGTCTTACCCACCCAGCACTACAGTTTCTTTCGAAACGGATTCCCTCACTCTGTCGAGAGCCTAATAAAAGTATTTCAAACCTTAATTATTAGTTGGTTAATAATCCAAGCCACATTTGGCAAACAGAACCTAAAAGTTTTTAATTAAGAACCTGTTCAGCTAAAATTTGCCACAGTAGACCCCCTGTATGAATGACTTGTTAGCCTAAAGCTTAAAACAGGTTCTTATTTTCAAATGAATTGCCAACTCAATCTATGATTAAATTAAATGCTAAGTTTAGTGTAGAGTGCTTTTACCATTTTAACTGTATTAAAAGTAAATAAGAGCTCAATGTAATTGGACGATCACGTTTGTTATGTTTTGAAGGAGGACTTCAAAATTCATTAGGACCAAGGTTTTTAATCGTCATTTTTACATGAACACTTATTTGGTATGCAGATTCAGTTTAAAGCACTTGGTTGGATACTGCCAATTTCTTTTAGCTACATTACATTTAAGTACCCAAATAAAAGTTAATTTCATAAGTTATGAACGAAACTAGCGCTTTAAAACTGCTCTCGAAAGAACTGCTTCCAGGCACCGTTTATGATTATTGTCTTCTCGCATAGTATCGTTTTCGCTTGACAGTCGGTGAGAGTAAAGAAAAGAAATCATTAGACAAAAAAAATCTATGAAGGTAAAAAATGGTTGTCTTTGAGTCCTACATGGGACATAACCTTAGCTGGCCCATGAATGACTAACAGTCTCGTTCGAACACGTCCAGTGTTGTAGGAGAGAGTTCACGGCTTTATAACAAAGAATCATTCATGAATATAACCACAGGACAGACATACTTATCAGCTTGTGGAGGGTCATGACCCGAAAGAAAAAAAGAAAAGAAAAACTGGTGACCCCGTCAGTAGGTAATGAAAAGTCTAAGTCTTCTTTGTTTGTCACATGCTTTTGTCACGAGAAAACTCTCCTGTCAGAGTCCTCATCGGCGTTCGGAAACAAACCGCTCGTTTTTGAAAAAAAATTTATTGATCTAATACTTCGGCAGTTTTTACCAAGATTTTACAACACCTTATGTTTTCCTCTGCGTTTTTCGTAACCTTTTTTGTTCTCGGCTCAGCCTTTGAGTGCAGGTTTAATGCAACAGTGAATCAAGAAAAACTTCAGGTTCATCTTGTACCGCATACCCATGATGATGTAGGATGGCTGAAAACTGTAGATCAATATTACTACGGACTTAAGAACTACATTCAACAAGCATGTGTACGGAATATTTTAGATTCCGTTATCTCTCAGTTACGTGAAAATCCTTCCAGACGGTTTATTTACGTAGAAATTGCATTTTTTGAGACATGGTGGAACGAGCAAAGCGACGCCATGAGAGCGGAAGTGAAGAAACTAGTTCAAGAAAAAAGGCTGGAGTTTATAAACGCAGGTTGGTGCATGAACGATGAAGCTGCCACACATTACAACGCAATTATTGATCAAATGACTTATGGACTGAACTTTGTAGAAAAGACATTTGGATCGGATGCAAGACCTCGAATAGCCTGGCAAATCGATCCATTCGGTCACTCATCTGAACAAGCATCAATCTTTGCACAAATGTCATTCGACGGATTGTTCTTTGGCCGTATCGATTACGCTGACAAAAACCTTCGTCTGAAGCAGCAAACGATGGAAATGGTTTGGAGAGGAAGCAGAAATCTTGGACAAGATTCTGATATTTTCACTGGGGTACTTTATAATGTTTACAATCCACCTAAAGGTTTTTGTTATGACCAATTTTGCCATGATAGCCCAATCCGAGATGACCCTAATAACAATGATAACAATGTCAAGGACACAGTGGAAAGATTTGTTCAAACAGCATGCGAGCAAGCCTCACACTACAAAACAAACCATATCATTTTCACGATGGGTTCAGATTTTATGTACGAAAACGCTAACTTATGGTACACGAATCTGGATAAGCTGATTAAATATGTAAACCAGGTATGTGCAGTTTAGCTTTCTCCATGCCAAGATTCAAATTCCTGCATTTGACAGCTGGGGAGTAGCTGTTAACTCTCCAGGGGTACGTACAGCTCATATGTCTCTTGGGGGATGGTCTTACAAGCGTGTCCTTCGGACACGAGGCGGGGGGGGTGCTCCTTTATATAAGCGATATAGGTGTATGCCGTCCAAAAGGGTAGGGCTTTAACGCGGTTTTGGTCTGAAAACGGGTATGGTTTACGAAGGAGCTACGGTTGTGAATCAATGTGTTCGTCGTTTCAATTGCAAATTTGAATGAATAAGAATAGCCTGTTCCAGGCGTTAATTGAGCGCGGCGGTCAGTGGAAGCGAGTTAAATTGTACACCAGGAAAAAAGGGAGGAGGAACGAAGGGGGGGTAAGAGTGAAGGAACACCTGTAAATATTCGTAACAAAGGTTGGTTCGGGTATACTGGATTTCAGTATACCCTCTTATTGGTCGATTATGACACCTTTTGCTAACTCTGGAGCAGTGATGACACAGGGGCGAATCTAGGGGGAGGGTGCAGGGGGTGCGCACCCCCCCCCCCCCTGAGATGACCTGCGGTTTTCTAATACAACTGGCATTCTGCAAAAAAAAACTATGTGGTTTATTGGTGTTGAGGTAGAGCAAGAGACGAGTGCACCCCCTCCTAATAAAAATCCTGGATCCGCCCCTGTGACATTGATGAAGAATACGACATGGAGTGAGAGAGACGTCTGTTATCGAATCACGTAGACATCGAAACTGCTATAAACAATGCAATCGAGAATTTCCTGTATGTGGAATCTTTTCGTGAAGAGCAGAAAATTTGCCGAGGCCAGGACGTTTTCGCAATTCTTCCAAAGGGCTCTGGGAGACCTTCATTTTTCTACTCTTTCCACCAATGATGAACGTAATCTCGAATAATCAAAGGAAAAGTTGGCGAGTCAATTTCCACGATGATCATCGTTGCACCTCTCGTAGCCATAATGAAACCAAGCTTAAGCGATTTGGAATAACAGCAGCAACAGCCATAGGTTGGGCGCAGGAGGAAGGCATGGACGAAGACACGGCATTGTGGAAGGAAGGTGTCCATGTGAGATCATTTATGGAAGCCCAAAAAGGCAAAAACATCGGGTGTTACGAAAACTAAGACCCTCGAAAACGAAGACCTAAGACCTAAGACCCGTCTTAGTTTTCGAGATTACGAAAACTAAGACCCCCTAAAATCGAATCCGTCGAAATATAAAGTCAAATTGTAACCGAAATAGGTCTGATCTGTCAAATTATATCATGTTCGATCCTTTCCACCGAGTTTTAGGTCAAATTCAACGGTAAATTTAGGGGTCTTAGTTTTCGTAATTACGAAAACTAAGACCCCCACCAAAACAATCTCTAACATTTCTACAAAGTCGAATTACGACCGTTTGAAGACTATAATCCGTAAGACAAAAATTACTATCACACGCGTGCTGATCTACGATCCGCTAACAATTTGAAGACTCGCTTAAAAAAGAGGACCAAAGCGATAGACTTCCTACAGATCTATTGTACACTGAAAATATGCCTTACCCCTGTTGGCCTTTAATTTTGTTGTTTATCCTTTAAATCATGAAATTGGCTTTCCACTGGAGATGGATGTTTTTCTTAGTGTCTCTGCGATCGAGATTGCGTTACCTGTAACTATCACCTGAGGGGGTTTGTGTCCACCGCTTGTCGTGGACAATATTGATAATGTATGTCTGCAAATTTGTGAGCAGAAGCGGATCGTCTAGCACGCGTGTGATAGTAATTTTTGTTTGTCTTACGGATTATAGTCTTCAAAGGGTCGTAATTCGACTTTGTAGAAATGTTAGAGATTGTTTTGGTGGGGGTCTTAGTTTTCGTAATTACGAAAACTAAGAGGGGTCTTCGTTTTCGTAATTACGAAAACTAAGACCCCTAAATTTACCGTTAAATTTGACCTAAAACTCGGTGGAAAGGGTCGAACATGATATAATTTGACAGATCAGACCTATTTCGGTTACAATTTGACTTTATATTTCGACGGATTCGATTTTAGGGGGTCTTAGTTTTCGTAATCTCGAAAACTAAGACGGGTCTTAGGTCTTAGGTCTTCGTTTTCGAGGGTCTTAGTTTTCGTAACACCCAAAAACATCTTATTAGAAAGGTTATTTAGCCGCAATAAAAAGATTAATGTTCTAACAGATGTCACAGAAAATCAGTACTTAACTGCATCTAGAATCAATTCAGAAACAACCCGCAGGAAATAATTGCCCAGTATGCATGACTGACCGTCTTAATGTTTGACTCAGAGCGGCAGAAATTAGATTTGCTTAGTGCGTTAAAAGAAGGAAAACCTATGATGTTGTTTATGGAAACTAACTCAAAGGTCACGTTTCACAATATCACGAGCTTATGGGTCTTGTCTAGTCTGTCAACACTTTGTAGTTCATGTCATAGTTACGCGGTCGGCGGTCAATTAAGGGTGGAAAGAGCTCTGTAACGAAATGTTTACTGGTGCTCCCTCCCTCTTCCCCCCTCTAGTCTCCCCTCGTTTTTTTTCTTCGTCAATTTTTCTCCCGCACCCTACTATCTGAACGTCTGGAACAGGCTAGAATAAGAAAGGAAGGGTAATTGCGAATTCGAAATTGATTTTAAGAAATCTTTTGCGGTTTTAATCTCAGCAATGATGACATAATTTCTGTTTTATGTAAACATGTAATGTTGCGTTTTGTGACCACCTCTGACGAAAACGCCCGCAATGTATGCTAGCATTTTAGAATGTTGCATGTTGAAAAATTGGGAATGCACAATGCATTTTGTTTTGAGAAAAAAAAAAAAAGAACTTCTGACAATGGTTTAAAGCGGGATTCATAGGAATTGGATTTTGTCTCAATGAGTATCTTGGTCTGGCTACAGCTATGAGAATAGTGATGCGAACATTAAGTGTGACGGCAAAACTCAAGAGTTAGCATCAGTAGTGCTGTCTGAGCAGAATCAGCAGTTTTTTTGGGCAGTAAAAGGGCAACAAAATTTAATAAATGCGTCATGAATAAAATGCGTGGGAAACTTGTTTAATTTTTGCTGACTATGTTCAGGCAAGTACTAGTAATGACGTCACAACACCATAAGGTCCATTTGACAGTTTAGCAAGCCCATTAGAAACGGCTAATGTCCTCTATTTAGCGCTAAAAATCGGATATATGTAAACAGAACACACACACATACACAAAGTGGAGCTGAAACCTCTTTATCTCAATTTTGCAACAATAGAAATGTGGTGGTGATGGTGGTGGAGAGAAAAATAAACTGCCCAAAAAAACTGCTAATTCTGCTCAGACACCACTAGCGGCATCGTGTTTAATCGAAATATCCAGTCAGTCAGACCGAATCATTTTTGCCAGCTTAGTGTAAAGTATAGAATTATGATAAACCTGACAACGTACAGCTAAATTTTACACTACAGGATTAGCTCAAATAGTAGAAAACTGGCCCCAGTTGTTCAAACGGTGGATTAAGCTATCCATCGGATAAATCATTATCCATCGGATAGTGCAATTGGTTTTCCTAATATTTGTCCACATAGCGCTATCTATCGTTTAGTAACTGTCTTTACCCTGCAAACGGTCTGACCTTTGTGCAGCTGGCTGATTACCTCGTAGAAATGGTGGTACCGTGTCTACATACAACGACACTTTTTCATAATGTTGCCGTCAATTTTGTTGAGTTCTCCAAATAATACGTTTAACTATGTTATTTTCGTCTCCATTATTTTTTTTTTTTTAGGACGGCCGTGTGAATACCTTCTACTCTACACCGACACTTTATTTGGATGCTCTTCACAGTGCTGATCAGACATGGGAATTGAAGACTGATGACTTCTTTCCATATGCAGACTGTCCACACTGTTACTGGACTGGTTATTTTACCAGCCGACCAGCACTTAAACGATATGTCAGACTCAACAACAATTTGCTTCAGGTACTAAAACTCTACTGCAGGGAACAGGTATAAATCTTCTTGAGATAGCTATCTGAATCATGAATACCTTTGGATTTTTTTGCGTCCAGTTGGTTCTTTAGCTAGGTTGTTAATACGATACTAAAAAATCGTGACACTTCTACTTTAAGGTTCACTCCACTGAAAGTTTGAGTATTGTAGCGTTAGGAGAACCCGCGGCTACCCCTCTTAGTGAGTCACGTGACATATGACGTAATACCTATGTGCGAGCAAGTTAAGAAAAGACTGTGTAACTTGTAGCGGATTAGAACTGTTGTTTATACCGCCTCGTTTTATCTGAGGATTTTGGCGTTCAGAGTGTAAACTGTGCACGTCGTAAAAAAGGGGGAGGGCATGTTTAAAGTGAATTTTTGGGACCAGTTACTTGTCTTCCCAAACGCTTTTAGGTCTGTAAGCAACTGGAATTAATGACCGGATCTGGAATGGACACTAGTGGCCACTCTTCGGATACTCTGCGTCGAGCTATGGGAGTAGCTCAACATCATGATGCTGTGAGTGGTACTTCCAAACAGCATGTGGCTGATGATTATGCCAAACGACTCGCCATTGGTGCTGCTGAATGCCAGGTATATAATTTAACGCTTTAGGAAGCATTTTAAAGTGGACACATTTTAAGCGTGTTGTTTGATAACATTCAACAAATATACATGACCTTCTATGAACTTGATAGGTAGAAGGGGTATAGCTAGGAATTTGAGAGGTTTGTACAGTTTTTTCATTTTGTTAGGGTAAACACTCTTAGACGTAGCTCCCTTTTCTTGAAACAACAGCGACGGCCTTCGCGTGTTCGCCTGTGGCAAAATCATGGAAACACTGCATTTGAAAAGCCCGTAATGTGGAGGTACTTTCTCATTTATAGCTTATTTTCCTTCCTCTATTTTTTCGCCTTTGTTGTTGTTGTTGTGGTATGTAAAAGTGACGCAACGTCTATGGATATCGGCAAACATCTTTCAAATTGGTCAACTCTCGCTGGTTATTTAACAGTTATTCCTCAAGCCCGAATGGGCTCTGAGTCAATAGCCCATGAGGCCGAAGGCCGAATGGGCTATTAACTCCGAGGCCATGAGGGCTGGAGGAATAATTGTTTTACTAAAATCCAACTAGTTGGTCTAAAATATCGAGACAAAACAACTTTAGCTGGTTAAAGCCAGACTTGAAGCCATTGTTTTGAATTTCAAAGCTGGCGCTTTTCGCTACTAGTAGGCTATAACATATAGCTTAGTGGTAGCTCAGCCAATCAGAACGCAGCATTAATAATAGACCACTAGTTGGATTTTACTAAAAAGAAATAGCGGCGGCTCAGTAGAATCAGATAAGAATAATATTTTGAATGATTGATAACAAGCTTTAATTGTTTGTGTGTTGTTTGTAGGACTTGATCGCTGATGTCCTCGGCAAATTTACAGTGAAAAACTCTGGAACTCAACCCCCTGATTTGAAGTTCTGTGACCACCTTAACATCAGCGTGTGTGACGTCACTGAGGAAAACAAGTCCTTTACTGTGACGGTGTATAATCCTATTGCACGTGACGTAACTACTATGGTTCGACTTCCGATAGCAAGCAGCGCAATGGCTGTTTACGGACCCCATGGTAAGCCGATCAAAAGCCAAATACTGCCAATCTCTGACGCCACGATACAGCTCCGTAAAAATCAAAATCAATCAAGCACCTCTTCCTTTGAAATTGTTTTCAACGCTAAAATTCCTGCTCTCGGCTTTGCCACGTACTTTTTGAACTCAACTGAGTTATCTGCAACAAATGAGTTGCATCTAGATCCCCCGATAAAGGCTTATGGAGATGCCGAGGAAATGTCGATCGAGAATGAATTCATCAAGCTTTCCTTTGCTCATGGAACGGATCATTTGACAAGCATGACGGATAAGACATCTAACGTCACCACGGCTCTCAAGCAAGCGTTTTACTGGTACAAACCCAGCATTGGAGACGAATTCAGCCAACAGTCTTCAGGGGCATACATTTTTAGACCTGACGAGATCAAACCGAATCTGATCTCCCAGGGTTGGAGGACAAGATTTCTCAAGGGTCCCCTGGTTCAAGAAGTGCGTCAAGTAATATCTCCCGTTATCAGTCAGGTGATTAGACTATACACTGGTCAGCGGCATGCTGAGTTTGAGTACACAGTTGGACCCATTCCCATCCGCGACAATGGGGGCAAAGAGGTGATCACTCGCTTTGAAACTGATATCAAATCAACCAAGCTCTTTTACACTGACGCGAATGGCAGGGAAATGCAAAAACGCGAGTTAAATTTCCGTCCCACGTGGAATCTGGACGTTACAGAGCCAGTTGCTGGCAACTACTATCCAGTCAACAGTCGAATATACATCAAGGACGACGCTAAACAGTTAACAGTCCTGACTGATCGTTCCCTGGGTGGGTCCAGCCTTATGGAGGGCTCCATGGAAATCATGTTGCACAGACGTCTGCTTGTAGATGACTTTAGAGGCGTAGGCGAGGCCCTGAACGAGTCTGGAATCTCCGGTAAGGGCTTGATTGTCCGAGGGAAACTGTGCCTAACTCTAGCGCCGCCCCAGTCCTCTGCTGCTCTTCATCGTGAACTCGGCGAGCTGATGTTACTGGAACCTGTGCTTGCTTTCGCGCCCAACAGCCTCACTTTCAACAAGTGGACGAGTCAATATAACTCCTTGCACAGCGGTCTAAACCGTGAGCTACCCGCTAATGTGCATCTGCTGACCTTAGAAACCATGGGCGACTCAGCGCTGATCCGAGTGGAGCATCAGTACGAGGCTGGCGAAGACGCTAAGCTGTCGCAGCCAGTTAACATTTCACTTGAAGGTCTGTTTACTGATTTTGAGATCGAATCCATGACGGAAATGAACCTGTCTGCAAATCAGCTTCTGAAGGATAAAGAACCTCTTCACTGGAATATTAAAACAAGAAAGGAAGCAGGAAAGAAGAAGAAGAGGATGACTTCACGGGCGGCCACTGATTTAAACGTGTATCTGACACCCATGCAGATTCGCACATTTAAAGCTGTCATTAAACGCCACAGCAACAAAAACACGTTCAAATAAGCATGGAATTGAAAATAATTTAACTGTAAGAAGAAAAACAGCAAAGAAATATGAAATTGAAAAATATTGCCGAATAATACAAAGTAACCCTGATTTAGTGTATTCTTAGCATCTGTATAAAAAAAATGTTTAAATGATCACTTATGACTTAATATCAAATGAAGCCGTTTAAAATGCTAACGACGTAGGGGCAAACTATTAGAAAAGTTATGAGGGGTAGGGAAATTTTCGAGCCACATGAATATTTTTCCTAAACTTTTCCCTTGCATGATTTTTTTCTTTTCAAAATGTCCTACACGGGTCCGATTCTTAAACTAATGTTTCCTTACTTTAAGTCATGAGATTCTTAAGTGTTCCCTGCTTTAGGCTTCCTTGTTGGCATTTTGACTTCACATGATCAACCCGACAGTTGAGAACATCTTTTTGTTCCTCAGACGTCTGTGCATGTTCTGTCCTAATTTGTAATAATTTTGTCTTAATTTGTAATACCTGTCACAATTTGTAAGAACTTTGTCGTAATTTGTAATAAAAAAAGGTGTCGTAATTTGTAATAACACTTTGTCGTAATTTATAATAAGCAACGCTGACGTAATTTGTAATAACTCTCTCGTGATTTGTTATAATAAACATTGTTTATACTTTTCGATCAAAAGCTTTGTTTTTCGAGTGGTCTTTGATCATCAAGGGGACATTACAAGGTTGATGCTAACGGACACAATGATTTCAGCTTGTTTTTTAGAAGCAGCCCGTTCACTTTTCGGAATGAAAATTTTTCATGAAAAACGAGGGTAATCTGGGCGAGTGATCTCAGATGTCTGCAAGGAGTTACAAATTTTAGTGCAAATTTACAAAAATGATCAGTCATTCGGACCACCTTTCAAGTTCTAGTATGGCCTGCTGTGGTATACGCCAAAGTTAATGATAGTTATTGTAATAACAATAATGATGATGATAGGAATAAATAAATCCCACAATTCTTTTTTATACTGTTTCGCGTCTTATTCAGCTACCCTGGTGGAGGGTTGGAACAATTTTCGACGAACTTCTCTTCTTAACTGTCGGTCTTTGTTCCTTAGAATTTACATGTTCATTCATGTAAACATTCAAACCGGGGGTGGTTTTGCAGAGGGTTTGATTGCCAAATCCCTACTGCAAAAGACTGAAAACACACCGAACCTTAAATCATAAGTGAAACCATCAGAGAAACAATGTTAAATTGTGTTATTTTTCGGTGGATGAGATTTAAAAAGAGAGACACTAACTTTAACTACTAAAAATTGGACAGTTGTATACAATTTTATAGGAAGTCATTTTCAAAGTGATCAAAATTTCTCGAAACAAAATATTGAAACAACAATGATATTCCTTGCAAAATAGTAATAAACATTCACCAACTAAACAAATTCCAATAATTAACTTCAATACGACATAACTAGTTTTAAAAATTAAAGTTAGCTTCATTCAATCCCGTTCCGCCTGTAAGAAAACAAGTCTATTTTCTGCAATTCAACATCGTTTTACGTTAAATGTGCTGCTTTTCTCCTTTAACTTCAGCTATACATTGGGGTATTTTCTGATTGAATTGAGTTTAGGCTACGGACCCCAGCCGGCGCCTTCTAATGTACCAGTTAAAACACCTATAGTACTCCAAAATCTCCCAAATTGAGTTTTTAGGTTTAAGTTTTATTACTACCAAACAGACGTCAGTAAAGAGTGGGCCCTGCCGGCGCCGATTGTAAATAATGTACCAGTTAAAACCTGGAGCGTATAGTCATGGGCTCCTAGTAAACTGAATGAAAAAAAAAATGGAAATATTTTTACAAGTCACATCCTCTGATTAAAGGTTATTACAAATCACCACAAAGTTATTAGAGATTACGACAAAGTTCTTAAAAATTGCGACAGGTATTACAAATTACGACAACATTAATACAAATTGCGACAGGTATTACAAATTACGACAACATTAATACAAATTACGACAGCTATTGCAAATTACGACAATTATTACAAATTACGACAGAACAGACGTCATTTCGTAGGAAAACCAGCGTTTGTAGTCCATTAGCTCACAAGAACCTCTAATTTAAGCGGTCATCTAAAAAAATATTGCCTTTTGCGTTGAGGGTTAGGGTTATTGTTTATATGCAAGTAAAAATAAGTTAAAACAAGTAACTGAATCCGTTTTTAGTCATTATTTTTTTTTACTTGAAAACAGATTTTATACAATCAAAGAGTTTATTTGCAGACTGCAAAAACGGACCTCTGCAAGAATCGTTGTAAAGTTTGGCTTTCCCGGTACGGTGACGGAAAACGATGAAAAATACGTCCACATGTTTCTTGTCGGTAAAGACAGAGTCGTTGTTGGTAACCATTGAAAAGGATGGGTGACAAAAAGGTTGCTTCCTCATTATTTTTCTGGTCACGTGGTGTCCGCAGACTGATATTCCATCTCACTGTCTGTTGTTCTCCAGCCTCCTCCAGAAATATCGTAAATTATCAACTGGTTATCAGCACCACCACTTAGAATTGACTGGAAGAAATGTAAAAAAAAAAATTCCTAATCACGCAACAGCAAAGCCAAAGAAATGCACTGAAAAGTTCATTTCTAAGAAATTTACCACGAAAGCGACATCCGGAAGTAGAACATTTTCGTTTAAAATGTTACTGATACAAAGAAGTGATAAAATTTGACGTCCATGGCTGGGATGATTTCACTGGGTTTGTAACTTAAGGGGTCGTTAAATAATTTTCTGATAGCCAAAAAATAACCCAATGGTGAATAGCCACTGTTGTAAGAAATTGCCCACGTTCGATATATTAAATTCTAACACGACTCCGAGGCGTAAGGGGCAAAATTGAAAATTTTTCACGACTCCATTATCTCGCAATTCCCGGAAGAGAATAGAGCACAAAGAAAACCAAACCAAATATAGAAAAATGACATGAAAGCCTCAGAGTCATGTTAGAATGTTAATATATTGAACGTGAGCTATTCTTAGAGCAAGTGTGCCTATGTGTGCAAGAACGCTTTTTGGTATTTTTTTGTGCGAAACATGGTCGGAAGTAATCAAATCTCACTACACCTACTTTTTGTTGAGTCCAGCTTACGCACATGACTTTGTCTTGGTGTCCGGTCATTGTGTACAGCGGAGCATTTAGCCTAATAAAAAGAGATGAGCTTTAAGTTTTTAGATTAAGTTGAAATCTCTCAAAGCTTGCAAAACTATGCAATGTACGTATACACCCATATGTACTTAACTTATGCGCGAAAGGACTTGATTTTCTCTCCTTTTTACAGATTTTGCAAACTTTGCGACACTTAAGCTCAATAATAGGGAAAATTAACACCCGGTATTAGCTTACTAACCTACGTGTATCCCAGAGTTTTACTGTCATGTCATATGACCCAGAAATCAGTTCGAACTCGCTACTTGGTGACCAGGCCACTGAAGACACCCATCCTTGATGTGACGTCAGAGTATTTTTTACTACTGCTCCGTCTGAAAGAGGAAGAGAGGTTTTCAAGTATTCAGTGATTATTGTAAATAACTGTCCGGTCAATATCCCGGGTGGTAGCCTAAAACAAAGGTAAAGGCACACACGCGCCAAAGGCCCACACGGCCGGATACCGGTTTCCGTAGCATGAAACATGCCTAGGAGTATTGCTACTCCCCCTTGGATGGGATGCTAGTCCATCGCAGGGTTACCCCAAGCAGTATGTCGCCGGTACCCATTTATACACCTAGGTGAAAAGAGACAAAGTGGAGTAAAGTTCCTTGTCTAAGGAAACAATGCGACGGGCGAGGGTTGAACCCCACACCCCAAGATTCAGAGTTCGAGGTATTAACCGCTCGGCCACACACGCTTCCACGGGTGGGATCCTAAGCCGGTCGAATAATTGAAAAGTTTGGTCTGTGGATAAAATGCAAGCTTAGTCCAAGGGCCCGTTTCTCGAAAGTCCCATTAACTTTTCGGGCAGAAGCCAAATAATGATGTTCGGCAAAATCTAAAGACTAAAAGCGCAGATCCTTAGTGACAAAAAGGTCTATTTTGTTTGGTTAACTGAAGTTTTACCATATAAAAAATACAGCTTTCCGGGCCCGGTAATTACTTTTGTTAACATAATTGTTATTGCGGGCGACAAGAGGAGTCCTCAATCCTAATCTCCAGGTTGTTATTGCGCACGCATCGCATGTATGTAACCAGCATTCGTTTGGACTTCCACTAAGAGTGAATGGAATGCAAAGAACGCAATCTGATCACGAGCGTTTGGACCTTCTAACACTCGCAATCTGATTACGCGTGTTTTGACCATCTTTCATGTGAAACTTACCGAAAGCACAACGTTTGAGCAAAAGCGTTTCGACTTTCAGTCGTTGTCGCCCGCACTCAACGAGCTTTGGTTATTACTAGTTTAGTTAAAATATTTACCTTTTCTTCCTGACTTACCAGTCATTCTAGGATCCCAGAGTCTGACATGTCGATCAGTGCTTCCAGAAACCAGAAGTTTTGATAAAGGAGAGTACGAAATGCTGCAAAATACCTTTGATCCATTCTGAAAAAAAAAACGCGAAATAAAAAAGTACAGCAGTGATTACTACTTTGGTTTTAAAAGCAATTTGGTTCAGTTTTGTTTGAGTACCCTGAGGTATAAACATCATGTTGACACACTAACTAGATTGTTTACAGTCCCCTATTTCTCTTTAAGATCATTGAGGTCGACCGCTTACTGTTATTAGGGAGCTTAAGCAACTACGACGACGACCACAACGACGACTTCAAAAAAACAATAAATTTAATGATCGAAACAACAGCTCTGCACGTGACACGCTTTTTAGTACATTTCTTTGATGTACACCGCGCGACTACGACGTGAAGCCTCCTAATTTGACGTTTTATGAAGGACGTGGACACACGACGAATTTTCCTTCATCGTTTTACACCTGAATAAAATCCTTAAGAATTCAACTCCAGGAAAAGTCGCCTTCATTTGACATATTGAGCGGGTCAAAATAGACGCGATTAAGTTTGAAAGAACGCAAATTCATTTTTTTACCGACGTTTTCACTGCTGTCGTCGTCGTCCTTGCTTAAGGTCCCTACTTGCAGCCATCTTGGTTTCAAAGGTACCAAAGTGGCTAGCCTGCAAACAAGTTCTCCGCCTCCCATACCCCCGGGAGATCTTGCTCGTAGGTTACGAGGGGGAGGGCGTCGGGGGCTTTACAGCGGTGGGGGAAGGGAGGAGTGAAAAATAGGCCTCCTCACATCCGGCCTTTGCCTCCAAGGTACATTTGATACTCTTCTCCAGGTTACACTCGTGCATTTGAGATCGTCTTACGGGGGAAAAGAAGGTCTGTAAAGTCTATAAACACACCAGAGTTTGTTTGTTGACCCCAGCCGAAAGGTCCCAGATGCGAATAGAGTGATCCCAGCTTGCACTGCACACCGTGTTGTTATCCATCCACAGCACACTTGAGATGGCTTCTGTGTGACCTGATAATGTCATCAGTGGAGTCTGCACGTGACCAAACATAGAACATGCATGAGTAGTTTTGAAATAAGTATAAAATCTTTATTTTTATTACAAGGACAATATACTAGAAACAAAAACTGACCACTTTTAATTCTTAAACAAATATTCGCCACAAATAACCTTCTTTAAAAAGGCAACTTTTCCCAAAGTAACCTTGTTTCAATATAATTGAGTGTAGCTATGAGGACCACCCTAACTTCTGGCTTCGTGTTGGCGTTTTGGTGCTATCCTCTTTCAATACATGCATTTTCTTTCTTGGATTATTAGTGAGGTAAATACAGAATTTTCACCGGCAAGTTTAAAAATCTCATCCGAAAGGAGGCACCTGTCATCAATCCCCGTTGTTGGATTATGAGAAGCGGTTGTCAGGCTAGAGCTTCTAGTTCCAAACATCACTGCGTTTCCAATCTTCCACAATTACACGAGACTATACTCCGAGTCGCAGAGGATTAAAAATGCTTCGTGTATCAGCTAGTACAATCCGAAGTAAGCGTTGTTGTCATTTTTAAGCCATTATAACGGCGCGAGACGTTATACAAGACAAACGTTTCTCGGTAGTTCCCGCAAACCGTGAACGTCAAGAAGTCACGTGACTGGTGCCTTGCCACCAGGTTTACAGTTTGAGGTTCACCTTTTATTTATTTATTTTCCAAGTACTTGCTCTCCATCCATACGATGATTCACCTTTGTACGGCTAGACCACGCTCTATAGGTAGGTGATTTACAGCAAGCTTTTTTTACATCCTAAAGCATCACAAACCCACGTTAAAAACGGTCATTTTTGTTCTTGTCCAAATTCAAAAGTTGATATTTTACGAAACGCAAAAAGCGCTGACTTTCTTGCTTCTACCGTATATCCCAAATTGAAGGACATTCTATGCAATGCTCACGACTGACAATTAAGGCACTGTTCGCGCGATTGAGAAAGTTGCAATGCTTTAAAGCAGTGTAGTCTTGTACGGCACGGCGGTCAACGGGTTAACCTACATATTCGACACCAGTAAAAGCAAACCTTGGTTACCAGCTCTGCATCAGTACCCTGGTGTTGGCTAAACAGCACCTTACCCTCGTCGTTGGTTTTCTTTTGCTGGTGACTGCAGTCTTCTGTTTCTTCTTAACTTTAACATCATCATCATCTGGTTCATCTGATGCTGACAAGTCTGGAACTAATTTACAAATCGACAACGCTTTTTCATGGTCTGTACTCTTATCAACTATAGAAACTGAAATGACGTCAACATTTTCAAAACTCAAGTGTTTCACTGCAAAGTTTTGAACAATGTCTTTTTTTAATTAATATATAGAGGCTACAGGCGAAGCTCCCGCTTATGAAAACCAATGCAATAAAGAAATCCAACTGGATTTGTGCCTGCAATCAGTTGAAAACTAGAAACTTGTCAGTGGTAAACTTCAAAAAACACGTTACCTCGATGGGTCGACCCCTAAGCCCGCGATACAGTCATTTGATACTGGTCAGAGGATACTTTGTTTTGACAGCTGTCAATTGACCACAAAATGGATGTGTCATATCAGGTTGCAGGCTCCCACACTAGCTAGAAAGTGTAACATTTCACATTGGTTTCCCTATGGTACGGACAGACGAGCGAGCGGGCGAGCGGGAGGGCGGGTGGACGTACGTTCACGTGACTACCAAATTTTCTTGGATGGATTGGTAACCAATCGGAGCAGAGTTTTATCGGCTTTACAATCACGCCGCAAAACTAACCAAATGAACTCCAAAAACTTTCCAGGGGAACTTTCTTCCGAAATCCATTGGTTTTTCGATAGCTTCGGGCAACAAAAACTAAAGCTAAAAACTAAGCTTTGAATTAACTTCTTTTTTTTAAGGGCGGAAGTGAAGAAGGGAAGATTATTTTGTGTTAGTTTCGTACAAGCACTCCGTTTGTCAACTTCTAGGTCTGAGATCACCTACATGTAGGGAACGATTCTTCTGCCCCCACCCCACCATCCTCTCCGCTGTTAACTGTTACTTCTGCTTTTCATACACCTAACGCAAGATCCACGCAGTAGGAAACGAGTGCAATGAGGTCCGTGCTCGGACAAGAAAAGCAAGACAAACAGTCGTCTGCTTTTCACATTTTTCAACTACTGCTCTTAAAAACTTGCTTGAGCGTTTATATAACGCAATAATGCTTGAATAACTTGTTTTTATACCATTTTTTTTCACAAATTTTCCTCGAATTAGTCGCAGTTGTATCGGTGATGAGGCCACGTCCTTTAATATCACGCGCGTAAAATTGGGTGCCCGGTGTGATATTTACTAGGAGTGGCTTATACAGGGTCTAACAATCCCAATGGGAACTCAGAAACTAAGCAATGTAATCAACAACTAAAAAAAACACAATATAACGCACATTTTATAATAACTTACCAGCGGACCATATTTTCAATGTTCTATCCCATGAACCACTGCAAAACTAGCCAGTAAATACAAGAAAAAAATAATTAGTGATAAAAAGATTAAATAGATTCAGAGGTAACTCTCAGACTTAGCTTGTGTCCTTCAGACACATTAGGTGGCCAAATATTATAAGAAAAAAAAATCGATCAGTTTATTAAAATTCAAAAGTAGAAAGCTCAATACAGTAAATTGGTAATTAGAACGGCTGTTAAGCAAATTAAATGCAACAGGCAACAGGCAACAGCAAACTCCTGTATGCACAGAATCTATTTCATCACCTTTGATTTGGAAACATCCACAGCAATTGTATCAACACTCTGTGAGTGGCCTTTACAAATATGAATACATTCTGCCTTGTTTTTATCACAGGACCACTGTAAAGCCAACCAAAAAACAATGATAGGTCATTGTTAGTGTTCTCACTGTCAGCAACATTATTTTGAAGTCAGTCACAATAGAATTCTACAAACCTGATTCAATCGAATGGACTGATCTTGAGAAGAACTGATAAACACACCCTTGTCATCACCTACTGCCGGAGTAGACACGGCAAGAAGTGTAAGGTATAGTCATTAGATTGAGGACACTTACCAAAAGCCAGGGCTGCAGGCTGGCAAGACTGCAGTCATTTTGAAGAGATGAAAATGAAGCAGGCTTTTTAAGGAGTATATGTTAGAAGTCTGTCACTCATATTCAGGTATGTCTCACTAGCAGTTTATTCTTTCAAAGTTTGTAACTAGAAGCTGGAGAGTTATGGCCCACTGGGAGTAAAGAAACTTACAGTTACTTTAGAAAAGGAACTACTGCTTGGACATCTACAACAGGACTTTTGAACTTTTATTGTCACTGGAATTGCAAATACATTACCCACACCCCCGTTAACTTGGACTCAATTATTGTGTAACACTTGCCAATATCAATCCAACACACACTCTTGACAGGTGATGTGTGACCATCATAGGTTAAAATGCATGTACCTATAAAATAATGAGTAACAATGAGTTAGTACACTTATACAAAAGGTTAGTGCGGGTTCTTAGGGGCTGCTCACAAGAAACCAGAATGACTTTCATTCTGAAATGAGTTTGTTCCATCTCCGTGTTTCTTAACTCGTATTTGTTTACATGATACCGAAATGACATTTCATTCCCACACAAGTCATCCCAGAATGAGTTCATTCCCGTTTTCATTCCAAATGAAACTCCCGTTCTGGTAAGAAATTTCTTTCTTTGTTCCAGATAGTAAATCGCAAATCATGTAGTTTGAGATGAGTGGCACTCGCGTATCTGATCTGGTGTGAAAACCACACAAGCAAAAACACCTTAGGATGAGCTGTTCAATTTTATCATGCGAAATCTGTACAAATTTCACTCTGGAACAGAACTCACTCCGGAATGAAAGTCATTCCAGTATCACATAAACAGTCCCTTAGTTTTTGACAATAAAGTAGCATCTGAAACCAGGTTTGCGAGCGTGCAAGAATGAGAATGTCACCAAACCCATGTGTTCACAGAAACTACTAGTTTCAGAGGTTTCAGTGGATGCAATCCACTGATCACCAATCATACTAATCTATGCTATCCAAGCGCCTATTTGAAGAACAGAATGTATTGTTTATGTTCGTCTTTGCCATCAAATAGACCAGTTTCAATACATTAAGATTCAAACTTCACCAAGAGACTAGGGGGAATAAAATAAATGAACTGTACCTTAAGCGTCAATAATATTAATTTCTTTTGTTATAATTATTCCTCTAAGCCTCACAGTCAATGTGAATTTAAAGTACCATTAATATTTCAAACTTGGTCCATTGATGCTGTGAAATAGCATTTGCAAACATCCAGTATCATCCAAACAAAATGTCAAGCTTTTAATTTTTTTTTTTTTTGGAGTACCTTGAGCTGGTACATTCAAATATGTACGAGTAACTAAATAATCATATATTTGGTTTACAGATTAAGGTGAACTCACCAGTGAAATCCCAAACATGTACATTTCCATCATAGCTACCACTAAGAATACTGCATAGGGAAACAGAAAAACACAAGAATAAAAAAAAAAAACAAATAAAAAATCATTTGTCAGTTGGTTTTATAAAGACAAAAGGCAATGGCATCATCAGCCTTTTTTGTGCATTCTTATTGACGTGCACAGGAATATATTAACACCGATGATGCCATTGCCTTTTGTCTTTATCTCACGAATAAAATGCAGGGGAAAATCTCTCTGCAATGGCCACCTCTTTATAACGGCCATTATAACGGAACTAGATGTTGTCTAACAAAGCTGCCATTTTGGTGACCTCACGTTTCAAGATTGGCTGCTCAGGAGAGTTTCACTCACTCTCCTATTTACACTGGTTTAGGAGAGTAAGTGAAACTGATGTCACAAACTGATTTCATGTGTGCTATGATCAGCATAATAAGTAGTATGGTAAGGAACGAATTATCCTGGCCTTTTTTGTGCATTCTTATTGACATGCACAGGAATATATTAACGCCGATGATGCCATTGCCTTTTGTCTTTATCTCATGAAAAAAGGCGGGTGAAAACCTCTCTGCAATGGCCACCTCTTTATAACGACCATTTTCCTCTGTCCCGCAGGTGGCCCGATTGTGAAGAGTTTCAACTATATTTGCATAGTTCCTACTGTCGACAGCTTTAAGTTCTTCTTTATCATAATTTATTAACATACCACTTTTTACAAACAGCCACAGAGCTCACCCAATCATCATGAAGAAGGCAGTTGTCAGGCCTAGGAGCTGGATGCTTCTCAACATATTCTATTTCTACAACACTTTCCTGCAGAAAAGTAGTAGAAGTTCTAAATAAAAACATTTCTAAGACTAGCGATGATGATCAGGGCTTGAAATAATTTTGCAGCTAGTGCTATAGCTTGGGGTTTTAATATACTGAAGTCTAAGCTGGAAATATCATACTGAACACATTGTAGTGAAAATAAGTACATCAGTTGGTATTATTGTGAAACTTAGTCATTTTGTGCCACCAAATATTCTACTGCACATCTATCAATCCTTAATATTGCCCTATATATTTTATGGACTAACAGCATGGGGACTTTCGAGTAAATCCTACCTGACAAAAATTTTAATTCTTCAAAAATGACCACTTACATTTTATATTTTCCAAAGAGAGATGAACTTGCTGTCTGTCTGTTCACTGATGCTGATACTCTACCATTAAATTTTCATTATTACAAATCCATCTATTGTTGAATGCATGATATAAGAAATCCACAGGAACCCAGTAACATTTTAAACCTATTCAGCGAAACCACTAGTATTCACTCTTACAACACTTGGTCTTGCTCATCAAATAACGTCTATATTAAGAAATCTAGGTTAGATATCCAAAAGAGAGCATTTTCAAGGGTAGGAGCTAAAACTTGGAATGAGATACCAGTATCATTAAGAGAGCTGCCATTAGGAGTTTTACTAGGTGTTCACAGTTTTCCGAGTTTGACAGTAAATGTTGGTTCTTCAGCACAAGTTTCAAGTTTCAAGTTACAAGTTTGTTGCTTTGCCATAAAACATACCAAGCAAGAAGAAGTTCTACATATTCAAGAAAGCTATTACGGCAAGAAAGCCCAAGGAAAACCACTGGGCTTAATTAAAAAATAAGCTCCCTCAACTAATTATTAACAATGAATTGAAGCACACAAGTATACATGCAAAATCAAAATCATACAAATTCAGTAGCAGAGCTACAGTAAATATCATAATATATTACATGTAGATAATTGTATTAAGCACTATTTTTCAGTGAAAAGGTCATGAATTTTGATTGTGGGCAGAATCAATAATGAATAAAGTAAAACAGTTTACAATCATGAGTGACAGAGATATTGTTAATAAAGGAGAATACTCACTGTGGTAATATTGTGACTTTTTAGGTGTTTATCCAGGGTGTCATGGAGATAAATTCCGTCAATAAGAAAATCAAACTGGAAATTCCTCTCATTTTCAGTATCTGATTCTGACAACTCTGATTCTGAAACGAAGAAACAAGTCAACACACAGTGTGCTGGTCTAAATCAGTCTCTAACTTCAAACAACTATACTGTATTATTCTCCCCAAGGCCGCCACCCCTGCCAGGTGCCACCCTTAGTCCCGAGGCCACCAAAGAATGCTCAACCAGACAGAGTTCAGGAACCTTTACATACTACCAAAATTACTAAACTACAAAAATGGTGTTTGCATTTGAATTTTTGAATAGCTGGTCTGGGTGCTCAGTTTGGTCATGTAACCACTCCTACCTTTCCGAATGGCAATAACAATGGTTTGTGGTTGAAAGAAGAATTAGCCATGGCAAATCAGTTAGAAAAGATGTGAGGACCCTGATTATTGATCATAACTGTCCTGGTAGTTTTAGGGCATTTAAATGGCGAACCATTGTTATTGCCTCTATAATGGGAAAGGAAAGTGTTAAGTCCAAATGGGGCAATTGGAATGGACACATTTAGCTAAAAACAATTCAAATGCAAACAATAATAATAACTATGTTTCTTGGAGTGCTAACAGTTTAATGATATCTGGAGTATAATTTATGTGACATCCCATTAGTTGTTTTCAAAAGTAGTGGTAATTCAGCGAACGAGGTTTGCCCTCAAATGGTACACAAATCAAAAGGTGAGTTGAGTTTCTTCCAGCGCTTAACCTCATGTGACAGCTTATTCATTTGATGTCATTACAATGAGTTAAGCATGAGACAAATTAGCTAACCAATGTTCTTCCAGCGCTTAACCACATGTGCTGGCTTATTCATTTGATGTCATGACAATGAGTTAAGCATAAGACAAATAAGCGAACCAATGTTTTGTCAGGTATAACATGTAACTTGATTTTTCATTACGTTGGTCTTAAGGCTCATGTGCAATATTGAGAATGATTGAGTCACTTGTAGGATATCTCACATATCGCTACATGAGTTTAGCTCAAGAAAACAGCTGACATTGATCCCCACAGGGTCCGACCTTCCTGGTCACCAATGTGATATTCTCACATTTCATAGCTGGTCGCCAGCTGGCAACTGAAAGTTTGTTATTGTAGACTTTCATGTTCGGAGAAAATGATCGAGAATTGAAACCTGACATGCTGATATTTTTTTTTAATTTAAAAGTGAAACGAATCTTCTTGTAAATATACAAACAGCTGGTATCAATACAAGTTGAACGCGTTTCCAAGCCATTTTTGGCAAAAATAATTTGCCCTCTGAGAAAAAATACTTGCTTACCAGTTGCATATTAAAAAGTTAATTTCATAACGCCTGATATATTGGTATATATGACACGTCACGTCCTAGATCTGGCTATAAGTGCTACTGAGTGGTTGAAAATAATATTTTTTGCTTCGTCCAGTCAGAAGCAATACCTAGATCTGGGTGTGGAGTTTCTGCATTAGGTCCTCAGACCTCATTTGGTGGAGAAACCAGTGAAGGTGTCACAAAATATTGGCTGTTTTCTCAGGCGAAAATGGGTTGCATAGCAAGTACATACCATTTGACACTAGCAAGCTACTGATAAGCTCATTTAATTCTTGAGATCCAACCTTTACTGGCACAGAGAAAGGATTTTCTGGTACTGCATACCTGTAAATCAGAGGATGATGGAGGCAAAAGCTTTTGAGTTTTAATATTTAAATCATCATCATAATTATCTTGGTAAAACTTATTATCAGTATTGAGGTCCTGTCAGGGTAAATTCCTACAAGCAACATGGCCAAAAAAGTAGAAACAGTGCCTAAAATGAAATGGTGACAAGAGACAACTTCCCCTGGTTAAATTGCGACAGTGACAACAAAGCCAAGAATTAGCAACAAAGAACAGTGGCTTGGCCAATTCTGTCACCAATTTGAATCCAAATTGTGGTCAATTGTGTCAATTTTCTTGTGATTCAGAAAAAGACTTGAAGGTCTTTCATTACACTTCATTTATGAAATTTACATAACCCCATGCCCACAGAACTCCGGGAGACCTGGGAACCACGTAGTCCGTCACCTGTTTATAATTTTATATGCACGCTTTATGTGACCTTACGTCTCCCTCACTTGATTACTTGAACATGAAGTGCGTGAACTTTTGAGATTCTGAGACCTCTTCAGACAACTTTGTCGACATACCTCTGTCGGATATTGAAGATACACGTTGAAATGGGAATGACAGGAAAGTGTAAACAAAAGAGTCATAAGACATAATTTGTACAAGAGTGACCACAACTTAAGAAGGCAAGAGATCCAGAAACTGGAAAACAATGTGCACATTCTTAGAGTAAATAAATGTGCTTTATCGTAGTTTTGGCATACACTTGAAGGGTTGTCCCTCTGAGCACCATTTTATAGAGGTGTTTACCAAAGCTTTGGAGGGTATCTCCCACTTTTTCACCAGTCAGAATGGCAGACATTCAGTCCTGCACTGAAAAGAGAGGGTTGTTTAAGGTCCAGAGAGTATAATTTCCTAGCTCTTTCCTCAGTAAAAGAGCTTAAGACGTCCATAAATCACATGAATCCTCAATTACAAAAGCTTGTCCAACCTTCTTCACTGCTCACCTGGATTGTTGAACATCTTTTTAGGAAAAATATGCCAGCTACAAATCGCACCCCCACTTTGTTAAAATTTGAGTATCTGTTTGGCCCCACCATAAAGGAACTCCTGAAAGGGTTAACTAATTGTGGTTACCATTACTTCACCGGCAGTGGATCACATTATGAGCGACCTGATCAACTTCTCCTTCAATTTGCAGAGTTGCCAAGCATCTCAAAAACATCAGTTGTTAATTATGACCAAAACGGATCAAGAAACCCTTTGTAATATTGGACAAATGCATTTAGCAAGACTATCTGACAGCTACATGTAACTGTCAGAAACCAGAGCACAAAAGACAACGTAACGTGGCAACACTTCCTCTGTATGCATACACGCCAGATCCTACAAAGCCTGTTCCAGTAATTTTCGAAGATGTCACAGCAAATGTTGATGCTCAGTCTTGTGCGACATCACCTATGCAAAGTCAAGTACATACAAACAGACCGATTTTGTATTAATTCTGCAAATTCTGTTGGGTCATGTAGCAGCTCTCCTAACCTTAAAAGCCAATAATTGGTTTGATACCCTAACCATGAAACAATGGGAAATAATGATAAACAATGTTGTGTTATTGTCTTCTGCAACCAATGAGGAAACACCTTAAGAGCAGTTCCTACATTACTGATTCCGTTGTCCTATTAAAACCTGGCTACCCACCTCACCTTAACATCACAGCACTATTTTCACTTGGCATAATAACTGAAGATATTATTGATGATGATCAGAGCTATTCTGTTAATGTTACCCTTTTTCTTCCCTTGTTTGATGATTGTCTGACATTCTGTTGTCGAATCGATGTGACTGTTCAGTGTGACACAGTAGCCATCAGGGCAGAAACTGTGTAAGGGATTAACTCTGACTATGGCAAATCAATAAAACTTTCTGATGAACACTTCTCTTCTCTCATCAGGTACTTGCAAAGAGAGACAAATATCCTATCTGAGGATGAAACTTGTGGACACCATCGCGATGAGTCTGACAGTGAAATGAGTCTGACAGTGAAGAAGGTGAAGACAATGGCTCCTTCACAGTAGACTCGAGTGTCATACTTAATTGACAGGACGATCAGTAAGAAGTCCACTAACCTCTTTACTGGTAACAAAAAAGAGGTTAGAGGTAAAGGTCATGAGCGAAGTGACTGATACTTTCTCTGGTGTCAATAACATAAAAGTGACTAGTTCAAAGGCAAGACATCTCCATGAATGTGAAGTGAGATCAACTGCCTTATCTCCTCCCCCCTCCCCCATCGTTTTCTGTTTCAACCTCAGTTCAGCTTTCACGCAGCTGTATCTCTTAACTTTACAAACCACAATGTTGAATGCGGATAAATTTTGGATCAGTTGTTACTGTTTTCTAAACATTAAATAATAAATATAAAGTCAACTAAGAACTACAGACCTGTAGTGGTTTATTTATAATACGCCTCTACCCACCTTCTGTAAAATTCCAACAAAGACAGAGGATTTTCGTTCAATTTCCAATGGCGACATCAAGTTTTGAGAAACACCGACACAAGATATTTTGAAATTCAGACGAGCAGCATGGGATCCCCGCCCCCCCCCGGCAGGGCCTCAGTACTGGGCATAACAGCAGGGGCAGATCCAGGCTTTTTTTGAGGAGGGGGTGCACTCGTCTCTTGCTCTACTTCAACAACAATTAATAAACCACATAGTTTTTTTGGCAGAATACCAGTTGTATTAGAAAACCGCAGGTCATCTCATCTCTGAACAGGCAGGTTAACATGTAGTTTGCATTTGCCCTTCTTTCTTAAGTTAAAAGCAAAGCCTTATACAATGGTAAATGAGAATACAATAAAATTAACAGAATTAGATTATTATTTATCATATAGCCGATTTGCATTAAATGATGTAATTATAAATTTACTTGCTGCGTGACCTGTTTATTGAACTACCGTACTTCATTTGAAATTTTGTAGTCTGAGACCTATCCCACGTGCATGAGATTAATCATCATAAACTTTTTGAGCTCACAATTATACAACAAATCAAAATGAGGCACCAAATTCCGTTGAGAAATATAAATCAAGAAAAGGGTAAAATTATTCTTGGGCTTTTGGATCAAAACCTTCAATCTTACATCCTTACCGTTTCTGTTTTGTAGTAAAGCGAGCTTGTACATATCCGCTCTCTTCGTCCGCCATTTTGATTCTGATATAGTTTCCAGTTCTTCTCGGCCACAATGATGGCGTGAACACTCGCGCCAGTCTTCTTAAAAACTGTCATCTAGCCGAAACGGCAAATGGTATTTTCCACTTGGACAAATATCTGACCGTGATAAGCGTTTTAAATTCTTTGTAGAAATTCTATTGACACTCGTGTCAGTAGAAGAAGGGGTGGTCAATACAGAAGGGGTGCCATCCGTTAGTCCCCGAGGCCGCAACCCCTAGCCCTAAAATAGTCATTAATCACCTGAGCTACTAACTAAGGCGAATTCAAATTTCTAGAGCTAATTATAAGTGTCCGCCTAAACAACTCCTTTGCGATTTTAAGGAAGTGCTTGTTTTGCCGGCGTTTAACTCTGCAGCACATATTTTTTTTTTGGAAAGCCGTAAGAGATTATTTGTTTGGAACCTAAGTTGGGGAATAGGCTACCGGGAGAAATTAGGATCTTACCATCTCTGAAGAGCTTTAAACATCGTATTCGAAAATAAGGATTTAAGTGCGATGGTAGAAGATGATAATTGCACAAACTACATTCTTGTTGTAACTCATCAGTAACAGAACGAAATTTTCCAGGCTGGCTTTCTACAGGGGCACCCAACGAGAATATAGTTCAAAACCACATAAACATAGCATTGTTGAACGTACTTTAGTATTTAAACGGTAGATAAAGGCTTATTTTTATCCCTTAAAAATTTTTCATCTGTTCGGATTTCCTAGCTGAAAGTATAGTGATTCGAAAACTATAGGGATCAAAATTTACCTTTTCGAAAATTTCAGCCAGAAAAAAGGCTCCCGAAAATTCTAGGTGACCTTTTTAGGGTAAAAATCCGTTAAAAATGGGCAATCATACGATTTTTTTGAAGTTCGAAAATCCTAGGAGAGGCAGGCAAGCAAGAAATTTTTCAGAAAATGATCCGAAAATTCTAGACCTCAAATCGTCTTCCGAACAGATAATTTTCCGAAAATTGTCATTGGGTGCCCCTGTTTCTATTTAGTTAGTTTTCTTAAATCTTAGGTAACTAGGCTTTTAGTACCGAATAGTTAGTATAAGGCTTTTGATCTTTTATTAGTTAATAGGTTTTCTTAATTATATTGTTAAATGTCCCTTATTAATAGAGGGGTATTACCCTCGACTAGCTATTAAGACACGTTAATAAAGTTTTGATTGGTTGATTGATTAATACTTAGACGCATTTTTACCTGATGCTACAATAATAAAGCCCAAAAAAAATGATGTTCAACTATAATCTCGCTATGTTAATAAATCGCAATCAAACTTTCAACAATAAATTTTCATTAAGTTAACAAAACTATTTTAAAGTAGGTTGGTAGCCACAAACGTAGCTATGAATCTAATGGTTCAAATCCTTTAGAAAGTTTGCGAAAAATTGCAACCTGACATGCTGATTGCAAATCAAATAATCCAAAATGAGTAGCTACGTGTAACATCGAACTCGTTCCTCCCTTTTAAGCATATATTAAACCTAAAATCAAGAATGTTTTCAACAGGTTCAACTTATCAGCACCGATGCTACGACAGTCTGATTTGTCAAGAAAGGTCATAACTTGTTTTATAACCATTAGGCTTTTTTGGTACTGTATTTTGGAGCATCGACTGAAAAAGAGTCGTAATATTAATCCATAAAAGTAAAATAGCGGCAAAATGCTGTCGAGTAAAACAACGAGTAAAAAAGCCACTTGCCTTATCGTCAAATGATTTGTTTTGGCTGGCTAGCTCTCAAACTGCCAACTTCGCAACGTCTCTAAAGTGGTTTTAAATTCGCCTTAATAGCCCAGTTTTCAAATGAAAATTTCGGGTGATATCAATATCCTAGTTTTCAAATGAAAATTTCGGGTGATATCAATATCCTAGTACTGTTTACTTAACGTTCACCTTTCTTCTGTCTTCTGCTGTTTTCTACATTAATCAACGAATGTACATAAGAATAAATTTTAGATTTTCACGCTAGATTTAATCCAGTGGAAGAGAGTCTTTAATCAATTGCCCAAGACTGCTGATAAGTGTAAATGGAAAAGTGTTAGATAGAGTCATCTCCGCCCAAGTTCCTTGGTGTGTAGATTCAAGAAAACCTCAAATGGACCGATCACGTGACTAAGAACGTATCATCGTGCTTTGCAGCTTTATCAACAATCGAGAAGACCAGAAACATGGCGCACAAAGCTTTAAGGAAGCAATTGGTTGAAGCATTGGTATTTTGGAAGCTTGATCTTAACGACGTTGTATTGTATCCACTATCTCAATTTTGCTTGTTCGATTACTGTTCGCCTGTCTGGGACAGTTGTGGGTTTGGGAGCAAAGCCTATCTGGATAAGCTAAATAAACACACCGCATGTATTATTGAAGGTAGAGGCATAGGGGCCGAGGAGTTAAAATCAACACTTGGCTGGTCCAGCGTAAAAGCACGCAGAAAATATCTCAAATGCGTCTTAGTCCATAAGTGTGTTCACGGAATAGCGCCTTCGTACTTACTTTCAGAGTTTAGACACGCGCACCTTTTCCATAACCTACAACACTAGAAGTCGTGATTTGCTGCGCCCTCCCTTCGCAAACACTACTAAATACCAAGGAAGTCTTCAGAATAAACGGTGCTTGAACCTATAACACCGTACGAGAATGCCTGCGGTACACGTTGCCATTGTGACTTAATTATTTTTCTAGTTTTAATGTTTTAATGTCCTTGTTTTTGTGTTGTGGGCTCCATTTAAACTATAAGCTCTGCAAAACTGGATGCCCTGGATGAATATTGAGTAAAAAAAATCGCAATATCTTAAAGCAAAATTGCAGCGAGTTCAAAGATGCGCAGCAAGTTTCAAGAAGCGTTACGCAAGAATACCTGACGTTATGCGTCAAGATGGCTCCCTGTTAAAGAAAGAACTTAACCGAATTTCACCTATTAAGTCCTTACATGATACCCACTGGCCAAGCTATTTTAACTCTGGAGAAACGCCAAACTAACAGAAATCCGCGCGCTACACCGAAACATAAACTTTCAATATTTTATCCACATACACATGTATAAAAATATTTCATAAGATAAAAAGTTTTACATAGAAAAGTCATCAGTAAATCGTATTACTTATTATTATTATTGAACAAATTAAATTAACAAAAGGTAAGAATACTAGGCTTTCGCTTCAGAATCTTTTTTATTAGATCTTGCTCCAAACTTATATCAATGCGACGAAAAAAGTACGAACTCTGGGCACAAAAATAGCCAAGTGCAATCAATAATAGAATTGATGCAAGGTGGCACCAAATCAGCTTGGGGTCTTGCTAATCTGCAATGGTTGAGGTGGCTCCCCCTCAACGGGTCCACCCTTAGTCCCTTGGGCGCTCCCCCTCACTGGGGCCACCCTTAGTCCCTTGGGGACCCCAGGTAGGTGAGGTAACCCTCTTAGGTGGGGTAACTAGGCCTTTCCCGATTGTGCTCGTAAAATGCTGGAAAGTCGCTCACTGGAATGCCAAAAAGTTGCTAAAAAATTGCCAAAAATCCAAAAAGTTGCTACCTAAATTTCAAAAGTTGCCACCTAAATTACTTGATATTTTTATATAAACGTTAATCAAAAGCTTTATTTTGCGTTCTTCACAATAATTACCAACATCGGTCCAGAAAAAAAGTTAAAAGAATTAAACAAAGTAAGAAAAAACTTTAACGGTAAATTTAAAAAAAATTAAAAATTGAAGTTTTCTGTGAAATCGTTGACTTTTTCGTGCTTGATATGTGCTCTAGACCTATATTTCGCTCTAACGTTGCTCAGAAAGGCAAGGGACTGTGCAATAATTATCAGGAGGGGGGCAAAAAAACTAGAGGGGGGCATTATATAAAATTGCTGCCAAGATAGGGGGGGCTCAGAGTAAAATCACTCATTTGACGGAGGGGGGGCCTTAAGTTTTATTCGAAATGGAATAAAAGATTCTCAATACAGGCATCATGATAGACTGTAACAAATATCAATAGCAACAGCTGTTGAACGATTATTGAAAATATTCCATCAAAATGAAAAGCAAATTCAAAATTGATCAATTTTAACCCGTCTTCTAATTAATTGAGCTGATCCTATGTAAAGCAAAAATCATGAACTTGTTTTTCAGCTTTCCCCATAAAACAATGGAAATCAAACAGATCTTGTAGACAAGCTTTGTCGGTTTTTTATGTGAATAAAAGTAATGTTTCTTCATCGACTGAATCGATTTGCTGAATTCCATATATATATATCTGGCTCATAACAAAGTTCAACACGGCTCTCCTCCCAAGGATCTAAATATAATGCAAGCTCTTTTTCGTCTGTTATTGAAGCGTTCAATCTCCTGTTCTTTGATTTTTTTCTCTGCTCCTTTCTCTTTCTGGCTTCAGAAGTTTTAGATTTTGAGCCAATGTAGCAAGCACCCCGGTACTTAGCAAATGCTTTGTCTAAATCTTCAATCAAGCGATCAACATCCTTCTCGATACTAGATGTTACATAATAACGTTTGTCATTATTGAAGCTGTGATGGCAGCTCAGTCTAGTTTTGAGTTTACCAGTGTTTTCAGAGAAGAGGCTAGGTGGGTGGTGGGAGGGGGGGGAGGGCAGTGCGACGTTATTTTTAACATAACAGAGGGGGGTTAGAACTATTTTTTTTTGTTTTGGAGGGGGGGTACTGTCTAAGTTTTTGCTAGATAACTCTATAAACAGTCCTCTCACAAAAAAATCGCCATTATATCAAAAATTGAGGGAGGTGGAATAAAGGCGATGTGGTTATCCATACATTCTCACATGCTGATTTAGTGTAAAATGTTAGCTGCAGTAAACTTTCAGACTCGTACCCAGTCGCTATTTGTGTATTTTTGGAATGAGAGAAGATTGAAGTTGGGCTGAGGCGCGCGGGGACTGGTGGGAAAGTACGAAGGAAAAACGCGACTGGCAGGTTTTTTTTTTTCACTAAGGTTCAATATCAAAATTATGTGCCCATCTTATGCGTAAATATTTTTTTCTATGGAATTCTCTTTGCATGATTATTGTTACGGACATTGTCCCTTGCACGAATGATTTTGGGTTTTTCTCCCACCCCCTATCGCTTTTCTAATGGTCCGTCGCTAACCGTTTTTCCCGCCTGATATCAGCCAGTTACAATCTGAAAATCAGTTTAGCGTTCGTTCGTTGCCCCAATGAATTATTCTGACTTTCAATGAAAATAACGGTACGTTGTGCCCTTTTTGCCTCTTATTTGGAGAAGATAAGATCTCCTATCAGACAGAAAAGTCATAAATAAATAATTTCGAAGAATTTTTTTGCACTATAACAAGAGCCATAATTAATGATAGAGTGCAATCATACACACCCATTAAAAGCTTAAACGTGCTTAGAAAATTAATTAACTCGTCTCTGTGGATGTCAGATATCGCTGCAGGTGCACAATTTCTTCTCATAAAAATAATAAGAAACAAGTAAATAAAACTTTATTCAATTCACCCTTATTCCAGGATCGATCGCAAGGTCAAGGTACTCAAACACAGGCAGCTTCCTATAAAACTGATTATAACTGATTATAACTATTGCACAGAAATGTGAGGGGCAGTGGTTTTGTCGTTCTGCTGATGATGATCGAGTCTGCGCTAATGGCCTCAGGCTACATAGGTAATAAAGGCGAAATTGATACATACATTTTCAGTTACTTTTTTACAGTCTCTCCCGTAAATCAAATATGCGAATTTTCTCTATGAATGCAGTTTTAGCGCTCACAATTTCAAAGGGAAGAATGTATAGATTTGTGATTTTTGTGATACATGTATTTTGTATTATTCAACTCTTCTATTTATTTGACATGTATTTACATATTGTGTTTTAAAGAAGTGCAAATATCTATTAAATATGTATAACATCAAAAAATGAGTCCCTTCTCCCATCTAAATAAACCCTCAAATATATCATTAATACATGCGATGTAGCAGCAAATGATGGTAGTTTGGCACTAAGCGATTATTTCGTTTGATGTGGTATTCTATTTTTTTTCTAAAATAATCTTCTGGAGATGCCAAAAGTGCATTAGCCTGAATTTCATCCGATTGCTTCGAGTCGTTTTCTCCTCCTGTCGTCTGGCCTGATCATAAAAACACTAACACCTCACTTTAATACATGCTTAGTTAAAACAGTATATCAGAGGAACACCAACAGATTCGGTTAAATAAGAGGAACAACGCTCAAACATCATTACTATGATAAATTGCCGTCCCATATTTAAGATTTTAATATATTTTGACGTGTTTTTAGGTATAAATGAAAATAAGCCATGACGCAAAAAAAAAACGTCAAGGGACAGAGCTCTTATTTAACTATGAATAACTTGGAGAAACATAAAAGACGCGACGTTTTTTTTTTAAACACAGCCAAAAATTCGGAAAAATTAGACAAATGATACCTCCCAATAAAACTCCTTCTGACGAGTTCCAATTGAAGATGATACCTCCAAATAGAACGGCTAAAAAGAAAAGGAAAAATGGACGGTGTTTTGTATAAGGGTGTCTTCATAAAAAAGTACATTAAACGTCCAACCAATGAAAAGGCTTAATAATTTACTAAGCGTTATTTAGACCCTTTGGAAATCACATTTAATAATCAGGATATGCCACAAGATGAAATTTTGTTTATTTAAATTGAAAGTTTATAAAGTAGAGGCCCTAAATTTTCTTCCGCTAATAGATTTGGGAAACAGATTCGAGATCCCTGTACTTTCCAGTAGTAGTTGAAATTTTAAATAGGCCACATATTATTCTGCTTTTATTCCAAGGATATTTTGACTATTATAAATTTAGAAGAATTTAAAGAATTTGTAAAGTAATTACATGTAAATACCATGTCACAATAAACCAGCAGAAATATTGTTTTGTGACACTTTCAGTGTAGAAAACAATAAGTGTATACTGAATGTACACAGAACTTATTTCCCCGTTCCATTTCACAATTAATAACTTCCCTGTAACATCAAATCGCCATTTAAGTATTCGATTCCACTTGAATTAAAAAAGAATATTAAATATCGGGTAAGCAGTCCTGGTCGCAAACCAAATAATTTTGACATTGAAAAAAAAATTAAATGTACTTATTTGACGGCCTGTGCGTCTGTTTACATCCTGAGCACACACTTTTCACATGAGCCAATCAGAACACGTGTTACTTGAACGACCTGTTCCATTTGTGAGGAATCACATTTCTAGTTGCTTTCATACGGTTGGCAAAATACGACCGCTGCGGTTCTTGATCGTAATGCCGGTAAAACGAGGTTTGGTGGCTCCACAAAATATCTTTATTCAAACTATCATAAAGAAATTCGACGGATCGCGTAGGTCTTAATTTCAGCTGTGAATGTTAATCGACTTTGTGTAATTTTATGGATGCGTTGAGTGTTAGATTTTTTCCTGATGATGTTTATTTGTTCAAAATTTATGTAGCGGATCGAAACTTTGTACTGGGAAATGCTCAAGTCGCTGATCTTCCTATAATTTACTGCAACGATGGATTTTGTGAGCTTACGGGCTATAGTAGGGCAGAATTGGTCCAACGACATTGCAGCTGTGACTTTCTTTGTGGCGAGAAAACAGATACGCTTGCTGCCAAAGAGGTAAAGGATGCACTCCAAGGGCAGGACGAAAGACACGTGGAAATTCTCTATTACAGAAAAGACGGTAAGGTCACAAGTGTAGCAACTAAGGTTTTTTAATACAGACATAATGGCCTACAACGCAGCTTGTGTAGGAAAAATCACTGCGACCGGCTGAGCATGAAAGACGTAACAAGATTTCGCGCGCGGCAGAGAGACAAATTTATATTTATTTTCGTTCTGTTCAACTCTTAATTAGGGATGGGAATCTTAGCAGAAGTAGTGGTAATACAACATTGGTTTTGATAGTAAAGAGTACAATAAATATTTTATGACGTGCCGGCAAAACTCGGATATAATAGCTTTATAAAAAGGGGAAAACACCCGCTGCGATTTGACAAATTTTCTATCTGATCCTAATACATTTAGCGGTACCTGACATAACTCAAATAATTTTATCGTAATAGTATGAGGGGTTCTCGTTTGTTGACTTAGTTGTTAGATTGGCTGGCGTCTCCCTCTAAGAGTTCGCACATTGTTTGACGTCTAAACAATTTATGGCAGTTCGGTTTGTTTGGAGCGATCGGGGTTTATTCTCGTTAGCCATTAGTACAGAACATGAGTGCGATAAATAGCTAGAGGAGATGAAGCATGCCGTTTTTTCCTTCTTTTATCCTGGAGAAAGAAACTGTAACTTAACTTTGATTATATGTGCAAAAAAACGTATTAATGTTTTCTGTTTTTTGAAATGTTCTTGAATGGAAACCAATTTTGTTCGATGTGCAGCTTGTGACGCCCTTGGGCGTAAAATGTCAAACATTTATATCCAGCGCGCGCCTATTTTACGATCCATTGTGTTTCTTACGGTTATTCTTTTAGGATGAATGAATACAGGCTTAATTAAGCATAACTGCGATTCATTAAACTTGGCCACTTCATAAGGACATAGCAGTTACATCAAAACAAAAGCTTGCACTATTCAGCTGAAAAAAACAGATCGGCAGACTGAGTTATGTAAGCTGCAGTTGACGAGAATTAATAAAACTGATTACAGCTTCCTTATCAACTCCCTCCAGCCCTTTACTTGGGCCTTTGTTTATCTCATCTTAACGGTTTCAATAATTTCCTCTTTGTGATTAAGACCCAAATTAAACCTTCTGGCAGTGGTCCAAAACTGTTCGAACTCTTAAATCCCCTTACCATATACACTCATCTCAAAAGGTGCACATTTTTCTGAGTTTACCCCAGAAAGCGTGCAATGTAATTATGAAATATCTTCACCCCATGTCTACCAGCTAGTCTAATTTACTGATGCTGTGAAAGGAAAAATTGTAATCAACTTCTGAGAGAGGGGTAAATTGAGAATTGTTTTCTTTTTACAATTTTTTATAATTTTTGTGACTGGTCTGCTTTACAATTTTCACTGACTTCTGCAGTACAGCTATCATTAATCAGTTATTTCTTGGTACAGTATTAAGAAGAAAAACAATTTTAAAAATTTGCTATGCAGGGGCAGTTTTAAGGCACAGATCCAGAGTTAGAATATGATTGTTTGCCAAAGATAAAAACACAAGCACCTTATGTGCGAGTTTCTAGCTTGAAGGATCTGCATAAGGATATGCGCTGTCAAACCTTTTCTTATTAAAACAAAATATTATTAAACTTTGCCAAAACTATTCTGGAAACAGGTCTGAATATTCATCCTTGTATTCCGCAAGCCTAGTCTGTCATTGTCGCCATTTGCAACATCCAGACCGCCAATTTGCAATCTTTTATCAGGAAACAACTGAATAAACAAGTGATTAATATTTATTTTTGAGAAAATATGTGATGCATGAAATAGAAAGCTCACTTAGAAAGGAAAAAGCTGAAATTGTCACAAATTTCTTTGCCAAAAAATTCACTTCAAGTTTCAAGCACAAAAGGAAAGAAGTACACACTCTGTAACTAGCTGTTTTTAAATACTGAACTGATTTCTCACATTGAAATGAGGTTGCTTGCATGTGTGACCAGAGGTTCGTCTTGGGAACTTTATCAAACTGTTTGCATAGTTATCACAGACCTCCTATAAATTTGCTAATAATATGAAAACTGCTTGATGAGTTTTTTTAATGGGTCTCTCTCAAGAGTCATTGTCTTATGTGGCCTCCACGTTTTGGAGCTTTTAAGTCTGGGAGGGATATTTTAATTTTTAGGATATGTCAAGTTTTTGTCAGTTTCTACGAATGATTATATAATTATAATCATTCATGGGTATGGAGTAATAAACTACCGGTAATTACCTACTGTCTGAAAAGCTGGGGTGGATTGGATTGTAACAGGAGAGAAAGGCTGATAATCCCGTCAAGGGAATATTACAGTAATACTCCTGGTCAGGGCACAAAGAGTTGAGGTCTTGGTGTTCCAGGGGGGGAAGGGGGCAGCCAATATTTTTGGAAGAGCCTATCTGTGCTCAGTAGGTCAAAGGCGTTAGTGAGGTTTGTGAATAAGATGTAAAGTGGCTGTTTCTATTCCCTGTAGTTTTCCGGTGGTTTTTGGAGGGAAAATGTCCTGTTAATAACAAATATTCAGTTGCTGGTTTTATGGTATGAGAGTGTAACTTAAACCCCAATCTCCACATACAGCAAATTCTCCAAACTGATGTCTATATATTGCCTTAAAGAATTAGCTGAGAGAAATTATTTGATAAAATATCGAAGCATTTTCACTTTGGTTATCATCTTGTTAATTCTCATAACTAACTAATAATAACTAATAATTCTCTTGACAGTCTATATGGATACGGGGACGGTGGAGTGTATTTTGTATTGGGGGGGTTCACAAGCAAGCGCCAGAGATGCTAACTTGTAGGGGGTTCTGGGGTAATTCTCCGCCAGAAAATTTTGAAATCTTGAAGCTCGGAAATGCTACTTTCAGCATTCTCGACAAAGTAAAATGACAGATGTTTTACTTCTTATTTGTTACTTGATACATATATAGCTTAATATATCCCAGCCTTACATATATTCCGGCCTTAGTGTGTACACTAAATTGTTTTATTACAAATGTTCAACTTGTGTAGCAAGAGGGAGAATGAATCACTTGTGTTACATTAAGATGCTAATCTCAACAGTATATGACAAATTTCAACTATAAAACAAATTGCAAACTTTTGACAAATCGGAGAGTGAAGGGCCAATGCAAAATCGCCTGCGAGAAAGGGTGATAGGATTTTCCTAACTCGCGCGTAGTCGTCTCTCGTTTTTATTTACAAGCTGAATCGTGCGAATACTAAGGGAAAAGAACAAGTTGAGAGGCTGAAGTCAATTTCCTTGAACAATGCATGTACAGTAACATCAAGGGAAAACAACAAGTTCAATGGCTGAAGTCAGCAGTAGTAAATTTGGCGAAAATCCTTTCACGATTTTTGTTCAGGGATACAAAAGAATTTGCCACAGAAACTAAACAAAGCTTATCCAATGTATCTTTACATGTGTTCAAAATCGTGAGATGGTTGAAACGTGCTTGCTACATTCTTAATGGAAGCCCTATCTTGATTCATGTGAAGTGTCGAGAAGGACTTTTCCCCTGTTGCACTTGTTGCAGGATTGATGTGAACCAACTTGCAAACAACAATGACGTTGTTGATCAACTGTCGCTCAACTGTCTTTAGATCTTGGGCTTTACTCAAAATGTCCTGAAAGCAGCATAAAGGGACTCCAAAGTGAGCACTTGAAATGTACTTAATTGAGCAGCAAGGGTGGTTACATCCATGTCGCTGCTGAACTTTGATGGCAAATTGTCTACCTCTTTGGAAGTATCTTCTCCATTGGCTGTTTTTGTTTATTTTTAAATTTTTATTTTTTGCTTGAGATTTGGGGGGGCTAAAGCCCCCCCGCCTCTGTCGTCCTTGGGATATTGTTAAAAGAAAATTGATGTTGGTCAGTACTGGGACTTGAAGGGTCAAGAGATTTTGATCAAAAGCAGCTGAATGGATAGTTCTGTGAGTCATTTACAGCTGTACATTATATCCCTGTCAAATTTTTGCTCCAGTGATTAGAGTCTCTGTGCAGCTAGGGTAAAGCCCAGAATAGTTGGAACTCTCTGCAGTAACCTCATCCTACTGGGCTTTTTGGGATACTCCTGTTACAAAAACGGATAGTTTATTTATTTATTTATTTAGCTTCGCCTAACTAGAATACAATACATAAAAATTATTAGTCAGGGAGACCACTACAGCCTAACCAATTACAGTGGATCCCTCGTTCATTAAAAAACAAAAAAACAAAACAAAATAATCGTTGAAAAAAAAAGAATAACTAAAGCTACTGATATATAAACAAGAAAATCCAAAGAAAACAAAACAGAAGTTCAAATTGCTAGAAGCAGCACCTTGGTGGGCACAGTAGAGTCCTCGCTATGTTGCACCTGGGACAGATTGTTCTCCAGATTCTGATGTCATCAACGTTGTACAGGTCCAGCGCCTTATTGTAATATTGAAGTAGTGAACGCTTAAATGAGGCTAGAGAGATGTGACTTGTGCGTAACTCAGCAGGCAGAACATTCCATGTGCGGCACGTGCGTATGAAACATGAGTGTTGATAAGTAGCAGTATAGACATTATATTGATGTTTGTTTACTTATTTTTATTTCTGGTAGGAACTGCATTTCTGTGTTCTGTTCTGGTTGCACCTGTCAAGAATGAACAAGGAACCACAGTTATGTACATTATCAATCATGAAGATGTGACATGGTCCCCTAACAAAGATGAAGTTGCTCTACAAAGTATGACTTGTTGTTCTTTGTTTATTCCTTTGTTGTAGAAGTTTGTGTGTTTTATAAGTATGTTGTAGTTTCGGATCAGGATATTGTCACATTCAAGAACACTGAAGTGTAGAAAACTCAACAAGCCTTTTTCTTCAGCAAGCAAGTCGCACGAAGCATGCTAGTATGCATGCGCACATGTAAGAAACCGCATACAAGCTATGACAAAGTATCGCTAACTAACCCTCATTTTTGGGTGAACTGTCAGATATATACATGATTTGCCTTACAGTTACGTTTATTTGTTATGATAATGCTTCAGATTACATGTTACATTCTTACAACAACAGAGTGGTGTCATCAAACTTTACTACTACTTCTACTTCAAAATCCGAAAAGAATATTTAATCAAATTGAATGTCAGAATAATGGCTTATAGTAGTTTTCTGTTAAATTACCACTTCAAAATCCGAAAAGAATATTTTATCAAATTGAATGTCAGAATAGTGGCTTATAGTAGTTTTCTGTTAAATTACCATGCTATTGCTGTTGAGAAGTCTCTGGCTCAATGGCGAGCAGGAACGAAGAGGAACCCATCTTGAAAAGCCAGAGAGGCTTTCTCAGGTTATTTAGGATAGAAAAAACCCTTAAGAGGCGGCTGCAATTTCAGACTAAGTACCATGATGTTTTAAACTTTACTTTTAACAAATTTGTCGAAAGAAGTTAGTTCTTACGTGTAGCTAAAGTGAAGTGGCATGACGCTTGTTTACCTTTCAGGGCCAGTAAAGTCTAGTATAGGCCACCAAATCCGTTTTTAAAGTTGTTTTTACCGGTTTTTTTTTAGGTAACTGTTTTTCTAATCTGCCCTGTATGTCGTGTTTACGTACACTGCTAACAGGAGACAAGGTTTAGATAATCATATTAGGGTAGGTCAAATTTTAAGCATCGCTTGTTGAGAACGGTTTTGTTGAACACTGGTTAAACTCTTTTCTAATAACCAGGCCCCGTTTGTTCAAATGTTGGATAGCGCTATCCACCGGATAAATCACTATCCAACGGATTAATATTAGGAAAACCAATTGCGTGTCCACTGGGTAGCGATTTATCTGGTGGATAGCACTATCCAACATTTGAACAACCGGAAAACTGCCACCACAGAACAAAATCTGTTATTTTTGTTTGCTTGCCATGTAGGATGACTTCGTTTGTTTTCAAAAGAAATATTTCCTAATTGTGAAGAAAACCTTTATTTTGTCTGAAAACACCTATGATATTACTCACTCGAACTGTTACAATTTGTATGTTGATGAGCAAACTTACAAACAGATAGTTGAATACTTGGTCGCGAGGGTGAATTGGCCATTTAAAGATGGGTGAACGGCTGAAAGCAAGCGCTACAGCGCTAAAAACTAGTCTGTTGATTATCTCAGCATTCTAGTCTCTCTGTAAGGTGTCCAAGTTATCCCATAAACTCAGTGGATAAACTCCAAAACCTTTAACAATTTCGCAACCTTTATTCAGAAATTTGTAGTCCTGCAACGGGGTTACCATCACGCAAAACGCCGAAATAAAATGAAATAAAATTAAAAGTAATGACGTTAAAAAAGTTTCTACAAAAGATAAAACAAAATGGATAAACAAAATTCCTCAGCATCAATCATTATGCAATATTACAATTCATCATTGACTAAAATACCCAAGTAATACTTTTTTGAAACGATCTTTGGTCTCGTCTCACCAAACCTTAGTTTGCTCTCATCAAACAGCAAGTTGGTGGCGAGATGGTTTGGGGAGCAGGGCGAGATGGTTTGGGGTGCGGCGAGGTGGCCGGTACCGATTGTACCCTGTAAACAGCTGTTAGTGACAATTGAATTGTATTTAATATTGGTATTATTCTTCGTTTTCGCGCAAATGAAATCAAGTAAAGTGACCAATCCCAGTCCGCATCGATTGAAAATGTGATTGGATATAAAAACACAGCTGCACTGTTACTTCAAACCAAACATTTCTTTATGATTTGCATAAACCTTGAGACTGTTGCACCCTCGCAAAAGCAGTTTACATTTTGCTCTAAAGATTCTTCTTAAACTGAACCAAGTATTAATTCGTACCTGTGGTTGAGGAAAGAATTCTTGGGCAAACACGCTATTTGTGAGCTAAGAAGGTGAGAATAATGACCGAGTTGATTCTATTATATTCTTTTTCTCGAATGGTTAATGTTGGGCAAAAGATTTCAATTTTGTTAATCACTGTAAATGATATATTGAATTTTTGGATTAAAAGAGCAGCTAGGCGCAAGAAATACTTAATTCTTTGCTGTTTTTGGTTTACTTAATGACGGCGCAATCTTCTTACTGAAATACATTTGTGTAACAGCTGAGTCGATAGACCATCATCAGTTTTGTTTCGGTTTCACCTTCAAGATATTATTCGGAAATTATTCATCTAGTCATGTTTAAGACACAACATTATCTATATGTTTTTGATAATATTGTTTTTCTTTGTAGCTTAAAATTGTTGTATTTAAGGTGGAACTCAGTTTGAAAGCTATAAATCGGCTATAAATCTGAAATTCATTTTAAAGAAACGCTACAACATTTGACCGAAAATACATGGCTGTCAACGACCCTAAACTGACGAGAGTGAATCCTTATCTGATTAAAGGTAGAAATCGCCGGTGAAGTACGTTGGTTTTTAGTTCTGTTGGGTGTTAATTTTTCAAGAATAAATTCAATCCTTGTCTTATCAATTTAGTTCGAAAGCAAGTCTACCTCGTGTTTCAAACACTGGTTAAAGAAAAAAGGTTTTTAAAGAGGGCGGTATATGTTTGTGCATCTGAACTGTATTTTTTGTGCGGTGTTTGTGACGTGAATCTCAAAAGAAAATAACGGGAAGCAGCCTGTTAAATTTCAAAAGCTTGTGATCTTTTTTGTGATATAGAATAGGTTTTACGACATTTTCTAATGTTTTCTTCAATATGTGCTTTTCAGCGAAGAACTCGTTGTTGTTGTATTTGGTGCTGTTCCCTTGTGTCTTGTAACTCAAGAACGTTCATGTAACCACGTAAAACGTCTTTCTGCCATTGGGTGCTAAAAGGAAGCACATCTTTTTTTGTGCGGTGTCGCTATAACTTTTATTCGGTAGAATGTAACCAGTTTAGTAAAACTCACGACTCAATTTCCACCCGATCTCTGCTGTCACACCCTACACACTTTAAAGTACCATTTTCTTCTTTCTGATCAGCCGTGACTCAATCTGATTAGTTTTGCCTTCTTGTGCTACAAGGTGGCTGGAACGTTTGTGGAAATTTTTTAATTGTCTGTAACTCTGAAATGCAGTTTTTTTGTTTTGTACCACACGGTTTCTCATTTAAAACTTTTTTAGGAAGAGTTTTTCAAGGAAATGATCGTCATATTTCGAACTTAACGCTTTAGGCGTAATTTTTCCGCAAACTGCGCTAATAAAGTTGGTTACCACCGGTGTTGCGTACGATTACATATTATATAATATTATTATTAGGATTTTGTCAAAGCAAACTGCGGTATGAAAAGTTGTGATGTAATCATATCGTTTTTAAAACCACAACTTCAATAACTTAGTAATCGTGAACTAATGTTAAGCTGTATTGGTCGGTCGTCTCGATCAGGATTTTATGACTCGCTCTCCCAGGCCAACATCCGTACCTTAACAAGTTTTTGAATAGAAATGGAAGATACTCCTCGGCAGAAACGTAATAGCTGATCTCCGGTCGGAAATATTTATTTAAGAATGAAGGAGAGAGACCAACTATTGTCGTATTTATTTAGTTGAGCGTCCTGGGCGCTTATTAAAGTTTTTGACCGTAAGAAAGAGCGCTTTTTTCGAGGTGAGCGCTTATTTTCAAGGCTGGTTGCTTATTAAATATTCACCATTTTCTGCAAGTTTTGAGTTTATTTTGCTACAAGATAATAAATAATAACGAAACGCGATAATGTACAAAGCAGAATTTAAACTTTTTTTCCTTAAAGTAAACTCGGCCGAAGTCTCTTAGTAGTACTTACTAGTCAATTTCCATGTTTTGAGGTCGGTGAGGTCATTTTTTTTGGGAGGGAAGGGGGCGCTTGTTCGAGGTTGGGCGCTTAATGGAATAAATACGGTATCCATGTTGAGATCAGTGTCGCCATTTTTTACCATCGATTACAAAAACCATGCAGTAAAGTCAAAAATAAAAGTGAGGTCTTATTACGAACTATCAATGGAAAGTGATCTCATGGCATGATTTGTGACAGCGGCGTGTGGCCACAAAGGGAACGCATTTAGCGTGAGCTGGCGTGAGTTAATGTGAAAAGTTAAGGCTAAATTCTTTGTTTTGCGAGTTTGAAAAATTAAAGGAAAATAGATGTGGTTCGTTACTCCTTATCTTTTTCTCCTTTTGAAATTTCCGGGCTCTGTGAAGAGGAACAGATAGCCTGCGAGGAAGCTCTACATTTGTGGGATATCGTGAAAAGTAGACGCGCGAGAGGAGACGCGAAAGCTGGGGGCGGGGGAAAGACCTTTCCTCGGCCCCTCGCGGCTTCGCGCTCGCTCGCGCGTTCTCGCGCGGCTCGCCTCGCTCGCCCAAATAGGAGAGCTTGCTCGCAGGCTCAGGAACAGATGAAAATGTCAAATTTATTGGGGAAGGGACTGCCTTATTTGTCCTCCCCCCTGGTGCGGTGTGTGTGTTTATGTGGGGGGTGGGGGTGGTCTTGATAGTGTAGAAGACCGCTGTATTCAGCTCATAAGCGCCTTTCTTTACAGAGAGGTGTAGGGGATACAAACAAAGGAAATGAATAACATCACCTTGGAAACTTGCTAGCTGAAGTCAGGAACGACATTTCTAGGTGGATATTCGAGCAACGCAGAGTGTTTTTTTTTTTGGAGTACGTTCTTCCTTAGTTATTTTAAGACCCTGAGTTTTCGGTCCGGCGCCTGGAATCGAAGCCGCGCGCGGCGTTCCGCTTTTCAATCCATCCCCCTCTGTTCCACCTAGCTAATACCTGCCGCTATAGCCGCTATAGTGTAACTTGTCTTATGCGATAAAATGCCTGCCAGGTCTTAACAAAGCTGGAAATGCTCATATTAATTTTTACAGCGAGTTAACTAATGACAAAGGTTACGTTATTTAACTTTCTTTTTAAAAAATTAACTTTCACCGGCATTTATTTTCTAGCGATCACCAGCTGACCAAATCATCTGAGGTCTCTAGGTATGAAATCGTAAGCAAAGAGGATATTCTTCAATTGGAGGGCATCTTTATACTAAACTATCGCCTGCACAGGAAAAAAACTCGGACACATACTTTTCAGCAGAACGTACGTTTCTGACGTAATATTGAAGCCATGTTTGTTTTTTTCCTTTTGAAAAGATTATAAATTTCCATCACGCGCTCAAACTACTCTGTTGACAGCTGAAACCCTCAATTTCCGTTAATTCTGCCCCGAGCTTATTCTGGTTTTTGTGTTCGTTAATATTCTTCTCGGCTTCTGCCACGTGTTATTTTTCGTAAGTGAAATGATTGTGGCTTGTTAAGTGCATGTAACTCGACAGGAACAGAAAAAAATTTGCATTACCTCTTTGAAAAGTGCACTTAGGTTTGTTTTTATGGCGACTGAAAAATGACTAGGGATTTTACTGTATTTTTCACTGAAAACTAATTTCTAGGTAGGTACATCTTATTTTTTTTTGTTTAAATTCAAGCTTGAGGAATATTGGCGCTTGTAGATAGGAATGATACCTATAATTTTCTAATTTTCAGAATTTGTATTTCTCCATTGCAAATAGGAAAGTCAATGTTGTGTCGCAAAAAGTTGTTAATATTTTATCGTAGTAAATAACATCAATTGTCGTATGATGTTGTCGGATGTATATTGCGGCGTATCGACTTCCTTCTGCTGTCTTTGTCGCTTGAAGGGACGAAACTTAATTGTTTGTAGATGGACGTTTCTACCGCACTTTGACGTCTTCTTTGACCCGTATATAGCGAACAAACTGACACTCGTAAAAAAGAAACAATTGTTCCTTACAGTAATGGAGAGGAAAAAATACTTACGATGCGTTGGACTGTGTTTATGTACATTCAATTTTTTCAAATAATTTCTGCATTTGCCACTTAAACAAAACTCCCTCCTCTCACCGAGCTTTTCCCGTAAAGGCTCTGTCTCTGTATGTATACATAACATGAATATCGATACCTTTCGTTCCCTCGGCTCCCGAATGATTAAATCCGTGGATGGTGGTCATATTGGGTAAACAAGGAAATGCAACAACAACAACAACATCCTTTATTATTACATCCAAATAGAGAATTTTACATGTTTTGATAGCTAATGAAAGGAAAAGAGGAAATTGTTACGTAAAATTATTCATTATGATAACAAAGATGTCTAGGAGCTAAATGAACATACGTTTCGTGCTAGCGTCTAGCTATAAAATTATATTTTTTTACACAGTGCCGTGAGAGGTAAAATAGTAGCAAAACACACAACAACAAAAAGAGAAGAAGTCAGTAAAAAAAAAACACACACATTATACACTATATGGAGATTGAAAAGAACGAATATGGTCATTTTTCAAATTGTCTAATCAGTAGATGTTGTTTTAGTAAGAGTGGGAAGGAGTAATTTGGGAGGTCTTTCAAAATAAGGGGAAAATCTTTCCAGAGGTCAACAGCTATGGTTTGGATTGATTGTTTTACAATATTCGTTCTTGTGCGTCATTTTTTTTCTCTCTTACTCTAATGAAGCCTCCGTATTTGAAAAATTGTCAAGGTAAGTGTTGTGGTGGTTGTGAAGTAAGCCAGCTTTAACCCTACTACCAGTATATTGGCTTAAAGTTTGAGCAAGGCTTTATTGTTGTTTTTAACTAACTCGTATCATATTTGCAGGTCTCCTGTGACGTCTCGCAATTATGTCATTTTTGCTTTTCCACTGCTCGTAATCCCTCAGGATTGTCTTGCAGGCAAGCATTTAACGTGCGCATTTGCCTCGCTCGCTCGCTCGCACGTTTCATGCCTGTTCGAGCGACAATCCTGAGGCGGCTGGTAGCAGTCTATTTTGCTAAACAGGGGTGGTTTCTTTCCATTTCTTTGTAGAATCATGTTTCCAGTTTCCTTTACAAGTGAATAGAATACCAGCGGTTATCAACCGGAAACGTCGAAAAGCAGAGTTAAGCGCAGGCGCAACAGATGAGGACGGGGAGGACAGTGAAAGCGCCAGAATCAGCCGAGATCCTGAAACTCTTTTCACCGTCACATCCAGCGGAAACAGTCAGATAGAATCACCTTCCGGTGTTCCGGTCATGAGCGTTCTTCCTCCCACTCCTGGGTCTAGCCCACCGCCATTGTCCCCAACCCCAGGGAATTGCACTTCCCCCGCCACCACCCCTGACAAGTCATTCACTCGGAAAACGCCACAGGTGAAGCCTTCTTCTATGATTGACGTGTCCAAGATTCCAATAGATGCTATTGAAGAGTCAGAATCGCTTCTGAAACCGATAACTTCCAACTCCTCGAGAACTTCTACGCCCGGGAATATGCTTTATATCCCTGAGTTAAAAGGCCGCCTAACTTCTGCCGTATCAGACTCCTCGCTGTGGAATTCTCGGAATAAGCCGTGGCTGGGTTCAACAAGCCCGGACTTCAGGGGATCAACATTTCTTGGATCACCTGGAATGAACATGCAACAATTTGCTCAGCCAAGAAAATCGGAGAAAGTCGCTCAGGTATCAGTTTTCATTGCGTTGTGCTTTCGTTTGTTGTTGGTTGCCTTTTGTACTTGATGAATATTTGAATGCTGTTTTTTGTTATTTCTAACCACTTCATCCTTAGTCTCATAAAGTCACTTTATTCATTCTAATGCTTTTTGGTACATCTGTTACACGGTTAGTCGTTCGCATCTGAGCAGACCCTACTCGCCATAGACCCTCCAGTAGCTCAGTGGCTAGAGCATCTGAACAAGATCTCGTAGGGTCGTGAGTTCGATTCTCACGTGGTGCTAATAGTTTTTTCTGAGCTTTCTGGTATTAGATTTCTCTTTCTTCCACAAGGCTCGCACAGTCTTGAAAAGTTCTTGAGTTTTAGGAGAGGTCATTGAAAAGTCGTTGAATTCCATTTTCCCCTAAAAAGTTTTAAAATTTTTGTGGAAGTCCTTGAAAAGTCCTTGAATTTTCTTCAACTTTGAGTGTGGTGGCCAGGAAAGTGTCTTTTGATGCTTTTTGGTTGTCCAAGACAGAATATAAATCATAGCTCAGAGAATTTAACGGTTATTCACATAAAGCGCTCTATGTTTTATGCAATAGTTAACTCAAGTCAAGTCAAGTCAACTTCCCTTAGGCAGGGTAGCCCTATCAGCCATTGCCTGGTATCAAAAGGGGACCTGCGTAAATTATGACTACATGTTAGGAATTTAAAAAGAAAAAGTACTTTAAATTATGTACAAGGATTTTTAAAAGTGCCTAAAAGGGAAATTACATATCATCATAATTTGTTTAAGGTCAAGAAAATTAAGAGAGCTATCGAAGTTACCTGAGAATTATATTAATAAGAAACAACTAATCGCTAACATGAAATGTAAGAAAGTTGTTAAAAAGGGAAAGCAACGTAGCTTCTTTTATTGATGTGGGTAAATTTTTAAAAAGAACCGCACCTGAAAATCTAAAAGTATAGATGTCTTTAAAAAAATAGATGTCTTTGATAAATTCAAAAGATAAAAAACATATCTCAAGTTACAAGTTACAAGTTAAACATATAAAAAAAGTTAAGAGCTCCTAGAACAATTATACATCTATTTACATCAAGGAATTAATATCAGCCAAAGATAAGTCTATTCATATAGGATGATTTGAAGCACTCTGTTGCCACTATAGGATGATAAAAGCATGGTTTTCTTAGCGCGTGACTGGTGAAATTCCTTTCTGGTAAAATCTTCACAAGGGGCGAATTTGTTTTCAATGCCTTTCTGAAAATACGGCAATCTGACCTTTCAAGCAGCTCCCTTACATTCAATTTCCTCGATATACACCTGCGTTTTACTTCATAGCACCTATCTAAAAATGCTGTACGTTGTTAAGATCAGAAGAGGAGGCTCCTAGCTTTAACTTAGAGTTCGCTAGATGAATGTCGCTGCTTTGTCTGGTCTAGTAAGTGTGAATAGTGCGATTTCTAGGACAAATGAACGAAACAATGTAGAGAAATTGGTGAAGCAAACACAGTTTGGGCCTTAAATTCTTGTAAGAACAGGCTGGGAACTTGCATTCCTGTACAATCTGTGAAATTATGTTACTGGTAGGTGGTCCTTGAATATCGAATGTAGTCCTTGAAAAGTCCTTGAAAAATGGTTGCATTTTTTGTGTCCTGTTCCAAATAAATTGGTTGTCGCAAACTACTAACGGCAACTCCTTTTAGACTGAGGCACCTAAATATTGTGGTCCCTCTCATGTTTGTAGGTAATGTCCCTTGGTGCTGATGTCCTCCCAGAGTACAAGCTACAAGCCCCTAAAATCCATCCGTGGACAATCCTGCACTACTCGCCCTTCAAAGCATTCTGGGACTGGTTAATCTTGTTTCTTGTTATCTACACTGCAATTGTGACGCCATACGTTGCGTCATTCATTCTTACGCGTGATAAGCTACAAGAAGAGCTTAACAAAAACCCGGAGACACGCAGGGACACAGGACCTGTGAACGTTTATTCAGATCCCCTGGTGATAGTGGACTACATTGTGGATGTAATGTTTATTGTCGACATTTTTATCAACTTTCGAACAACATTTGTTGACAAGAATGACGAGGTTGTTAGTCACCCGTGCCGTATCGCCGTGCATTATTGTAAGACATGGTTTATTATAGACTTGGTAGCGGCTGTTCCTTTTGAGCTGCTGATTATGATTGGAAACACGGACGAGGTAGGTGCAAATATCAATTTTTTTAGATTTAAGAGTGAGGTTCGTGACACGCTAATCACTAATCACCATGGTGATACAAATAGTCCCACTCAGTAAATCAGTGTGCGGCCTTCTGTGCGAGAGGTCCAGAGTTCCATTCCCAGTTGACGTTAAATCCCTGATTCGACTCCTTTTCTTTCCGTGTAGCTATAAGTAGTTTTAAATACGCGTAAATCTGAGCGCTGATGGGGAGGGGGTGGGGGGGGGGGGGTTTGGGAGGAGGAGGGGGGGTAAATGAGCGCACCATCAGCGTGCCTCAGGTTGGTTAGTCAGATGATGACTTTTTTGAGCTACCGACGTAAAATAGGAACCCTGTTTCCTTTGTTTTTTTTCGGAAGAGCTGCAGGTGTTGACGTGTCGATTTTGATTCATAATTTCTTGTGTTTTAATCGCTAATCCAGCCGGTCCACGCGATCTGCATCAAATTGTAACAGTTAATTCAATGCTGTAGTTTATTTTTATTGTTTTGTCACTTTCTTGATACGTTTATGGTAAGAATTCATTCAAAAGAGCATGGCAGCCTATGAAGGTGGCAGCTATATGAAATCAGAAAAACAAACCAGCCGCAGCTCGGGGCTTTATTTCGGATAACTAAGTTGCTGTAATTCACAAAATTTTAAGAACAGTTCCTCCCGTGATCTTGTATTTGGTAGTGATTGTTATGATTGTCTTTGGAACTCACTGGACAGTGAATTAAAACTAAGCAAAGATGTTTTAAGCTTCAAACGAAAGCTCAGAAGTAAGCTACTTTGCTCGGCATAGAACTTTATAAACGATGTTTCTTGTATTTTATGTATTATCGTGTATAGTGATTAATTTTTAGCTCTTAGATAGTTTTAACAATCAATTTTTTATCTATTTACGACACTCAGTTTTGTTGATAATTTGTAATTATCTTTGAAAAGCCTTGTTTAAGGAAAGATAATTAAGGATGTATGTACAAGGCTTTTTTGAGTTTGTCACTTAGTCAGGATGTTGCTCGCTGTTGATGTAGCCCCAGATATGCTAGTTGGCATAATAGAGAGTTTTAGATTCGAGTTTACCGCGAACCTCTAACCGCTGGAGGTCACGTGACAAGTCTTTCGCGTCACGTTTGAGATTTACGACGTGCGTTTTCAACGTGGGGAGGTAGGTTTTCACGTATGTCATTTACCTAAAAGCTGTTAGTGTATAATTCCTGTTTTATCCCACGTAATGATACAAAAATCTTGTGGAGCAAGTCTTATCCATTAGCAGAGGCGCAAATTCGGACGAAATGGCTAAATTTTATAAATCCTATTGGATCTTGAAAACAAGTGCCATTCATGGCTGCTGATTCAAAATGGCGGCCGTAATCTAATCCATCGCCAATCTAAATCGAATTATGTTTGAACGTCGAACCGCAAACGGGTAAACGCAAACCGCGGTTAGAGGTTCGCGGTAAACTCGGATCTAAAACTCTCTAATAAGAAATTTGCCGCGGACTGCAGCATCTATTTATCTCTTTAGCACTGGTTGACTTGAAAGCAAAACACTTCTGACAAGATTTTCTTTATCATTCACAGACCACAACCCTGATAGGTCTACTGAAGACAGCGCGGCTATTAAGACTGGTTCGAGTAGCGCGCAAACTGGATCATTACTCTGAGTATGGCACAGCAGTTTTATTACTCCTCATGTGCTCATTTGCTCTGCTTGCCCATTGGCTGGCATGTATTTGGTACTTCATTGGTAGCATTGAACATAAAGACACTGACCTGAAAACCATAGGCTGGTTGGATTCATTGGGTAAACAGATTAATCAGCCATACAACAAGAGTGATTTAAAAAGTGGTCCTGATCTTAAGTCCAAGTATGTCACAGCTTTGTACTTCACTCTTAGTAGTTTGACAAGTGTGGGGTTTGGTAACGTGTCTCCTAACACCAACGCGGAGAAGATCTTTTCCATTTGTGTCATGCTGATCGGATGTAAGTATTAAACAGCTTTTATTAGCTATACTCAGTAAGTTGTTCTTCCCCCGCTTAAGGTGTATCTAGCGACGTCGCAGCATGATTTGGTCCTAAATATTGAGCGTGATTACTTTTATGAGTATTTTACGGTCATGGCTCTTGTCAATGCGAGAGGCGACGTCTTCGAAGGTCCTAGGCCCGGCTGCATAAGGCAACTTTTCAATAAGTACGAATTTTCTGCAGCACCGATGGTTCCGGAGAACTTTCTTGCACGGCATCCCAGCTTACTGGATGTAGGCATACTAACGCGTGTAGGGAACATAAATTGAGCACTTATGAATCCTCTCCTCTCATCAAAAAATGTTATTGGCGGCACAAAAAGCTTTAGAAACTCTGAAAACTGTTTTTTTTTTTTGCTGCTGGGGTGTCTTTTGGGATCGTTAAGGTAATCAATCTGAAATATGACCTACCTTTCATAACAAACGTTCGTTACCCAAGCAATCCCAGAAATCCTCATGCAAATGTCAACCTCTCTTAAGTATGTACATACGGGAACCAAAGTGCCACGTGTCAATTTCCCCCGCTTTAACCACACCTATTCATCAGCCTTCTCTCTGTTCTCTATTTTCAGCACTTTTTTACGCTGCTATATTTGGTAATGTAGCTGCCATCATAGCGAGGCTGTACTCTACTACGTCTCGTTATCATGCACAAATGCAGAAGGTTCGAGAATTCATCCGGTTCTACCAGATTCCAAGTCCCCTGCGGCATCGAGTCGAGGACTACGCCCACCACGTGTGGTCTTACACTAATGGGATAGACATGGAGCAGGTCCGTATTACGATTATAGTGGATCATTTTCCTTTTCCCCCCCTTTTTTCTTTGTGAGGTTAGCAGTGTTTCGTGGGCGCGCAGGCATGGAATGATAGCTTGATAAAGAGGCCCCAGGTAGTTTTTACCCTAGCCTGGGAAAACAGCCGTTTGTCTTCGCTCCTCGCCGCTTGGGACGTTTCTCCAGGAGAGACGTCTGCGCCTTAGCGACAGAAATTCCATACTGATGACGTAAATCAATGTTCACGTACAATGAATCCGGTAGTCATGGGGTTCCAAATGCAAATTTGTTCGATTTTATGCTTCTCCTGGTCGATTTTGGTAAAGTTTTGTGTTCATCCGCGAACGAGCTCCAGCAACTGACTCAAGTACTTCTTCTAGAGAAGAATATATTCCACGAATATCGACTGTTTTGTTATAGATTCGTCGCTTTTACATTTGACGTTTGTGGCCTTTTGTCTATCATTCGTAAACAATAGCTAAAACAATATAACTAATACGTCGACCAATCAGAGCTCCTGATTAGATTCCGGACAGATTTTACGTCATCAGAATAGACATTTATGTCGCTGAGGTGTAGACGTCTCTCCTAGCGAAACGTCCCAAGCAGTGAGGAAAGAGGAGAAACGGCTGTTTTCGCAGGCTATTTTTACTCGTGTTGGTTACTTGGTCGCCTGCGACTAGAGGAGCCGTAATCCTAATCTCCAGGCCCCAGTTCCTGAAAGGTCGATTAGCGCTAATCCAAGATTAAAAAATTTGTTCCATTTTTTTATTTTCCTTCCTATGCATCCGGATCCCTAGATTTAAATTCTATGTTATCATCACTGAATCTCGGAGTAAAGACACAAAAGTATTTTGTAAGCTCGAGTAACATGTTCTTAGACAAGAAAACCGTGCTTAAAATTTGGCTTAATCCTGGATTAAACTTAGCCATCTTTCGAGGAACCGGGCCCAGCTCAGGTTGCTATGTATGCGCGGCACGTATGTAGCAAGTATTCATGCGCCTCACTTAATTCTCTTTATATTTACCCGTAGTTGAAATAAGCGCCGCGACGCGTAATCGATCATTTGCAGTAAGTAAAACTACTCTGGAGGGATAAGATCATCGGAGCATTATTTTTGCTTAAGATTAAACCTATAGTAAATACCTTGTATAGAAAGCAGGCCCTGACGTCTTCAGTCGTGTTGGTTCGCTAGTCCTTGTTAACAGGGAGGGCAGCCTTTTTTGGGCTTTTGTCATGTCGCTAGCGCTTCTGTCACTGTAACCGCTGTTCGTGTGATTGCAGGTTCTTAAACATTTTCCTGAGTGTCTTCAGGCGGACATTTGTCTTCATCTCAACTCCACCCTCCTACAGTCTTACCCAGCGTTCACCTCGGCACCGCATGGCTGCCTTCGTGCACTTGCTTTACGCATCAAAACCACGCACCTCCCCCCTGGGGATTATATTATATACCAGGGTGATGAAGTAAATCATTTGTATTTTGTCATCAGAGGAACCGTGGAAGCGCTAAGTGGTGAAGTGATAATGGCTATCTTGGGTAAGACAGGGAACATATCTATTGAATGTAAATTTACTTCAACTGAAACTGTCACTCCTATTTGTTTGTTTGTCTGTTTCTTTATTTTTTAATCAATTCTCGGGAGTGTAACTGTCTCGTTCACTTCACGTTATTGTACTATTATTACAGTAATGATTTCTGTATTCTAAGACTATATACTTATTTGAGTGACCTTTTCAATCGTCACTCCTTTATTGACAGCAGTCACAGGGGTAAAGTTTCAAATCTAAGCAAGGACCTTTAAACGAAGGTTGTTGTTTAAATGTGTAACTAAGGTTTCATTCTTTCTCCATATGCTGAAGAAGTTCTCTGTGTTTGAAAACAGAGGCTGCACACTTGTCAGTGCCACTGAATTTTGGAAATCTTGTTTGCGTGTTAAAACGTCACACAAAACAGAGACACATTTGGGCATGCTCAATTGATGTCTTACGTACCCTTACCCAGGTCTCCATTTTGCTGTGAAGGAAAATTCCCATGAGAAAGGAGAAAAAAATCACTGCGAGGCCGCTGAACCGCGTTGTTGTCCCTCACTCCTTTCCCTTAAATAATTAGATTCTTTTAAAATTTTTATTTCAAGGCAAGGGAGACTCGTTTGGCGAAAACTTTGCGATTGATCCCAGCAGACCCGTGGTCAACTCTCGTGCAAGCATCCGGGCATTAACGTACTGTGAGCTGCGCATGATTTCACGTGAGGATACGCTGCACATATTAAAACAGTACCCATTGTTCAGAGAGAACTTCATTAAGGATTTGGAGGTCACATACAACTTACGTGGAGATGACACGGAAAAGGTTAGTCTCGCCTGTGGTAAAAGGATTAACCCTCTTCAAACAGCTGCCATACAGTAAAGTCAACTTTATTTAAGCAGGGTAGTCCTATCAGCCATCGGCTGGTATCAAAAGGGGCCCTGCGTAAATTATGAATACACGATCAAAAAATAATAATCAATTTAACAAAATAGTAATTATGTTAAAAAAATTATTTACAAGGACTTTAAAAAGTAAATGAAAGGAAAATTACACAGTATCTTCACAAGAATCACAATTTTTTTTAAGATTAAAACGAATAAGAGAGCTACGTAAATTACGTAAGTACGCTAGTAAGAGAAACTAATGGCTTAAATGAAGTCTAAGAAGGTTCTTATGGAAAGCGATGTAGCTTCTTTTGTAGATGTAGGTAAATTATTAAAAAGAACCGCACCTGAATATCCAAACGTGTTTTTTTTCCGATCGTTAACTTAAGGTTCGGTCGGTGAATGTCATTCCCTTGTGAATGGTGAGATTCCTATTAAAATAATCCGATAAATATGGACAAGAGAGGCTCTCTTGATAAGGAGAAAGTTATTCACGTAGACATTTTAAAAACTAAAATGCATTTGTGGGCGCAGTGGAATCAGCATTCCACCAGACAGCATTCAAAGACTGTTAAGTAAAATATTCAACAGACTCTAGAATATTATAGGTACCTATTTTGATTTTTTTTTTCCACAGGAATTTCTCTTTTCCAAAAATGAAAGGCACAACTGTTTCTCAAAAGTTCAACCTGACATGGCGGAGAAGTGTTCATTGTCTTCAAGCGATTCTTGCTCATCGAGACAAGAACCTGCAAATGTACGCAGTTCAAACGGCCCTGCAACTAAAGTACCTTTGAGAGCAGAAGCCGGGGGTGGATGGACAAATAGACCAACAACTTTAAATATACCTAATCACCTGGGTGTAGAAAAGGACTCTTCGAAATATGAAAATCCGTATAGAGAACGTCACTCTAAGTCTTGTATTACTGAACGAGATAAACTAAAACATTCCAACCGCAGCAGAGACGCTGAAGAATCGTTTGCTTCTAAAAATGTTGCCAACGCCTCAGCTTGTTCAAGTGGGGCAAATGAACAAGAAAAGGAAAGATATGAACAGTCTGTGTGCAAAGACTGTTGTAAATCTTTTAGTGTCATGGAAGCTAAACTAGAGAACTTATCCACTTGTTTAGAAAAACTTGAAACCAAACTGTCTGCCGACATCGAGGCAATGTTTGCTCTTTTGAGGACTCGTAAAGATCAAGCAGACTTCCAAACACAAGTTTAAAGTAAGAGTTAAGACTGAATCAGAAAATTATGTTATTTATGTGCGGTCCAATAAGACACTACTGGTTTTTGGTTGCTGTTGGTGTTATTAAACAGTTTAAGCTTCACGTATACTGCAAACGTCAAACGTCAGATTCAAGTTGAGTATTTCTCAAAATAGAAAATGATCAGATAAAAACAGCTCAAAATAATTCTTTAATATGGACAAAAAATTGCGTGAAACTTTTAATTTTGGTGTAGAAATAATGAACAGTAAACGAGAAGTAAAGAAAAAACTTGGTCACGTGGTACAAATTCGTGTTTGCCGTTTCACGTAAACGTGATGCTTAACCTCTATTGCATGTTCCCACGAAAAAATACTGCTGTTTTGCAGTCTAATTCACTGGACGAAACACTGGTCGGGAATGAAACTTTTGTATATTAACATGTTTTTGGACCTTATCCATGCAATTACAATGCAGTGAACCAAGTTGTAACACGGCTTTTTTCTTAATCTATAGCAGTATTCTTTAGCCAGCCCGTACCGAATCAAATACCATACGTGAACAGCTCGTGACTTTACAACCGATTCTCGGCTGACTTCTCGTCCTGAGCTTGCGCAACCACGAAGACGACCTGTCTCGTACCCAGGCGCGTTCTAGCGCATTCGTATTCGAGAGCGACTGGATCATGGGAAAGGCCCATAACCAGTTCCCATGGTCCACTGCCCGATTGATCGCTCGCAGTCGCGTTTTCTAGACTCATGGGGGAGTCTCAATGGGGTAGTAGCTTTGACGGTTGACGGTTATTAAGTGGAATTTTAGTCCAAGAGTTTTTAGTAAATATTAACTTCTGTATAAATTTATCTTAACTGTTGTGTTTTGGAGGTTGTCTTGGCCTTTTACTCATGAAACTTCAAAATAATTTCAGATACAATCAGGTTCTAAGGTCTTAAAATGTCTAGAAGGAGTGTTTTGAGAACATGGGCACTAGTTTTCCAGTTTGGAGCTGGATTCTTCAGCAGCCAGAGGTCAATGAAGATCAGCTGAAATACTAAAAAAGGCAAGATTTGAAATGCCTTGAACCTTTTTGACGGTTGACGATAAAAAATTACCTTTTTTGACAGCTGACGGTTAACCCCATTGAGATCCTCGTATAGGAACGAAGCAGAATGACGACCGACCGTCCCGATGCTTCGAAAGAACTAAACAACACTGCACGTGTTTTAGGGCGTGAAATTTCATAATTTGATGTTTTGTGGCCTGTTTTTCATTTGTCCCATTGCACTATCTGAACGCCTGGAATCAGGCTTTCGCTGAGGTCGTCTTCGTGGTTGCTAAGGTCGGTAGGGGATAGTTTTGCGCAAAGTGATAAAATTCCTATTTTGCTTTCAAAAAGCGATGTGAAGGAACCACTGCTTTAGAGTGTTTATAAAAATAGAGCTTTATATTCTCTTAGTTTCGAATAAATTGATGTTTTCAAGACAAATGTTGTAACTTTCCTGAAAACCCCTCGAGGTTTAAGCTGTTTTTGCTTCTGAGAGAGCATATTAGCACCCACACCAACGTGAGCAGATAAGTACAGTGTTAAGCGCGCCGATGTCTTTTTGGCTCGTCACGCAATAAATTCGGAGAGAAATTGCTGCGTGACGAACTGTGTTTGAGGCTAACCACAGTCTAGTCTGCGAGCAAGCTCTCTATTTGAAAGAGTTGTAAGAAGTCTAGCCAGAGGTACGCAAAATTTTCAGATGCCTTGTACAGTGCCCACAGGCCGCCACGCCCCTGGATCCAGTGATATATCACTGTTAACCAATCAAAGACTGTGTTGTATCGGATTGATGCAACGCAACTACTTTCATCGGCGTGAAATAGGACACGGAAAAGCATCACATTCATCTGGCAATCCGCAAGTGTCAAATAAATATTAAAGTTTCCTCTATAATATCTTGAAGTAGTAGAACAAGTTTTTGTCCATTGTATACCTCCACCAATCACATTTTTTTTGTATTATTTTATATACTGTATCCGTTTATTCTATTCTCACTTAGATTTTCTAGCCACTGATGAAGACTAGTTTTGTCTAGTCGAAATATTGGGCAAATAAATTTGTAAGCCTTAGCTCTCCGATCAGCTTTGCGTTCAATTTCAAGTGTTATTTTATATTGCTGATCCTTAGTAACGACAAGATCCGGCTGTTTGTCCAAGTGGTCCTTGCAAGAATTGTCAGCCAATCAGAACTTAGCCCGCCCACACACGTACGCTTTGCGTACCTTTTTTCCAGAAATACTGGAGAGAACTATTTAAAATTCAATTGCCTTATTTTGTCTTTGCAAATTTAGATTTTAAATGCTGTTGAAGATAAAGAAAACCCCAGCTTATCCGTTTCTGCTTTTCTCAGCAACGTGTATGGACACGTGGCTGTCACGCGTGTGTCACGCTAGCAGTCTGCCACATAGAAAGACAAACATGCAAATGAGGCCACGTACATGCGACCGCGCATTCTTTTATTCGATCCAAATTTTTTTGAGCAAGACTCATCAGGTGAAATAAATGTCTGAGGTTTGTTCATTTCTGCAGTTTATCGTTGACTTCGTTCAAAAGTTATAATTTAGACTCACTTGACTCGTACTTGGTTGAGGAGTTACATCTTTTCAACATGTCAGCGAAGGCTATCTATGAAACTGACGGGAAATCGTTACTTGCAAAGTGGTTTCAAAACTCTAACTACACCAAGAACAAATTTGTAGTTGTTGTACATGACACAGATTGGGAGGTAACTCTCAAGGAAAACCCATGGCTTGAGACAGAGGTAAGCTTAAACTTACTAAATTTAAATTTATGATTTAAATAAGTTGAATATCAAATGATCGACGTATAACAATTAAGCTTACTGTAAGCTTATTGTTTTTATGTTGTAATGGAAATTTGCCCACAGTAGGCGCCCTCAGTATAGTAGCACTTGATCATGAGTTAAGAACTTTTTTGTTTATTTCACGAGGAAAATAAATAGAAAGTAATTTTGTAAGTTTAAAAGTTACATTATTGTTGGTTTATTCTACATCGGTAGTCTCATCTATCACACAGCTTTCACATTCACATGCATATTTGTTTTCGACAATCATGTGTCTGAAACTAAATCAAGTGGAGGGTCAGGTCATTCACGGTAAAGTTTGTTTAAACGAATAAAAGGCTGCACTTTTTTCGCGTTACTCGGCTTCGGATTTACGTTTGTTACATGTGTCTTGCATCTAAAGTTTGAAACAAAACAGCTTGAAATTTTTAAAGAGAATTTTGAGGTACACAAATGACAATTTTGTAACTCACTTTAAGATAATTCCCTTGAAAAGTACGTACTATCCAGATTTTTTTCAAACTTGGCACTAATGTCAGCCATATATGGGACATAGAAGCTGACTGCAGTAAAAAGATAGGGTCACATGCCACAGTGTTTGTTTTCACACTGTGTGCCCCTAATTCTCTGAAGTTTGAGGGTTTTTTCCTAACTATGTGCAAAATTCTCGAAACTTGAACAACAGACAAAAATTATTGTCTTATTATAGCAAAAACTAAGAATTTTTCCAAAATCCAGAGCCCGTTTGTTTGTCTGGGCTATAATTTTTTAGTGACGTGACTTCAATTTACCCAATCTTTAAAAAGTGTAGAGAAATTGTCTGTTTTAACTTTATCACATACTTCTGCAAAGTTTCACATAATTCAATAAAAAAAATTACAAATTCTACTATCCAGATTTTTTTCTCGTTGATATATATTTTTTGTGTAGCCTTGGCGAGTAGAAAAACACAAATAAAAATGGGGGATTACTGTTTTCATTTCATCACAAAACGACAACAAAGAGACAATTTCATCTTCAAATGATCGTTTTGCGCTAGGGGAATGGGGGGAGTTTCAAGACAAAGTCTTTTTAGCCAGTTAGAGTCATCAAAATCGCTATTGAAAGCATTGGGACTACAAAAGGGGCCTTAATTACCTCTTCTTAGGCGACCAGTGAAAATTAAATTGAATTCTAATTTATGCCGGCTCAAATTAATGTTGACCAGCTCAGTTGTATCAGATACTGATTATCATTAGAGCCTTCAAAGGGAAAATGCACATTTTGGACAAATTATTACATTATAAAATTTATGCATTGGTTAGGCTCCCTCATGAGTTGTTAAATAAATGCTGCATAGCTTGGTGGTTGGTCAAATTTGTAATGAGCTTGAAATATCATAAATAAACAATAATTGGCCAAGCAAGCATTCAAGCAAGCAGGGTTCTTGTGTGAGTGTTGGGCAAGTGCAGGTGTTCACAGTCAATATTCCTTTTGTTTCTTTGTTATAATAGTTTGGTCATTTCATGATCTGTTGTTAATGAGATGCAGGTGTATGGTGACATAAGCTTGTGATGCAATTGAGTTATCTATTTCCAGGAACCTTTTTTCTTCTTCATGAAATGGGTTATTAAAGTAAAGTAAAACTTTATTTCAACAGTGTGGCCCATTCAGCTTGGGGACTCTCCATAAGGGTCCTGCTCACATATTACGTTTCTCCTGTCAAATTATTTCTACAAACTGATAATTGCTTTTCTGTGGCCTTGAGACTAAATTACACCATGGACACTCCAACCAGGAGTCACTTGGAAGAAGATTTTCCAATCACAACATTTTCTGAAAACAAAGATTCTCTAGTTTTTTGGAAAACAGACCAATGTAATTCAAGTATTTAACTATGCAACTGTTGAAAACTTTAAATCCACTTGAACTTACCTGACCTGTCAGGAAACAGCCCTCAAATTTATGAATGTTATTGGTCCATTTGCAAAAAACTTGAGAATCTTTTGTTTTCAGAAAATGTTGTGATTGGACAATATTGTCTTCCAAGTGTCCTGAATTGGGTGTCTGCACTGTAACGTCTGAAAAGTTATTTTAAAACAATCTTATTTAATTTTTTAAATGCTCAGATTAATGTTCAAAACTGAAGCCGGGGGAGCAAGGGTGGCGCAGTGGTGAGAGCACAAGCCTCCCACCAATGTAGCCTACATGGGTTCGAATCTTGGGGTCGACACCATATGTAGGCTGAGTTCGTTGTTAGTTGTCTCCCTTGCTCTGAGAGGTTTTTCTCTGGGTACTTTGGTTTTCCCCTCTCCTTAACAACCAACACTTCCAAATTCCAATCCAATCTGGAACACATGGACACGTTTCAACGATCAGAGTGCTCATGAACTCATAAGTGCCCCGTGGGTAAACAATTACAAGATTTATGGTGCTGCATTAAACTTTGTTGTTTCCAACCTTAAATGTACAATGGTTGGAAGAATTTTTTTAATTAGAATTATTGTCAATCAGTGTTATGCATGTAATATTGTCTATTAGCTCTTTTAATTAGCCTTCACACATCTCAACTTTTAGTTTAGTCTCCTTACATAAAAACACTACCAAATTATCCTTCAGAAACTTGTTGTGAAACCGGATCAACTAATAAAGCGCCGTGGAAAGCTTGGTCTTATCAAAGTGAATGTTGATTTACAACAAGCAAAGCAATGGATCAACGAGAGAATGGGAAAAGAAATACAGGCAAGTAAACTTCAGGGATGTGTCCTTTACGTGCGACTCTTGATGAACTCAATAGAATATTGTACAATTAATCACAGTTATGTGGAGCGATTAAGGGACGAGTTGCGTGAAAAGTAAACATTGTCACCAGACCCTACTGCAATCAATTTGATCAGTAACTGTGTGCAGTTTTATGGTATACCAACTCATGTATATGTTTTTTCAATGGACAGGTTGGAGCAGCTACTGGACTCTTAAAAAGATTCATTGTTGAACCATTTGTACCTCACCAGCAGGTTAGTGAATTCCATGTTTATTTCAGTAACTAATATTTCAGAACCTTTTTTATGCAGTGTCATCTGTTATAATAGAGAGAAGTGTGACATCAGGTTACCATGGCAGCAAGATTTCTGGATCTCAACAATCTTTCTTGAGAGAAACTACCATTTACATTGCCAAAATGATAGAACAATAGTGTGGGCTACTGATTTGTTCCTGAGTGCAATCATGCACGGGAAAGTCATGCATGTCAATTCTGTCATTTTTTTCCCTGCCATATTTGCTGGATAATGGTTTGTTGAAATCGAGAAATTTTGCTACCAGGGCAATGTGTAGCCTCCCCCGCAGGCGTTTTTAGGGGAGATCGTATTTCTTCCCTTCCCACAAGTTTGTGGTTTTTGTGGGGAGGGAAGAAATATGATCTCCCCTAAAAATGCTTGCGGGGGAGGCTAGGCAATGTGATGTGCATCTGTGATGATTTCTCCTCTCTATTGAAATCCTTCCATACAATTGATAAGAAGCTATGTTTGAGCTAAAATACATTGCCATTGTCCCCCTGGCAACTTACTTTCACTTTCAGTAACAAGAAAGTCCAACTAATAGTTTTTGGAAAAATCTCATACATCTGCTAGACACTCTGGAGTTTGCAGGTTCCTTTACTTATAATAAAAACTTTTCTGAGAGCAAGGCCTTTTTGTATTAACTAAACGTTGTACAATTTATCCCAATTGCTGGACAAACCCTAAGGGATACAGCTATTCTAAATGCTAATTATTTCATTGTTTACTTTCATTTAGAATGAAGAATTTTATGTGTGCATCTATGCCCAGCGAGACTGTGACACAATTTTATTTCATCATGAGGGTGGAGTTGACATTGGTGATGTTGATAAAAAGGTAGGATTTCTTAACATTAAGTGCTACAAAAAACAAGTTTTTTCATTTTAAGGACTTTCTGTAATTATCTTTTTTTTTTTAGGCAGTTAAACTTGATGTTGGCCTTGAAGATAACAATGTCACAAAAGAGCTGATTGAGAAGAAACTCATGCAAAATATTCCTGAAGGAAAGAAAAAGTGAGTGACTTTGTAAAGAACAACAATTTACATGGCGCATTAATTCACAGGAAAAAATAACAGATTCCCATTTTTGGATATTTTGGGGTATTTAAAGAATACCCACAAAAATCCCAAATTTGGAAGAGTGAGACAAGTCCCAATCTGGGAACTTGGTTGGGAATTCCCTGGTTGGGACTTGTCTCACTTTGCCAAATTTGGGATTTTTATGGGTATTCTTGAAATACCCTAAAATATCCAAAAATGGAAATCCGTTATTTTTTCCAGTGTAATTAATGTACCAGATGTGTTAGTTTTCATTATGTCTGTACTGTAGGTAAAATGAATGGTGTTCATAACCCATCAAAAAGTATTAATCCAATTCAAGTTCTCTGCTCTCATGCTCATTTGCGGGTGACAAGAGGAGCCTGCAGACTTTTCGTGGTCAGCATTACTTTATAAACTGTATCGCAAGGTTTTTCCAAAATTTGTCCATGTTGTCAGGATTCCCGTGTTGTACCAACTAATATGCTTGGTATGAGGCTGCAAATTGGCTGCAAAGGCCCTGGTGTTGAGTGCAAGGTCCGTGCTCAAATGAATAGTACATTAATACATGAATGCACCATCGGCGTTTTCCATGGTGCCGATGCTGTATTTCTTGCTGCATGCTGAGAAGTTGGAAGTCGCGAAAGAGCGGTAGTGTTACGAAAGACATGCAACAATATTTGTGTGTTTTGGAAACATGTAGTCAGTGTCTATAGTTCAGGTATACACATACTGCATCAAATGCAAGACTTTTCAAATTCGCCTTGCTGCCGAAAATTTATTTGCCAAGTGAAATGAAAGCAGAGCCTGATCTCAGGTTAGTGTAGGACGAGCGTTGTTAAGATACAAGTGATTTCACAGCCTATAAATCCATGTAAGTTAAGTTATTTCAGGCACACTACAGTTGTTTTATATTTTAAGTGTTTTCAAGCATGTTATGTTGCTTTTTCATGATCACTGTCGCATCTCAATGACCTTTACAATTACAGTTAATTGAACTGCATTACAATCATTGACAATGAAAGTGGAAATTGTATTGAACAACACAGTAAGCAAGACTCATTGAATTCAACTATTTTATTCACAATTGCTTAATTAGGTACAGGTAGACTTGCAATCGATGAGGAACAACTGATTGTTATTACAGTCAGTTGTTCCTCATTCATTATCCCCTGTGATTCCTTCTGTTGATACTGGAACTATTAAATAGGGTTTTTTTAATTCATTACTCAATTAATAAAGCGGTTCTCAACATCAATCCCACCCCGTAAGGACTTAACACACATGTTTGCCCGCTCTTCCCCACCCTTGGTTACTGCTAGTATATTTCTTTGTACATGTACATTCCTAAACAATCCCCCACCCCACCCCTGACCCCTCGCCTCACTCCAATCCTCAGCCCACAGCTGCAAAAAATATAGTCAGTCAGTGGACAATTTGTTCAACTAGATCCTAATTGTCAAGTCTGTACAAACTGATGTTTGTTATTTTTTGTTTTCCAGATTGCTTACAACATTTATTTATGACCTGTTTCAACTTTACACTGACTTGTATTTTACTTACCTTGAAATTAATCCTTTAGGTAAGGATTCATGTTTTGTGTTTATATGTAAAGGTTACTCGGATCTCAGTTACTGCAACCAAATTCTCAGTTAGCTGGGTAGTCTTTTTCCCATATGAATACTTACATCCCTGTAGCCAGGACAAACTTTTGTAAACTGGTTACAACATGTTGTTGGTCAAAATGAAATTCAGGTTCAAGGTTGCAGACTAGTTTGAAATTGAGAATCAAACTAGGTTGAAACCACTTAAACCTGAATATCATTTTGACCTACATCTGCATGTACAACATATACAAATGTAATTAACAATCCTGAAAATTTATAATGCCTCATATTTTTATTAGTTTGTGACAAAATTCTTGACTGGCATGAGAGATTTCATAAATTTGACATGAACAGATCTATAGTGTTATTTTTATTGAGTTTTGTGTGAAATCTGCAGAATGGGTTGACCATTTCTGCAAGTTTCATGCCCCCTTCATGTTGTAACTGGGACAAAATTTTCCACAAGAAGAACAGATTTAAGACAAAGTCAATCTCAGTTCACACGATCATGTGAAAGAACACAACTTGTGAAGCTAGTTTTACCTACAGATAGTGACAATACATCTGTAGTTTTAGCATTCGTGATTATGATTGAGTGTCTTTCTCCAATGCAAAATGTAATATTATTTTTCTTTTTTGTTTCAGTGGTTGTAGGAGATTCTGTCCATATTCTTGACCTTGCTGCTAAGTTGGATCAGACTGCTGAATTTATTTGTAAAACAAAATGGGGTGATGTAGATTTTCCACCTCCTTTTGGCAGAGAAGCTTACCCTGAGGTGAGCTGAATACTGACCCCACCCCTCTTTTTCAAAAACATGGGATCATTTACAGCTGCTGTAGTCTTTCCATTTAGAGAAGGAAAATGAATGATATCAATTGGCCACATTACCTGCATGAGTTTCTATGGCATTTCACCATAGCAAAAAGATAAAATTTTGTGCAGACTGAGATAATTCTTTGGAACCTGCAACACTCTGCAAGCTCCAGAAATGCCACAAAATACAAGGAATGACAAAATATGTGTAAAGTCCACTCAAGTTTTAGCTAGAAAAGAAAGGTACTCTTACAAAAACAATTGTCCAGATAATTGTATAGCTATGTTGTTTTATTATCTTTTATCCTTTTTGTGGGCTGTTTTTAAGGGGTGTGGTTTGCCATAAACATTAACTTTGTCTCATTCAGGTGGTTTGTTTCTATTAAATGTAGGAAGCATATATTGCTGAATTAGATGCAAAGAGTGGAGCATCGCTAAAACTGACAATTCTTAATAGCAAAGGAAGGATATGGACAATGGTTGCTGGAGGTGGAGCCTCTGTTGTGTACAGGTGCAAATAATTTCTCAAACACACGTTTATTCATGACCACCGATAAAGCAGCCAACAAGAGGCTTGTAAAACAAGCTGTTTGTTTTTTTTGTTGTTGTAGTGACACTGTTTGTGACCTTGGTGGTGCCAGTGAACTGGCAAATTATGGAGAATATTCTGGAGCTCCATCAGAATCACAGACTTATGAATATGCCAAGACGATCATTCGCCTCATGACTAATGGGCCACCAAGACCTGATGGTAAAATATAGCTGTCCTTTTATTTAACTATTCATGAATGAATTTGTTTGTCTGTCTCTATTTCATCATACAGTAGAACCTTGAAATATTGAACTGGGCCATTAGGGACTGGCAAAATTTTTTCACTACATGTATGATGATGTTTCCTCATATTGAGGACCTTTTCCATATATTTTGCTGTTACTAGGTTAAAGAAAATCGCTCGTTTTACCACGGAGTTCATTATATAGAGGTTCGTTATATCGAGGTTCTACTGTATATAACTGCAGCTAAAGAGGGACCCCATGTCTACTTTAAGCTTCCTCTTATAACCCCCCTCCCACTTACAAGTATAAGCAGCCTAGTGGCTTTGAATTGATCAGCACTGCTTCAGATGTATGTAGCTTGTTTTGTAATTCAGTTTTTAGTCTGGTTATTATCCCCCCTCCCATCAGATATGAGCCCCCCTCCCCCTCCCCTTTCCCTTTATTTGATCCTAAAACCCCTTACGAAGTTTTATAAAGCCCGGACTTATAACCGAAAGTTTATGGTATTCTTTCTGTTGCTACCAAAAATGTGGGTGTAACTCGTAAGTCATAGACATGCTAATTCAAGGCTGTGCTCTAAGAAAACCTGAAGGGTGCCCAGTGCTCTAAATCTGTGAAATCCAGTCTGCCCAGCGTATGGAATGTATGAGAAATCTTAGATTTTTAGTCCTCCAGAAGCAAAGGTTAGGTAATAAAAAGTTAAGTAACAGCAAGGCTAAAGGCCTAGCAGCTCCCTGTGGCCTCTGGCACTGCTGGGCCTTTTACAGGGATCTTGGAACTGATGGTCTTTCTTAGACCATTTTTTGAGGTTCCAGATAATGTCCACAGCCTCAGTAAATGTGTGGTGGGGCCTACATCCACCACCTATGTATGTTGTAGGTAAAATCTGTTGTCATGTTAAACCAGAATTTCCTTTGTCTCCTATGAATAATTAAGGCTATAAAAAACGGAAATCCTGAATCAAACTAGGTTGAATACTGGGTTGTCCTAAGAACAGATTTTATGTGCAAATGTATACAGCTGTTTGGATTGTTCACTTGATGGACAATCACAAGATCAGTAAGCTAGATCATATACATTATACAAATTTTGAAATATTTTCTCTGCAAATCTCTTTGCTTTATGTTCCTGTTTCATCATTCTTTATGTGATTGTGTTTTATTTACAGGAAAGATTCTAATCATTGGTGGTGGAATTGCAAATTTCACAAATGTCTCAGCAACTTTTAAGGTGAATTTCAGCCTTTTGTTACTCTTCAAGAGCCCTATCAAAAAACGTTCTCAGATTGCTTTTAACATTGCAAATCAAGACTTGTCTTGATCTACAGAGTAAACACTTGAAACCAACACTTCCAGTATAACGATAAATAGTATCATAAGAAACAAGTGTGTCATGCTCACACATGAGGACTGTACATACTCTCTTATATATAGATTGTGATTTTCAGTGAGTAGCCATATTGATGGAAATTATGCTTTATCAAATCACAGGAGTATTAAATCAAGAACTTAAACTGTTTTCACTACCCTGAATTTGTCTTTCTCTGTACAGGGAATAGTTAAAGCTTTACAGGAATATCAGAAAAAACTGTTGGAACACAAGGTGGATATATTTGTGAGAAGAGGAGGGCCTAACTATCAAGAGGGACTACGAGTTATGAGAGAAATAGGTTAGTGTTCTAAAACAACTGCATTGTCTCCATTGCATTGATGACTGGTGTGACTAGCCACCAACACCCTGTAGACAGTATCAACTCACATGGTTGATAATACCACAGTCACCCAATCACACTTCAAGAACAGTGGTTGAAAGGGATTTGGAAAGGCAGATGCAAAAATGAAATGTTGAATTGATGAACACTCTGTAGACTGCAGATAATCTGCATTGGTAAGATACTCTTCTCAGCAGTAGGGACCAGCATTTGGCTTCCACTGATCACTAAATATATATATTCATCCCCCACTGCTGATCATTGTTGTTACAGGTGTAAAATATCTGTAATATACACTTCCATCAGGGGCACCCAACGAGAATATAGGTCAAAACCACTTAAACATAGCATTGTTGAACGTATTTTAGTATTTAAACGGTAGATATAGGCATATTTTTATCCCCTAAAAATTGTTCATCTGTTCGGATTTCCTAGCTGAAAGTCTAGTGATCCGAAAATTATAGGGATCAAAACTTACCTTTTCGAAAATTTGAGTCAGAAAAAAGGCTCCCGAAAATTCTAGGTGACGTTTTTAGGGCAAAAATCCTTTAAAAATGGGCAATTATACCATTTTGGGGGGCTTCGAAAATCCTAGGAGAGTCAGGCAAGCAAGGAATTTAACAACAAATGTTCCAAAAATTCTAGATCTCAAATCGTCTTCCAAACAGATATTTTCCAAAAATTGTCGTTGGGTGCCCCTGTTCCATCTGTCACATATCTTTGGGCTGCCTTGCAGACTTTCTAGCCTTATGTTTGGATTCAGTGATCAGTTCTTCCTTTGTTACGTATTCTTTTGTAGGTTCCAGTTTAGGGCTTTCCATGCATGTATTTGGAACGGAAACGCACATGACAGCCATTGTAGGTATGGCTCTTGGGAAGCGAGAAGTCCCTAAAGATGTTGGCTTTGATTCAAACGCTGCAGCAAACATGTTCTTCACAGCTCAGGACAAAGTACGACCGAAAGCATTAAACGTGTTTTTTACTTAATAAACGTTAAAGAAAGATTTTAAACTTTTTTGTTGCTTGGATTATAGTGCAAGCAAATGCTTTAGTTCCTGCGGGTAGCACAGTAGAGACCTGTTCAGCGCTTTTTTTGGATCATTTTCTTTTCAATTCATTTTTCATTTCCTGTTAATGTTGTTATTATTATTATCGTCTTAGGGATCGGCAAGTAAAGGAAAACACACAGTATGCAGTAGTATGTCAGAGAAGCCAGAAGCAAAACCGGATGAGAAACCTTCACCAGAACAGCGCCATAAAGCTGCCCCTGGGAGAGGATCCAAGGCACCTTTGTTTACAAACGAGACAAGGACAATAATCTGGGGATTACAAGCCAGGGCCGTGCAGGTCAGAACAATAATCTGTTTTCCTTACAAGTACCCTAAGTGCTAGAGGTTTTTCAGTTATTTTTTTCTTAATTCCGTATACTCGGCAAAGACGAGCACGGGTTATTAATATTTTTATCTGAGTATTTCAACAACGGACCTCAGAAGCCAGGGTACCTTTCAAGAGAAGATGGGCAGAAAATTACTACCATCCGTACTTCGTTATCATGCTTAATGGTCAGGGCTTTTCGAAGAATTTAAAATCGGCCATGCAGCCTTGCCTTGCCTTTTCCTTTCTAAGAACGTACCAGAAAAGTACGTCAAACCCAGTCCGTAACTGCTCTGCAGTGTTCATTGCTTTCCTTGTTAATCTTCTCTTATTTCTTCTACCTGACGCTCCAATTAGGGAATACAGTAATGCGTAGATGGAGTCTGTCCTTTCCCTTCTTTGTAACACAATTTATTGTAACTGCTCTTGTGTAGTTATCACCTACTTTTGATCTGTATTTTAAAAAGTAGACAAAATTACTTTTCATCATTGCACATTCCCAAACATATTTACCAAGCATAATATGCTGATACACGTTTACTTGTATTTACAGGGCATGTTAGATTTTGATTATGTATGCGAGAGGAAGAGACCATCAGTAGCGGCTATGGTGTACCCATTCAGGTCAGTAATGTGTCGTGTTATCCGTGTGCGTTATCATCATAAGTTCAAAGTTGTATCTGCTCCTTCCCAACATCCCTTGGTGTCCCCTGTTACCGGGGTGGCACCCGGACTTGCTGAATGGGAACAGTCGGTTCCGCGTTATCAAACGCCCCAGGCTCGTGTCTTGGAGAGGCGGGACACTTCAACTTCGAAATAACACGAGAAGCAACAGTCACCGGTGGTGAGGTTTCACTGCTTGGTTATGTCCGAGTGTGACATATCCCTATAATTTCATGATTTGCAAATATAAGATGAATTTATGGAAACTTTTGTTTTGTTGTTACAGTGGAAACCACCGTCAGAAGTTTTATTACGGACATAAAGAGATCATGATTCCAGGTTTGTCTTAGCTTTCGTTTGCAAACAATATACAACGGTATTTTCGATTCTTATATGTAAGGTTTATTTATGTGTACTTCTCACCGGCACTGATAAACGGGAACGGTGACCCATCCTTTTCAATACGTTTATGCTTTGGTTGTTGGCATTACTAGCTAGGTGTCCAAGGCATATACAATCTGTGTTAAACTTGATAGTAGACATCCTTATGGACACCCATGTTATAGTCAATTGACAGCTGTCAAAAAGGGTATCCATTGACCAGTGACACCTGACTGTATCACGGGCTCAAGTGTACAACTTATTGAGGTGACGTGTTTTTTAAAGTATCCGCTGACCAGTTGTTGGTTTTAATTGATCGCAGGCTCAGGTCCATAATGAAAAGGCCATCTAAAAAATAACTTATTAACCTCGTCTTTTTGGTCGTTACAGGGAAATCTCAGACCTTGGCCTTGATGTATCTATCGGTCCGAGATAGACAGTATTGACCGAGCGATAGCGAGGTTAATACATCAAGGCCAAGGTCTGAGATTTCCCTGTAATAACCTCCCCCTCGGTTAATAAGTAGTATATGTATTGATAAATTTGGTCCACCTAGTTCCTCTTTATTCTTCCAAAATCTTATTATTGCTCGAAACACTCTGTTTATGATTGTTTCCAGTGTATAAGGAGATGTCTGAAGCCATGAACAAACATCCTGATGCTGATTGTATGATCAACTTTGCATCGCTGCGTTCAGCTTATGACGCTACTCTTGAAGCCATGCAGTTCACACAAGTGAGTGCTTTTTTCTTGTCTAAACGAAATAAGTTTCTTTTTGTTTCTTATTTGTATTTTGATTGCGTTAGCAAGTCATTGTTGAATCATCTTCATATCTCAAGTATTTCCATACGACTGTAAAAAGACAAACGATAATCTGCTATTCATTTTTATTAGTTAAAATGAAGTTGTTGTTTTTTCGTCGGAGTTGTGTTTCCGATTCAGTGGGCTTTGGCTGGTGCAGGTAATGGGTGGGGGGAGGGTTTGGGAGGGCGGGGGCTCCCTGGGCTGGTGCATCTAACTCAAAGATGAGATTGATCACCTATTGCAAACGCTGAATGTGTTTCATGGCAATTCACCTTTCACTTTTGTTTATCCAAAGTAGAAAGGATGACATGACTTTCATCCTTCACAAGCGTTAGACGACAAAGAAATGTAAGTCCTCATCGTAAACAGAGCTAGGCCATGCTGACGATATTCGATCCGGCTTAGGGGCCAGTGATCGAAGGAAACGCTCCTGGTGAGCGTGGCCATTAATGGGGTTTATACCAGCGTGACTCCTATATTCATATATGTTACTTTCAAAGATCTGCAGAATCTCCGTATTAGAAATGTAAATCATAGGAATTAGAAAGTTTTGTTTTTCCTTAATAGATTCGCACGATCGCCATCATCGCTGAAGGAATTCCAGAAGCAAAAACAAGACAACTTAACCACAAAGCCAAAGAACTGGGAGTCACTATCATAGGCCCAGCAACAGTAAGCTTTTGCTGTTATTTCATAGGGCGTTGTTTTGTGTTTTGTTCTAACCGCACAGTAGTTGGACAGAGTATATATATTTTGTGGCTCCATTTTAACCTTGGTTTGTGTAAAGTAATACGCAGCACTCTCTATACCCCCCTTTTTTTATGGGTTCTTCGACAGTTCGCAGCTCAATCATAGATAATGAATTTAGAACAAATTTTGAAGAAAACAAATAAAACATGAACAAAAGTTAAGCAACGTTATCACAACCCAAATTGGGAGATGGCATTTGTTTAAGATCACATTATTAGATTAGACAGCTGGCGGGCGCCCGGATACAATGAGTGCAAAATTATTCTTGTAGTCAACACCGGTACAAGTCTGAGCGATCCCTTATTTTTCTTTGTCTTTTTCTAGGTTGGAGGTATTAAACCTGGCTGTCTTAAAATAGGTAATACAGGCGGAATGTTAGACAACATTCTGGCTTCAAAGCTTTATAGACCAGGAAGGTGAGACTTAAATGAAAAAAATATCTCCAATCCCCCTCCCCTCCCCCCGTAAATCAAACGGAGATTCAACGCAAAGATTTCTGGGATTGTGAAGGCAACCATTAACCAATCGTGGCTAACGATTGTTCACTCAAACGAATTCTAAAGTATATTACTTAAGTATATACCAGAAGTAAAATGATTAAAGTACTTTAAACTACGAATAAATCATTTCATATTGCACTTAAAAATAGTTATTGAATCAGTCACTTGTTTTACTCAATAGCGTTGCTTACGTGTCACGTTCTGGAGGCATGTCTAATGAACTCAACAACATCATCTCACGGACCACAGATGGGGTGTACGAGGGTGTGGCCATAGGAGGGGACAGGTACCCAGGAACAACATTCATGGATCATATTATGAGATATCAAGAAAACCCGGAAATCAAAATGATAGTTGTGCTTGGAGAGGTACACTTTCTGTTTAAATCTGTTTAAGTTTGTAGAAACTTTGTGTGTTTAGGGCTGTTCAGCCGTTTACGATGTAAATCATCACCAGTAACGGTCTTTAAGGTGGATAAGTTCGCAGACATCAGTGGACGGAAGCTGTGAAGGCGTAACTTTGTAATAATCTACCCGTTTATGAATGCACGCGTAATGAATTTATAAAGAAACAGTTTTCTTGGCAACATTGGCAGACGAACAAGGCAAGATTTTAAGGTCTGAATGCACATATACTTTTAATCTCGACATTGTTTTTCATCCGTGCTTCAGTGCTATTGTGGAGTTTCATTGGTGATCATTTTCGTTATTCTCATGACCTTTTTGCTTAGCTACGTTGTGGCATTGTGAGGAGAAATTAGATTCTTGTCACCGACTGTAAGGGCACTGTAAAAACACAGTAGAGGGTCTGCGTCGTGTTAATCGTTGGAAGTTGTTTTATTAGCCGATTGAAATCTCTCTCCTCCGCGAAGGCTCCCGCTGGGTATTCCAATAAAAATAGAAATAATGGAAAATAGTAAGCGCTGGGTGAAAGTAAAATGTTTTCGACTTAAAGTTCCGTAAGATGTTTATCTTTGAAACGAATGAGTCAGTTTCATTTAACCCTTCAAGCCCCAAGATCCACATTCGAATTCTCCAAAATGATCTCCATACATTTCTTTTAACAATAGTTGAGAGAATTTGGTTTAAGATCAAAGTGATCTCCCTTTGGTAGTCTATTTAGTAATTCTCATAACCTTTACTCTTAATGATCTGCTGACGTTGTTAGGAGAAAATTGATGTTGGTCACTCTTGGGACCTAAAGAGTTAAGAAATGTATTCTTATTGTACTGATAACAGGTTGGTGGTACAGAGGAATACAAAATTTGTGACGCCATCAAAAACGGCGTGGTCACCAAGCCCATTATTGTATGGTGTATCGGCACATGCGCAGGAATGTTTACATCGGAGGTGAGTACACTGGGTTCTAGTATCATCGCGTTTTTTAATGCTTTCCTATATCCACGTGTACTATAACTCTCTGATTAAGACTCTCAACCCCACAAGTCAGACGCTGTGGTAGGCAAGTCACAGCTATCGCGGCAGTCACACAGCTGTCTGTTAGGAGAACTTCTGTCTTTGACATGCTGTCTACCCCTTACAATTGGAAATATTATTTTCACTGTGTTAGCGATTGTGAAACCTAACAGAATTGTAAGTTGTGTTCTGCGAAAAAAAAAAATACCACCCCTGAACGTGGAAGGAAACTTTTCACTGTATGGGGGTCTCTGTGCGAAACGTTCCTGCTCAGATTTTTCTTTGTCCTGCGCTCGTTACATGATGGAAATAAATCTTCCTTAAATTCGTCTTTTGCCGTTATTTCAGGTTCAGTTTGGTCATGCTGGAGCGAGTGCTCACGGAGACAACGAAACGGCGATCGCTAAAAACAAGGTGCTGTTTCAACTGAGTTTTTTTTTGGTAGGAAGCTTGCTAAACAATACAGATGTGTGGAAGGTACTCGAACTCACACTGCAGCTCAGGATACAGAAATGAATTTACTTGTCTTTAAAGTTCTGAACTGAACTGTTTTACCTTGATTCTCCCACAGGCTCTTAAAGAAGCTGGTGCTTACGTACCTGAGAGTTTTGATTCTCTCTTTGATCTAATCAGGTTGGTAGAGTGGCGTTTTTCATAGTTCAAGCTGTGTGCTTTGCGTGGGAAATATATTATAAAAGGATTGCACTTAGCACTATGCAGTTGCTCCACACACACGACATCTCATTTGGAAAATACTTAGGCTCGATTTTCGCCACTGTCAGCGCGAGTCCAGTCTTTCGGGTGCGTGAATTATTGCGGGCTTATTTTCCTAGTAATTGAGCCTCGACAATATTATGTTTCGAAGGAACTCTGTTGCTGTTTATTGTTAATTTATAAAATAGCTGAGATAGTACGCGTGATCTGATTGGTCAAAAACCTATGGTTTATTATACCGGTAAACCCATAGAAAAAGGCATCCGGACCACGAGCCATAAACAAAACTGGCTATTGATCTGCAAACAACGATTTTAGAAAGGCTAAAAAACAGAACAAGTTACTTACCCAGCCCTTCTAAATATTCAAAGCGTTGGTTTCCACATTTTATTACTGAGCGTCACAATTCGCTACTGCCATAGCTTTAAAAGTTATAAAGTACAAAGCTGGAAAGCAGTTTACATTTCACGACGATGCCAAATCGCAGAGAAAGACAACAACAGTGTGAATTTCTTGTGTAGAAAGTCTATAGGAAAACTTAACCATATGCTAACCAGCAACAAAACGGATAGTTTTAGCATTCTTGATTTATTTTATGTCAAAATTAAATTCCTTAATGAAAGAAATTGTTCCAAAAAGAGATCTCTGATCAAGATATGGTACAAAATCGGCCGCTGTAGGTTGTAAACAAGCTGCCAACGATGATGAAAGATGTCAGAGTTTCGGGCTGGTTTTTTCCAACATTTGTACAAATTATTCGGTGATATCGATGCCATAACCTACCACAAACCACCTGACTTCACAAATCGACAAATATTAACGCCAATATGTGGCTACGGAAAAAAAACCGGCCTTTCTCCACCACTGACAGATTTCCATCGGTGACTGTACGTGCATGTAAAGTTACATGCGACAACTTCGCAAATGCAGCCACGTCGCAGCGTTTCTTGATCATGATAAAGCCCAGAAAACAGATCTTAAACCACTGTGGCTTGTAAAAAAGTGAATGAAGTCCTCCATTACAATAGCTGCCAGTTCCGTCTGTAAGCACGAAATTCTTGCGGATCGACTCAACAAAATACAGCTGCGTACAGTCTGATGTTCAATTTTCTACTTCTTTAGTAAACAAACCATGAACGTATTGTTTCATTGTACGTTCGCATGAATATGTGTTGACTTTTCCTGTAAAACAGCTTTCATAAGTTATCATGTAACGAGTGCAAAAACTCGTGTTTTGAAGTGCTGCTGTTTGTTGTTTGACTGAACTGAGTTTTGAGAAAGTTCTGCGCTATTAAATCGTGAGTCATGATTGGCTTATGATGACTTTAGAGAGAAGACATAAATCGATCACGGTACTAAAACAATATTTTTTACCTAAAAGACTCCGCTTTACTAAAGGTTATTTTATAAAAAGCAATAGACCACACTTTCTATGGGTTTACCGGCGTGATAACCCACGCGGGATGTTGGGAGAACACGAGAAAAGCTTTTAAATCACGAGCCGAAGGCGAGTGATTTACAAGCTTCTTGAGTGTTCTCCCAACATCCCGCGTGGGTTATCACGCCGGTAAACCCATAGAAAGTGTGGTCTATTGCTTAAATATTAATGATACAACGTGACTGTATTTTGCAGGGAAGTTTACGATGTTCTAGTGAAAGATGGAACGATTGTCCCCAAACCTGAGAAAAATCCACCCACGGTTCCAATGGATTACTCCTGGGCACAGGTTAGTGAAAAGAACAGACCAGCACAAAGTTTTAGTGTTCATAAAGTCTCTTGTTTATCGACACTCCTTTACAGAACGAGCGCGCGCTGAGATGAGTTTGAGATTCTCACGTAATTTTAGCGTCGCTAGAGTATTTAAAACTGTGTTTTATTGTGATGTTGTTCTTTGCTTTCCAGGAACTTGGATTGATTAGAAAGCCTTCCTCATTCATGTCCAGTATCTGTGACGAGAGAGGTGCAGAGTTGTTGTATGCCGGTATGCCGATCACAGAAGTGTTTAAGGTATAAACTAACTTTAAGAGTTTGTCAGAATTATCGGAATGATCCAGTATTTGTTGAGAAACGTAACCTAAAGTTCTCGTCACCACTGACTATCTTTGTAGGAAGGAATTGGTGTTGGAGGTGTCCTGGGTCTGTTATGGTTCCAGAGAAGGCAAGTTCATCGCTTTTCTTCCATTCTAGATCTTTTTCCCCATAACCGAATTTTAGACTTCGTGCGTTGAATGCACGAATCTTACATTTTTGACGCGGGCCACTATGTTGTCAGACACGGTGGATAGTAGTGAAGGTTTAAATGAGAATTGTGGCGCGTGATGTAGAACAAATGCGAAGTGGTTGCAAAACAGTAGTATCCTTCACATTTTCAAGTACCTCAGTGTTTACATACGCCAATTGACCCACCAAAATGCAGATTTGTGGGTTCTGCTTATGGTGTGAAACTCGGTTATATTTGGATGTGGTTAAGTTTCAGTTCGCATCTAATCTTACTGAAAGCTTTCGATAAAAAACTCTCAAAAATGCAGTCAGCACCTAACGAAAAAGGAGTCTTGTGATAACAAATCCCCAAACAGAGAGCTTATAACTGTGTGTATATTTTTTTAGATTACCAGCTTACGCTGGTGAATTTATTGAGATGTGTCTCATGATAACCGCTGACCATGGACCTGGTAAGAACAGCACCAAAACAGTTTTTGTGTTTTGTTTCTATCATCACTTTAGTTTGCGTTACTCACGCTTATCGTTACTCACGCGTTACTCACGGTTATCGTGCTCTTTTTCTGTGATGCACAGCTGTTTCGGGCGCCCATAACACAATTGTGACAGCACGAGCTGGAAAGGATCTCATATCATCCCTTGTGTCTGGTCTTCTCACGATTGTAAGTATAATGTCGCTGCTGTCCTAACAGAAAAATGAAAGAGGGAAATCGGAAATTTTTGGATGGCAAAATTAACGTCTACATATTACCGGACGTGTATTTGTGTTTGTTTGTTTTTAATAGGGTGACAGGTTCGGTGGGGCTTTAGACGCAGCTGCTCGGATGTTTTCGAGTGGCTTGGACAGCGGACAGGCTCCCATGGAATTCGTCAATGAGATGAGAAAGAAAGGACAGCTGATCATGGGAATTGGACATCGTGTTAAATCTGTAAGTACATACTGAGGGGTAACAGCTAACAAAGTAAAGCTAAGGTGCTAAGAAATGCTGAAACGTTGTGGAGTTAGCGTGGCCGAGTGGTTAGAGCGCCGGACTTGTGATCGGAGGCCCCGAGTTCAAGTCCTGCCCTGACCGCTAGCTGGATTTGTTCATGGTAGTCCTGTGTTCAAATCCTCGGCCCCGCTTGTAAACAGCCAGCTGATTCGCCTCTGGCCAGTTGGGATTCTTAGTGGTTCATTATCCCTGAAAAGACCCATAAGAGGACAGGATAATCAAGTATTCAATTAAGTATTTATTCACGTTACTGGAAGCAATTAAATGACGCAGTTTTCGTCATTGACAAAAAAGGCAAACTTAACACTTGTTGGGGATAGAGGATAAATCTTGGCCCGGTTATCAGTATAACATCTTGTCTTTGTCAAGCGTAGCAAGTAACTGGAACACAAATATCAGACCGGTATGCAGTGCAACAAAGGTGCGGTTGGTTAGTATCATTTTAAAAAGCTGTTTTTTTTCTTGGGCGGCAAGGGAAGGGGAACAGAGACATAGGTATCAGTTATTAGTTAAAAGAAATGACTCTTTTGTCTTCGTTTTGGAGAGATTTTGCTACAGTAAACGTTTCAAACCAGTGTGAGTTTTATTTGATTATGCATTCTCCACTTACCTTCCATAGCTGAACAACCCTGACATGCGAGTTGTCATTCTTAAAGACTTTGTGAAGAAGAACTTTCCTGCAACTCCTGTCATGGATTACGCCATTGAAGTTGAGAAGATCACTACATCCAAGGTACTGTAGTCATGGAAACAGGACACCATGCATGCGCACGATGTGATATATCAAACACGATATAGGGTGTCTCTGACGAATTTTACGTTATAGTGCTGACTGCATAAAGTACACGTCGTGTTCTTTGAAATTTAAGCTTTTCGTCTTCTGAACAAGCACGAAAAAGAATTCTAAAAGTACAGAGTTTCCTATCTTATTTTAGTTTTGTGTATTTTCTGTCTGGAATATCGGAAAATATGTATTGTGAAAAGAAAGTTTGAAAAGGCGTTGAATTTTGATGATCAAAATTTAATTCTTTCAATATTAAGCACAAACATCTGTTGCAGTTCAATTTCATTAACAGAACTGAATCACGCTGCCTTTTTGACGCCTATGCCTTAACGTTAATTTTTATGAACTCCTGTTTTAATTGCCGTCGTTACAGAAACCAAACCTGATACTGAATGTAGATGGTTGTATTGGAGCCGCCTTTGTTGACCTTCTACGTCACTGTGGAGCCTTTACAAGGTAACCTGCACTTGCTTTGTAACGAATATGGTTAATTTCTGGAGGCTTAGATGATCTTCTATTTGTTGAAAATATTTCCCTGCCTACAATACTGAAAAGGTGTACAAACTATTCACAACAATCGACTTTGCAAGGTCCCTGCATGTGAGTTTTTGCAATTTGAGATTGTCCAGCGGCAAATGACATGGTATAAGATTTACATTTGCATTTGTTTTTCACTCTCAGTCCACTTTAGCCTCACACGCAGACGTTCTTATGGCTTCGTCACGCGTTCGACGTTCGTGAGGGAGGAAGGCGTGAGGAATCCCGTGGAACTTCTGCGTGGGAGGTTAAGTCCTCTTCGAATGGACCTCAAGATCATAATTGCAAAACAAGAGTATAATAAATTGGCAATGGTAGTACAATATCCGTCCCACAGTTGACTTGACATAGATACACTGGATTCCCGATTTTTCAAACCTCCTGTGGAAAAAAAGAAATGGAATCGAACTATCCGGAAGTACGAGACACCGAGGGTTTGAGGAACTGGGATTCTACTTTGGACTCGCTGTGTGATTGTACACTACTTGGTTAATACGTAACAAATTGACCGCATTAGAAATAACGTCAAAATGTTCCAAGTAGACTTTTGCGGCTCGTGGTTTCACTGTAAGGTTTTGAACATTTTAACGTTGCTTTCACGTCATTTCTATGACGTCATCTCCATTGTGTACTCTCACATAGTCAATATCTCTCGAACAATCAGCGTGCGAGAAATCGCGCTTCAGTTATTGAAAAAAGTGTCCTTTATCATTTCAGGGAAGAAGCAGATGAGTTTGTGGAGATTGGGGCGCTTAATGGGTTGTTTGTGTTGGGTAGATCGATTGGATTCATAGGTAAGTTAGACAACAAGCCGGGGCATCAAAATCACGGTTTGTTTGTTTGTTGGTTGGTTGGTTTTATTTGATATGGTTGTTTTTGTTACCTGATAAAGACCTGCGGTACGCGGTCGAAACGTCACTAAACTCTCTATTTATAAGAATATATTGTGTAAGAATATCGAGGCTGAAATTTGTGAACTTTTCAGAATAATACAAGAATAAACCTATAACTGCGATTCTAAAAAAGATATAATTTTATGTGTCGAAAATCTGTAAATACGATACAATTATGTTTTTAACTTAACGGTAAAATTATTCTTTTCTTTTAATGGCAAGACTAGATACAGTGTAAAACGGAATAGCCAGGAGCTATTATTTAAGAATAATTCAAGAATATTCTGCCTGAGCTGGAAAAACAACATTCTTGTAAAAAGGAAAGAGTGTATCGTGAGACAAATGATAATTGGGCCTTTCATACTCTCATCAAGATAAATATTATGTCGTTCATTATATCTTCCACTTCTGTCATGTCCTGCTAGAAGCAAAACCAAAGAGATATAAATCTCTTTCGTCTGATTTTATGATCCTCTTGTCTTGCGTCTTAAAATGAACTCAACGAAAAGGGAAGTTTTCTAAAACTACAGCAAGAAAAATCGAATTGAACGCGAAAGCGGATTATAATATCATTTGGTCTTCAGATTACGCTCTAACTCTTTGTTTTACGCTGCTCTTATCTCGTTTAGGCCATTATTTGGATCAGAAACGTCTAAAGATGGGACTGTATCGCCATCCATGGGATGATATCACTTATCTAATGCCAGATCACCTTCAACATCTCCGGCCAGCCAGCTTCGAGTAAACCGGCGCATAACAGTCACGTGACCTCATTGTGCGTCACAGATAGGTCTCACGTACGGATGTGCGCTGCACTAAAGTTTTAAAAGCGGAAACATTTGCGTACAATATTGAAGCTGCGATGCAGCAAGATTTATTTAGGTTTATGTGGATGCATCTTTGTTGAAAAATATATCCTGTCTAAAGGTACTGGGATCTGTTATAGGAATTTGGAAATTTAACAAGGGTTAAGCTGGTTAAGAAATAAAGAGTCGTTCTAGAGCGTTTAACAACATATTGAAAATGAAAGGGAATTAAAATTACCCTTACGTGAAATAGTTGTGTGCTTGTTTTACCAACGAATTGTACCTTATCGTAGGAATTAACGCTCCATGAAATTAAGGTATTGGAAATTAACGCGAATGTAATGGAAAACGACTTTCGAATAAAGGAAATTAACGCGATTATCACATTTTATAGCAATTGTTTAATTAACGAAAAGAAACAATAATAATAAAAAGTAATAGTCGGCCATCCGTTTAAGAAGCTATCACATTCACACACATTGTTATCACATTCCGTAGCTATTGTTCCAGACACCTAACCTCGAAAATCCCTTTGCACGGAACAATAATAAATAATTATAGTCACCAAAACCAATGCAAAAAGGTCGTTTCTACTAAGGTTCTGATTGGTTTAAACATCATTTTACCAAAAACTTCGTGTGTATTTAATCCCTTTTTTTCTATCCAACTGGCAAAATATCGTCCGAGAACACCTATGGTTTCTTTCGGTTGTTTCGATTGGTCCCCATTTAAAAAAAAATGGAAAAGTTTAAATCATTTTCTTTCGCAAACAGCCTTTTTTGTTGTCACTGAAAAAATGTCATGTGTATTGCGCCACAACAAAAGTGGCGGGCACCCTTCTTACCTGGATCATTACTTAAATTAACGCGAATTTCAAAAATTCGCGTTAATTTCATGAAGGGTAAATTTCCTATAATAAGCTTTGCTTCAAAAACTTAAAAAGTAGTAGTCTGAAATGTCAGCCATCTCCATCCCCTAACCGTGGTGGCTGGAGTTTCATGGCGGAAATGTATGCAAAATGCATAAATTAGTCGGTGACCGGACAACATTGTAATGCTTAGAAATCAGACGTTTCCCACCGTCGCGCCCTCTCGCGGGGCAGTTGGAGATAGCTGACAAATAAGTGTTCTACACGAAAGAAACCATGAACGATAACAGCTTATGATGGAGTTGGCTCGGAAGTAATAAAGGCACCTTAACATGAAGACGGTCTTTTTCTGATACATGAGTTCTAGTAACAAGGAAGAAAGGGCTGTTGATGGCTGCCACTGCCCGAGTGATATGGTTGTGCGCATGCATTCCACAGGGTTGTGTGATATGACCGTTGCACCTTACTTTATGGTGAAACAGCTTAAACGTACTGATAGCAACTAGCAACGATTAACACATCCAGAAGTATAAATTGTCATAGTTTGCATAACAGGCGTTACTTTTTCGCGTTTTTCGGTCTTTAGAGGCAGGCGTGAGGCCGCGTCCCAAGACTGATTATTTACTGGTCTGATATTTCATGGTTTCACACCATGTGCCTTTCACAGGGTAATAATTGAGGGATATTGGTGACCTTGTATCTGGACCTGTCCCTACATGTGATCTGCGGCAAGTTATTCAAGTTGCAGCTGTTTCATTTAAAAGAAAAATTATGAATCCAAACAAACGTGAAGGAGGAGATACCCTTGTGGAGCGACAATTATTATTTCACGAAAAGTGCTGGAACGAAGAAGGTGTAGGGTTTTCGCTTATGCGCGAGGCAAGCACAAGGAAGTGATTGAGGCGGTCTGTTCATGCGTATCACGTAAACATAGATTCCCATTTTCCAGTTCCTTGTTCTATTTATTCCTTGGTAGCAGTCAGCCGTTATTCATACCCCCTGATTTCACGTTTTTTGCCCCATTTACCGTGCCCACTGCTTCTTTTAAAAGCATATTATTCCAAACCTGTAATCAGGCTTTTTTTTCAACCAGCTTTTTAAATTCCGACGGGCCAGATGACCACGTGTCTGGGGGCCAATATTTCCTTTGTTAAACAACAGGGAAGCACGCGGAATGGTGGTCATTGTCTTGTCACACCGAGCTGGTGGCTTAATATGATAATTGCTGACCAGTCTTCATAAAATGTATCCAACTCTGTTAGAATTTTTAAAGTAAGGTATCCTCGATTTAAAAGTAAAGCCAACAGATAGTAAATAAGCCTTAGCAGAGATATTTTGTGAATACAACTTCGCCCGACAGACTCTAAAACATGATTGGGCATAGACTTCCGTGGCGCTCTTTCGCACGCCTCGCGAGCGTCCCTATAGTAGAGCATTCGGTGCTCATGCAGTCGACTTGTGGCGAGTCTAGATGGAGCAGCTAGTGGTCATGTGGAGTTGTGCACTATCACATCCCTTTGCAGGGTTGACTCGGATTGACTCAGTTGTTTTTATGCTACCCTCCTCTCTCCATGATTGCACTTTAAGCAGAGTCAAAAGAAAATCCATCCCACAATACCATGCGCACGGCGAAAGTATCTTGCGTGTGGGTATCAGGTCTATGAGCTACAAAGTGTCGAACTGAAATGCTGATTTAAGGGTTGTGGAAAATGGTATTAATACGATATTTCGTAAGTCAGGACTTACCAGTTACATTTATTGTTGGTAGTTTCACGGCCAAATCAAATTTTCTTTCGGGAAGAATTTGGCTATTTTCAATGTAAGTAAGAAATAATATTGTTTTCGGCTACGGCTTTGACACGTGGCCAAAAACTTCCCCCTTTTGAACTGAGAAAGAGCCAAGGTTTGGCATAACTCATAATAACCGTTACTACTAAATTTTACTCCCTCGCTTTGGCACTCCCATCCGGACCATTGAAATATTAGTTCAACTTTTCGGGAGAAACTTGCCATACCAATGCGGCGTATTGAGTTAATTTTCTGACTTCCTGTACTGCTGCTATAAATCGTAATGACATGTATTGACAGGTTTGAAAAAACCATCTTTAGCATAAAATATCACATTAGTCAAGTAAAAGTACTTTCATTTTTTTTCGAAGTCGTGCTGCTGTGTCTCATCCCTTCCTGTTTCGTCAGAGACCGGAAGTTACATTTCCACTCACCCCTCCCCTACCTTTTCACTCGTTCATGACTGCTTCCGGTGGAAAACAAGTTCGCTTTTTTCACTTTTTTATACAGTGCGTTGTATTTAAAACTTTTGAAAAAAAAAAAAAAGAATTTCCAATCGTTTCAAAAATAAAGTCGATATTTCCTTTTGTGTGATTGAAGCCGGCTTGGCGCTGCAATTAATTTCGAACTTTTTTGTACTAAATCAATCATTATTTTTAGGCCTCTTTAATTTGCGTCAACAGGTATCATGGCCAGTGAATAAGCATGAAATAAGTCGCGATCAAGCAATTTAATCTTAAGTATAGTAGTCATTATAAGATAATGTATATCCGCTACATCACGAAACTTTCCGAAAAGGAAGTTGCGGTTTTCATTTTCTCAAGTTTTAAATCTAAAATTGAAACAATTCTGACATAGCACTTGGCCAGCACATGCAAGCTGGAGCATTTTCACTTTTGTTCCAAAATGTTAGCGTTAATCCTGGAGGAATTTTAAAAATTCTTTCGCTGGATTGTTTTGCTTTTTTCTTGTGTGCGACATGTGCGAAACCACTTCCGGTAATTGTAAAAATGGCTTCCTTCGTTTACAAAAGCTTTTTATTAGAAAGTATTGCGAACTAAACGAAAATGAAGTCATGCTCAAGCTCAAGCTTTGACGAAATTAAAATTACCGAAGAAACAATGTAAGGTTGATTTTTGCAACTGGAACGTCTTGTCAACGGAAATACGTTGAGCTTGTGCCTCGGATTATATCCTCATTTCCGGTTGGCGGTTCTTCTGCGCGCGCAGTCGATTGAACGTGATCAAGTTTTGACAACATTTCTGAACAGTTCTTTGATCGAGTTTAACTGTTTCGTGGTTTTTCTTTTGGCGGAATGATTCGTCTGATCTTCAGACAGTTTATTTACAGAAAAGGCTTGAAATGCCCTCTAACGAGGTGGAACTTTTGAGCTACCGACGCAGGGAATCACAGCGGCATCCAGTAAATATAAGACGAACAGTTAGCGAGGATTGTCTTCTCGACGAACACGAAGACAATCATAGACTTATTATTTCAGCTTTTTCAATGCTCAAACTAAGCAAGACGAGGATTTCTGTTGGGGACAGTGTAACTGTGTACTGGGATATCAGAGAGCACTGTGGAGCTAATGACTGGATCGGGCTTTTCGATTTAGGTGAGTAGATGTACCGTACGTACCCGCAGCGCCTCGAGCACACTCTTCACTCTTGCGTCGAGGCCTGCTACCGGAATAAAACACACTGGTTGTTTACAACGAAACACCGAATGGATGCTTCTGTTTTCTTTGTGTTAGGAGATAAATATCCTAATTTAAACTAAACTGAAGGGAATCAGCTCCTAATGCCTCGTGAACATCTTAAATTTAGCGTGCTGGTCAACCTTCCCGTTCATAAGTTTTCTGCAAACCGGATCACAATGTCGTTTGCGTGGAAGAAACCTGTCAGAACAGTCTCGAGACATATTTTGCTAGTTTTCTAGGGCCGGTCGAGTTTAACCGAGCAATTTAGTTAGTTCTGCGTGTTGTGGAAACGATAGAGATTGATATCGTGTTTGGTACGACCTCTTCGTTTGAAGTAAGCTCATGAATTTGTTCCGGATGTCGAGGAGATCGAGCTATAGAATTCACAATATTCTCTCATCTCCCTCTGTTAAAAGTTACAGCTACACGCCATGAGTCGATGCAGTCATTTCTTTTAGGGAATCACACTTAAACTCACGAGGTGCTTAATTTTATTGAAATGTTATCTTTGGAAGGGTTCATCGTCTCCGATCCGTGATGCATGTATGAAGTTCCAAGTCGATCATTGTAGGTATTCTAAAAACAAATATAAAGCTGTGAAGCCATTTCACAGTGAAACATCCAAGCTGCTTATGTGAATTAGGTCTTTGTTAGGCTAAAAATGCTAATTGGTGTAGTTGGTGAACTGATATTGTGTTCCTTCGAACACTGAAACTGTTAGCAATCTTGCGTGATGTGTTTATATTATTCAGGGAATAATAATGTAGCAATGTTATCAGCTTTGAAAAAACTCGATGGTTTTTTGGTACCTTTTTCGAAAACGTCATCATTCTTTGTTTTAATCGCAAAACTGGATTTTTGTAAGGTCACGATCGAATGCAGCTCAATTTATTCATTTACTGAAATAACTTACAGAAGAAATTCTTGTAGCAGTGCAAAGGCAACTGACATCAAATCCATTGATTTCCTTTTCAAAATTTGTGAAAAAGGTATCGCCCAATCGAATGAGATTAAAATTTGTATACGGAATTCCCTATAAGATCAACGTACTACTGGTATTTTCAATAACTTCTATGCCTATTTTTCTTGAAACATGAACGTCAACGAGATAGAATTTTAGTTGCACGTACGTATATATGACGATATTTCTGTTCATGACAACACAAAATTCTTCATAGGAATTTTGGTGGTTTTAGATCTATTCTAAGCAGATTTTTGGCCATATTTCTGAACACTTACATGTATGATTGACATATTCTTTATTCCAAGGTGCGTAAGGCTAATTACAGTCGTTTCAGAACTTAATAATTCTTTTGTTTTAAGCAGTGCTTTTCTTTGAAATGCACAATAGGTTGTTCATTCATTGTTTTTATCACTGGATTTTTTTTACCTTTCTTGTCTCCAAGCATGTGATGTGTTGTTGATCAGCTTAGCTCTATTCACATTTTGATAAGTATACTGGATAAGTATTATGATATATCTACTGATATGATATTGCATGTTCATCTGTCTTCACTTTACGGAGCAATATCCTTTGTTTAATGAAAGTCCAACTACTGGCTTCTTAAGTTTATAGTTTCTATTTACTGAATACAATTCATCTCTGTTTGTCAACTCCTTTGTTGCTACAGAGGGCAGTCTATGTGTGTGTGACATTTTTTATTACTAAAACACTTAGTTGAATACTTATATAAATGCCAAGTGCATTTGAAATTTAAAATACATAATGTTTCTTGAACTGTCTTGGAAACAGTATTATTGGGCAGCTAGTTCAGCTAGTAACAATGGTATATTCTGTAGACATTTGTTTAATCTTCTCTACATTGTTGCTTATAAATAGATAGCACAACTTACTTTTGTCAGCTTCAAGAAGACGTGACTAAAATAAATCATCTCAACTGAATAATCATCTCCCCAAAATAATTTGCTTTGCTGCACTTATTCTTAAAGGTAGTGTTTTGGTAAGAAATCATTGGTGTTTCTTACAGACTTTTCAAAACAACATAGATCTGGTTTCACCTTATAATCATCAGATTATGGAATCCTGTTGAAGGCAAATTCTTTTTGGGAAAGAAACGAATTAAGATTGTTAACATACTGGCAAGGTGTTTGGAAAATGTCATAAACTATGTTAAATGATATTTATACGTGTACCACCCTTCTTTGGCTTTGAGCGGTTTTTCCACTTTTTGCTATGTATCTGCCCTCTTGAGATATACAATAGACCACTGTACTTGGCAAGTGAATGATGTGAAATTTCTTCCTCTTCACATATTTAACTTCTAAATTACAGCTGTATGCGGGATAGCCCACATTTTAATGGCCAAAGTTGTTAGTGTTATGAAGCCTCAAAAGCAGCAAAAATTAATGTTATTTTGCTAAGGCATCTATTGTAAATGTTTTTTACTTAAGATTCAGACCAAATTTTTCCTACGCTAACAGAATTCTGACTATATTATATATATTTGTTACTATTACTGTATTATTATTCCCTGTAAATTGAAATTCTCTTCCTTTTAAGTTGATTTTAAAAAGGTTACGTCATGGCTATGGCTGACATGTATTATAAATTTACTCTCCTGTAACAAAATATTCAATTGCAGTTTCAAGATGCAAATTTGTCTTCACATGTAAAGAATTCACTCTTTGTGAAATAATTGTTATACTTTGTGTACAATGCAGTCAAATTTATTACCACATGTTATAAAATTTTAATTCTATTGAAAGTTGTAAACAAATCAACCTACTGAATTAATCACTGGTAAATGTTTCATGATGAAGGTGTGTATTTTGCTCAAACATATGAGTTAATTTACATATTGGAGTTTACAGGGTATTACCATACAGCACATGTGTATTTTGCGCTTAACAGCTGTACATGTACATCTTAGAAAATGGAGTTACGGATTTACTCTGCAACTTAACAAATTTCTTATTGCTTTTTGATGTATGTGGATAGAAATCCGTACAGGCATCGCAATCAGCCCAGATTGTATATACACTTTTGTATGAAATTAAAACTTAGACATAAAGTATATTAATCAGAATTAGTACAGAGTTAAAAGAAGTTTTTTTAAAAACTAATATGCCTCTGTGTTCTTCCTAATTTCTAAATGTGTGGTGATTAATTTTCTAAATTACACTGTATACAGTCAGTTCCATTTAAGTATGTCATGTACATGTATGTATTATTAATTTTGAATTGAAAGCAAAGTGAATCATGTATAATAGCTGTTTTTCCTCTGATTCTTGTTCTTGTTATAATAATTTTTGTCATACAATGGACAAGGATCAGGAGGTATACAGACCTTGAATTCAACAGTATTTATTGTTCTAGTAAATGACAGTGTGATTTGAACTAATTAAATTACCTGTAAAGCAGTATTCCAACAGCTAACCACTGTGCTATGCATCTTTGTGGGTTTTAAATCACTGTAAATAGATATATATTTTTCTCATGTCAATGTATTATATCGTTTAATTAACTGAGATTTAGATATTTTTATTTAAAAAGTTTATGTTTGAAACATCTGTAAACCATCTATTTTCAAGATTTTGTAAATTGGAAACTTTAATTTTGTCTGCAGCTTGTGCAATATACTTGTTATAGAGGGTAGACTGCATGCATAATGCATCTTTTGGGATTCAGGAAATATTTGAAGACAGGGATGTAGGATTTCAGATGGCAAGAGAGGCAAGTTTGGGGGACTAGAACACAGTGAAACCTAAACAAAATGAAAGGCCAAGGGACTGGCAATAATATGTTTGCTATAACAGGGTTTTGTTACTGTAAAGAGAGTCTATTTTCCATATATTTTATTAGTATATAGTAAATGAGTGGATACTGTTTTTGGCATGCTCTGATTGGCTACTCAAACTCTGGAAATCCAGTGCTATTCACTGATTCACCTCCAGGCTCTGAGCAATGAGCAATGCCAAACTCATGTACATTATGAGCAAAATGGCTTCCTGGTTTGCTACAATTACAAACAAAAAAATAACTCATAACAGTTTTTCAAGTACTATATGGAACTGTAACCTGGATAATTTTTTGCTGGTTTTCAGATAGTCCAACATCTTTGTCAAACTATTTAGCCTGCAAGCAGAGGGGTGTTACAGGAGCAAAGAGAGGAGCTATAAAATGGGCCATCAATAGAGATGTTACTTTTGGCGAAGGTAAGTCTCTCTCTACCAAAGTTGTCTATTATAGTCGGCCATCATTCAGTACCCGACTGAAATTGGGGCATGTCCAACTACAACTTAACTGTGTTTGGACAAGGTGTTCAAACAAAGTTATACCAGAGACTACATGTACATGTACTGTATCAGTTAAAAGATGACTAAAATTTAGCTTGAGCACATGTGAATAATTCTAATCTTTTTAACAACATACACAGCAACATTACTGTACTAAATACTACTAAACACTAGGTCACATTTAACCTGTATCCTTTGCAGGTGTACAGTGCACATTGACAAAGTCTGTTAAAGGTGCATTATGCATCTTTGATTGATCATGACTGACCACATTTTTGTTTTGTGCAAACAAAGCACTTGATGACTTGGTTGGAAAGCTGTACGTCCTTTCAAGAAAGAAAATTATTTGCAGCCCTGGTTCTGAATTATAACTACAGTACATGTACATGTAGCTGAGTAAGTTAATGTAATATTTATTCTTATTTTCTTGTCATTTTTCAGTTGAAAACAAGTGCATTTTCAAGTACATTCATGGCAACACTGGATCCGTCAAAGCCATAAGTCCCACTCTGTACATCTACAATCCTTATGCTGAGGTATTCAAAAAACATTAATTTGTGAAAAATGTTAAGGGTGGGTCATTTTCGGAAAAAAATTAAAATATAGCCTTAATGCTGCAAAACAATGTTTCTATCTTGTTACTCATGTCTGTTTATGAATAGGTTTAATAGTGTACAGTGTGTGTGTAGTCAAGTCAAACAAATTAGAAATCAGGTGGTCTCTACATGTACATGTATGTCATGTTTCCAAAGCTACTGGTGTAAATAGCCGTAAATTAACCTTTGAAGTTGTTGTTATGTCCTGATTGTGCAAGTTTTTATAATTGGGTGATTTTGTTAATTGTGGATTATACATTGGAAAGCTATTTGCAATCATTAGTTGAAAGTTGTATGTTCACAAACAACAATATTTGGAAGCCCTGTCAACTTGAATCACCTTTCCTCCATAGCTTGCTTCCCCACATGGTAGGCCACGCCTTGGATCACTTGTACCTCAGGAAACTCTTTTGGAATTCTCCATCGCTGGTATGTAAACCTCAAAAGCTATATTATAATTTACTGCTATTCAAAAAGGAAATAGGAAAAATATAGTATATTGAGTGTCTATCAGTCTAATAGAACCATCAATTTACTTCTTTTTTTGCCTTGACAGTTTATATAAATGGCCCAAGGATAAAAAATATAAGAATGGAGAAACACTTATAGAAAAGTTCCATGTTCCATGCTTATAGTTTATTTCTAGAAAACCTGATAAATATCACCATGTTAATACAACTAATCAATTTAAGTACAGTGCAATTTGCTTGTAATCTAAGAGATGTACAAACATACTACACACAGTATATCATATCACTGACTCTAGAATTACAATAGATTGCAAGAATCAAGGTCATTAATTTTGTCCTTGAATGATTCCCCCTCTTAAGGTGGTTACATTTATGTGTACTATTATAGTTTATTTTCCCTTCCCAGTTATTTTACAACAAATGATTCATTAATGAATTAACAGGTTTACAAGCCAATGGATTGAAGAAGAATATATTTGGCAGGCCCAGCCCTTATGTCAAACTGTCAATCATGCCATCACGCCGTCATCTCAGATCATGGAAACAGCATCATGGACAAATTGCGAAGACATCATCACAAACCAATACCACAAATCCAAAATGGAACAGTGAGGTCAGTAATGTAAATGAAATAATTATACAAAGGGCTGTCATTTGTACGTGTAGCTTTGTCAAATATTAATAATTTTGTCTAGTTCTCTGTGTGCTTTTACATTGTACATGTAGGATCATTCTGTGATACAATGTAAGTGTACTGTGTGGAAAATCATTTTTTGCCCTTTATAAATGTGACCATCAAAAGATTCTGTGCTGGAAGAAAAATTGAAGGGAGCCTGGTGCTCTGAACTTGTGAAATCCAGGATACTTATGATTTTCATAAAGGACCAAGATTTTTACTAGTCACCTGGGAGCAAAAGTTAGGCACGATGGGCTACTGGGCGCTGCTATAGCATGACCTTGATGTCTTAATTCTTACATAAACACATGTATTTACTTAAATGTGCACTGTACTTACACTGTACTTGAATACAAAGTAAGCACATGTAGATGTATTCAAGTGTGTACATCCTAGGCCGGGAATAATCATGCAGTTGACAGCCATGTGCAGAAGCTTTCATACACATGCATGCATAGTGTAACACGTTAGTAAATGTTCTTAATTAGATGCTCTGAAGTTTTCCTGTTACACATGCATGTACATATACATTGACCTTCTTGCTTTGCACATCAGGAATTTGTATTTTTGGGTGGCGCTGAGGATTTGTTGGAAGTTGAAGTGCGGAACAAGTTTTCAGGTACACGGCCAGCCTTCAGCAGATTCCTTGGAAAGCTTACTGTTCCCCTGGTGGATCTTTTTGGATGCCAAAGAAACAGGTAAAGCATTAAAGCTTTTCATATAAAAAATAATTATGTGTACATGTGTACATATGCCGTGGAATAAGAAGAAATTTATATGAAACACTTTTCCAGGGTATTATCTTATGACCTACATTGGGAAAACAAGGAGTTCTGTATTATTGCTTTAGTTGTTGTAAGTTTAAATCTATCTTTCTTATTTATATTTTGTTTCAAATCACATTTACCAGGCCAGAAGAGTTTACAAAACCTTTGGGTAGAAGAACACCAGCTGACAGAATACAGGGTACAGTCACGCTAACGGTCACAGTTATTGAACCATCAGAAAGACCACAACCAGGTCAGACAATGAAACTGAGGCTTCTACTTGAACTTCTGAAATTTTCATTTCTAATGTTTCTTCACTCTCTTAGCCTGTCCTATAGACTCGTTTTGTATATAAGTTTTTTCAAGGAATTCAATGAGCATGCTAGAAAATAAGCTGCGTTAAGCAGAGGGTTTTTTGTGTATGTTTTTGTTTGCGTTTTCGGTAAGTTAGGGATACAGCAGCGCAAAAGCTGAACTAAGGTCAAACGAGAAAGCGATAGGGGAGGAGGTGGGGAAGGAAAGAAGACAGACAGGTCTCTCAGCAGCATGCAAAGAAAGTCGTGTCCGATAGCCAGCCCGGGACTACATATGTAGTGGATTTTGCTATCGGGTTAGTGATTTTTGTTCTTAACTTCGGCGACGGAGAAGTGCTGTTGTTGGGGGAAATTCAAATTACAGAAGGATTGTAATCAATCCTGCTAATCAAAAAGGGTTTGGGGGCTAGTTTAAATGACTTGTGGGCTAGTACATGCTAGCTAGAACTTGCGCGAATGGCAGGCTGTCAAACTGACTTTCTTTGCACCCTGTTCAGCCTTCTTTCTCTCCCCTCCCCCCTTCCCCCTCCCCCCCTCCCCCATCGTTTTCTCGCTTACCTTAGGGAACACGAACGAAAACCACACCAACAAAACAGCCTACACCGCAGGCTAGCGACAAGAAAAAAAAAATTAGCAGCTACCACCTCCTTGAGCTGGCGGTCATTAAATCCCCCTCGGTTTTTTTATTTTCGTAGGAGCGCTTGAAGATCTCTAAAGAGAGAAATAGTAGGTCTATAGACAGACTATCACTGACAAAAAAGGAAGGAAGAAAATGTTGCTGGGGTGCAAAACGTTTTCTGGCTTATAAAAAAAAGCTTACTTTGGGAAAGTTTACAACGAAATTCTGTAATTTCTGTTGAAGAACAGCCGTAGATTTAGATCCGGTGTGTTTTCGGGGATGTGCGGGAAGAGGACTGCTACAGGCACATAATATGTAAGAGGTAAAAACTAATAGATTAATTAGGTTTGGTATAAATCTTTTTTTTTATTTCTAGGCGCTGAATCAGGCCAACAGGAGAACATTCCTCCTTCCACACCAGCCTCTGGCTCTCAACAAACTAATCCAAGTTGTACTCTGTCAAACCCGTCGCTGACATCTTCTGCGCCAAATATATTACAGCCTCTAACTCTGAACTCTAGCAATGGAGTTCTTGAGACCATATTTCCAGTTGAGAACACACCATCTCCTGAGTCTCCACGTGGGGCAAATGAACAGCCTAATCCTAGGGGCAGTGGTGGACATAGGCGTCTACGACTTCACTCCAGACCTCGGACTGAGATTTATTCACATGAGTTTGTTCCATTGGATCCTGATATTACAAGCCCTGAAATTTCTCGAGACCCTCATATGGCAAACATTGAGAACAGTGTTAGTGGAAATAGCACTGCAGATGAGAGCAATTCTGGTGATAACAGGACTTCTAATTCAATTGATGTTGAATCGCCTAATGAAATAACCAATCCTATACAGGATTGTCCGAGTGTTGTTCACAGCCCTGATGAAGTTGATAGCAATGATACTGTTGTAGCTTCCGCAACGTCACTTCAGGACTCTAATGTATCTAATCAAGATATGGAAAATCAACCAATGGAAATCCCTGACGAAACCAGTGATGTCAGTGACTCTGATGTTGTGACCGAAACGCCGGTTGTCACTGATGAGGTAGAAATGGCTTTGCCAAGTACTACGAACAGAAATAGTGTTACAAGTATTGAGTTGACTGATGACTCACCACTGAGAATCTTGGAAGAGAGTGAGAGAGTGCGTGAAGAGATCGCACTATCGTGTGAAAATTTACTCCACGAACCAAGCCCAGAAACAGACGATGAACTAGAGCAAATGGATGTTAGTGATGATACTATTATGGAAGAACAAAACAATTCACTCAATTCTGATTATTCGATGGAAGATGTATTGACAAGGAGAGCTGGTACAGCAACAGAGTCAAATGATAATTCTTTAGAAACTCAGTCGAGGACTGTTAGAGAAACACATGTACTTGAGGCTGGAGACCATCCCTCATCTCTGGAGGATCAAGAAGAGTCTCGTACATCAACCCCTCCCCCTGTGTCTCCTGATGTTACAGCATCTTCAGAAGCTGAGGCAGTAAATGCTTCTGAAGGAGTTGTTAGCTTACAATCAGAACACTCTCAGCACCAAGATAATCAGTCAGAACCTCAACCTTCTGAGCAGGAAGATGTACAAATGTCGCTTCTTGAATATGTAGATCGAATTGTTGGTGATGAATCTGATAATATTGAAGAACAGAGTGCAGACAATGCAATGATTGTTGAGTCGTTTGGAGATAACACTGAAGAAAATGTGTCATCAGTAACGTCTGGTGGAAGAATACCTTCTGTAACACTTCCAGTGGAGGCATCAGAACCTGTTTTACTTGACGCCACATCACTGCAGTCTGCTTCCGCGTCTGAAATGTTAGTTGATACATCAGCTAATGAGAACGCTATTACCCCACCTCCAAAACCTCCCAGGAGTAATGAGAACCCTATTACCCCACCTCCAAAACCTCCCAGGAGTAATGAGAATCCTATTACCCCACCTCCAAAGCCTCCCAGGGGTAAGCGTGTGTCTCGCTCCAGTAGTGAGCCTCGTAATTCTCAGCGCTCTCACAGGGGGGGAGAGAGGTCACGAAATGCCAGCAGAACTGCTAATCAAGAGGGAAATACTTCCAGACAATCGCGTCCTCCGTTTGTTAGACGTGTTACCGACCCCACCACAGGACAGGCAAATCGTTTGCATTCTGAGGAAGGGACTGTAAACAGGGTTAATGATGGAACTACTGCAGCCGCTATAACTGTAAACACTGCAGAAGATTCCACTTCATACGCTGCACCCTTGTCTCCAACAGAGTCTGTTGTGATGGCAGTACCGCTATCCCCTCCACCCCAGCGTCCTACTCACTCCGGTCTGATGTCACCTGTTGTTGTGGCAGATGGTAGGGCGGAACCAGAAGCTGTAGTCACACCACTTCCGTCACCAGAGCTCAGCTTCGAGGGAACAGACGCAGTGTTTGATAACCAATTAACTGTCACGGAAGCTTCAGTTAATTCTGAAGGAAACCAAAGTATTGAAAATGAATCTTCAATAACAAGAGACTTGTCAAATGATTACGAGTTGATTATACAAGATGATGGTAGACAGCCGTCATCAGCTCCATCAACTTTACGCAGGGAAGCAGTTCCTTCAAATGCTACAGTGTCACCAAGTGTAACTCGTGTTCAACATAGAAGAAGTAGCTCACAGGATTCTACTCCGTCCGCCGTGATTTATGCCACTCCAGTAACAGGAGTGAGTAGAGAATCGACTGATGGTAGTTTGAGTTTCCCGAGAGCGAAGGTTACTGCACTTTCAGAGAATCGAAGACGGGGAAGTGGCGAGACTGTTTCTGGAGAAACGCAATCACTGCCCCGGAACAGTAGCAATGCTGTACCCATACCAAGTGCCTCTGGTCCACGAGTAAGCTCGGAGCAGTCCCGTTCTGATGCAACTCCAAGAGTCAACAGTGGAGCGTCTGTTAGTGCCACATCACAGCCTGGGTCTAGTGCCAGCTCGAGCAGTGATCCAGATCAACGAGAAGCTATACAGACTTTACTCCGGTCTTATTATTTTAAATCATCTCAAGCATCCCGAGGAACATCCTCCGTAGGTCAACCAACATCGTCTACATCCCCTGTACGGGGGCAAGCGGGCGGAAGAAGGCCATCATCCGACACTAATCCGCGCAGTGCACAGAGACGAAACTCTGCTCGGAGACAACAGGGGTATCCGGTTCATTTGTCTATTGAGGATCAACAACAGGCAAGAGGACAGCAGGCTCGGTCGAACCAGCAGTCTGTAGAGGAGGAACCTCTGCCTTCAAGTAAGACATGAGAATAGTGTGACACTTTTATCTGTTATTGTAACATCGCTTTTCGATCATTGGTGTATTCATTCTTTTTTACTGATAGATTATGGAGCAACTATTTTTCACATTCACCAGAATCTGGATTTCGCGGCAAAAGTTGCACGTACAACAGTGATTTCATTCATGTCTCACTTGTTCACTCGTAAGACGTCATTTGCAACAACTGAAGCCTAGACCAGTCTAGAAATACTTTATTTTAATTTTTTTCTCACTTGTGCGTTGATTGAAAGGATGCGAAACAAAAACAATAAGAGGATGTCCGAGATGAAAAGAAACGGCCTTCAGCGGTGACAAACTTAAAGTCTTAACTTTGGAATTTTGAACGCTCAACACGGGCACAAACTAAAACACGCTGGGAATTTGAACACGGAATTGTTTTAGGTTCCGCTGAATAATCTAATAATCTAAGCCCTAATGAGTAGCGAAATTGAACAACTCCTGGCGTATGAGAGGGTGTGCAGAGGCCGGTCCCCGTCTGGTTTTTTCGGAGCTACTTGGTATTTTGGGGTACACGAACACGGTCTTCGTACGTTCTCATAGACTGCGAGCAGTCTCTCTTTTTCTTCAGATTTAGTGAGAGCAATGCACGCGCGCGGGAGCGGCGAAGCGCCATCAGTCACGCGCGTGGCCATTTGCGTGTCTCGCGTTTTGCTCGACGGACTACAGAAAAAAGAGAGACTGCTCGTAGTCTAATGTTTTCATACATACAGTGTGTACATTCCATACAAGATTATATGATACACAGTGCAGGAATAATCACCGATCTTATTGTGTTTGTTTGTTTGTTTTGGCAGATTGGGAGAGAGGGATTGATTCTCACGGAAGAGTTTACTACATTGATCACATCAATAGGACCACCACCTGGGTCAGGCCTCGGCGAAGTAAGCAGTTCACTTCCACCCGCCCCTCCCCTAATCAAACGTCGGTACTAACTTATTACTTAGGGTAAAATGACACATTAGGGGAGGGGTAGGTAGGTTCCGTGAATTTCACACCGATCCCAGTTTCTTTTTTTTTTACCACAATCCAACTGTTGATTGCTATTCCTTCTTGTTACCCAAATGTAGCACTTCTGCTGGGCTTTAGTCGTCCTATTATAGACTAAAACACTTCCTTTACATGAGAGAAATGTTTTTCGATGGCCAAACATCGTGAAGTCTAGCGGAGTTTTATTGAAACCTCCTTAGAAGTACGTATCTAGATGCAATTTCTGACCAAAATATTCAAAAGTTGCCAAGCCACTGCGACAAGGCTGTGCTTAAACAGTAAGCAAAATAGTCGGGCTAAAACTTGTACACCGGGGTAAATTTAAACGAATTTGCTCTGTTTTCGCAAAACAAACCTTCATCAAGGACTAAAAGAAAAATGGATTTAACTAAAAAAGAAAAGAAAAAGAAAAGGGTCGTTGCCACTAAAGAGTGAAATTAAAAATGATGTAAAATAAAAAATTACCAAATAAACAAGTTGATGAATTAATATATGGTCACGTCCATTTATATCCCTAGGGTAAAGTTTGTTTCGTGAGCTTCTTTTACATAGACACGTTTTTAGCAGTGACCTATGAGGCGAACGTGGCTGGCAATTTGGCTAGATAAGGAGGATAGTGCGTTGTTTCTCGAAACGTATATTCCACGGTCGTTTTAATTTTTCAGTGCACTGGCAATTGCATTGCCTTAAAATAAATTGATACGGGCAAGAATATGTTCTTCGTTGGTCTAAGAAAAGTGGGCATTGACCTTGACCTTCCTGAAGAAGAAAATCTATTACTTCCATTTACAAATGACAGTAAGTGATTTCTTGAAGGTTTCTTGGCTTGTAGCCTAGTGCAACACGTCACAAGGTCACATAAACGTACAAAATATCCATGTACTTCGTAATCACTGGCAAAAAGTACGACATCGAAAGAAAGCGTCCATGAAGTTAGTGTAATTCTGGTGGATGTATATATATTTTTCGCAATATAAGATACTTCGGGGGAAAAAATTGTGAAAGGTAATCAAAAACTATTTTGAAATCCCTACCTGAATTTTTTAAGAGTTTCGTTACCACAAGAAGGCTTACGTGACATTCTTTTGCAATTTACCATTTTCTACAATGGCTAATGTACGTTATGGACCCAGTTTATACAACAAACGTTTTGTTTCACTTCCCCACCGACGCAACACCACAGTTTCTTCAGAAACCCAACCCCTATTTATAAATGCAACTATCCGTGTCACTTAGCTCTTGAAAAACTATGTGGAACTACAAGTAGGCCTTTGCACCCAGTGAGACCGCAATGGTAAAAGTAAATGGACAAACTTCGTCTTATCTTTACCATTTTTATACAGTTGTATTTAAAACTTGAGTTGATATATGGTCTTTTCCCCTTTAAATTACCTCTATTACTTTTTACCTCCAAGATGATTTTTTTCAAACCGAAATATTGTGCAAATGTTTTAACAATTACATTGTCCATGGTGTTTACTTTATGATTGTATTGCAAATTTTCCTTTTCAGATGCCCCTGAGAGAGAAGCAAACATGAACGATATTAACACTCACTGGCAGAGCCTGGACAGAAGGTACCCCTCCCTCCCTTCCCTAGCTACCTCAGCACCCGTTCCTTGCATTTTAGCGACAAATTGCTGATTTAAGAAACTCACGGCTAATACGTCTTTTTGATCTTGTGATGGTCCCAGTTCACATCCGAGACTTAAACGTACTTTCTCAAGTTGATTTTTGAAAGGGCTTTGGAGAAAGTACTTAAAAGCAGTATTAGTTTAGTTTTCCCGAAGGTATATATTTGTCCAACACCTCTCCTCAGAAACTCGCATAACAAAGGTGCCTTTGCTTTTGATTTTCCTCTGGAGTATCAATCCGATCTACATTACATAAATGCGAACCAGGAGGTTTAAAGGTTTGGTTGTTTATAGTAGAAAGTGCACTTAGCTTATTAAGCTAGTTTACAAGCACTCCACTCAAATACTTAGAAACAAATAATTCAAATACAACATAACAGGATTAAAAACCCAACTAGCAGAAGGCAACCAGTTGGCTAAATACAAGCGTGGCCAAGGATTTGAACTTGGAACGACCGAGAACAAATCCAGCAAGTGGTGAGAGTGGGACTCGAACCCGGGACCGCCTGATTGCGAGTCCGACGCGCGTGCTGACCACTGGTCCACGGTGCTTCCAATCTCCTTCCTCAGGAGATTCTCCCTCGTGGATCATTCTGCGCAATGCTGTGCAGTTCCTTTGAACCCTTTTGATCGAAATTGTCTTCCTATTCTTTTCCGATTCAAGGTATCAAAGTTTTCGCCGGACGCTGCGTGGTCGCGGTAGTCATCATTCACGTCCCCCGCTTCCCATCGACAACAACAGAGAGAACCAGACTACAGGCGAGACAAGCGCTAGTAGCAGCTCTGAAACAAGTTCTTTATCCAGACCCTCATCAGCAGCATCTTCAACTCAACCGTCCCCCACCCCTTCAACATCATCCAACCCTTCCACACCGTCTACTTCTACCGCACCGTCTCCTTCCTCAGCCTCTAGCACGAGAGCTTCAAGTCTGAATCAGTCACCCGCTGTCAAGTTCCTCATCAGATATGATTTGATAGACTACCTCAAGAGCAAAGGGGTACGGAGTTTGTAAATTCTAGTAAAAGTTTCGATTTTAAGTAGACTTTTTGGCCTTTTTAGTCTTTAAACACATAATGTTGAGGTCAGTTAAGCCACCTTCCTTGAACTCCCTAGCTCAGTATTCCGGAGATTTAAGGTAGTTTGAGGCCATTGTTGATATCTGAAGTCAACGTAAAAACAGCAGTCCATATTCACGAAAATTCCCTTTTTTTGGTACTGTTAAATATTGCACTGTTTTCAAGGGCGTAAGCAGGCCTGAAATTTGCTTATATATCCGGCAAAAAGAGGGTGCTAAGGTAAGCTGTTTTACATACAAATCGACGTTTTGTGCAGACGGTTGGCCCCCTCCTCCCCTCCCCTCCTATGATGGACTAGTATCCTGTCCAGAGAGGACGACCAGTATTAACTTAAAAATTAAGGTTTTTCTCGCTTCACAAAGTTAAGCTCCAGTTGCATAGGTTCCCTGTGGCTCGAGTGGGCTTTTATCAAGCAAACCAGGTTTGAATGTAATTTGAATAATTTATGTTTCACCAGGTGGCAGGCCATTACTATTTCCAAAGCCAGATGTTGAAACTGATTGTATCCAAGATCAGAAGCGACCCAAATCAGTTTGAACGGTAAATTGAGCCCCTTTTATGTTCCAAATGAAGACTAATTTATTTTGTTGACTTTTTTAATCTTCAAGTGAAGATCTCAAGTCATTTATTGTCATGTTTGTGTGTTTTTATTTAAGGTATCGACATCAAGTCGAGCTTGTGAGGTTCCTAAATCAGTTTGCTGATCCGCAGATGGATATGCCGCCTGGATGGGATAAGAAAGTCGACCAATCAGGACGGGTATTGTATTTTCATTTACCGAAATATTAGTTTGTAATTGTGGCTTGCAATGTATTTGCAGTTCCCTTACCTTTTTGTTTTCCCGGGCGCGTTGATTGGTCAAGAAAATTCGCGCCAATTTTAAACCAATTACAATAGGCCATTTCCAAGTTGTCCCAAGCCTCTGTTTCAAAGCGAGGCCAAGTGCGAAGCCATTGATGGGAAAGTGTTTTTTTATTCTCATGCAAATAAACCTTTTCACAAGAAAGGTTTTGCTCTTAGCCTTGTTTTGAAAGTGGGAGTTTTTGGAACTCGGAAATGACCTATTTAGAATAGTTTTCCGCTCCGAGCGTCGTCTGCCAGTAACTGAAGAGACAATATACATTCCCTGAATAAAGTTATCAGGCTATTTGTTCTTCAGATATTTTCTTGCTAACTAAACTTGACGTTTTCTTGTTGCAGCTCTATTTTATCGACCACAATTCCAGAACAACAACGTTCATCGATCCGCGGCTTCCGGTTGAGGAGACGCTACCGAGACGAAACCGATCGGAATCTGAGGTACTACTACTAACTAGCTTTCCTTCCCTTTGTCATGCTACATTACTTACTACAGCTTCTTTCACAGAGACGTTTCTATCCAACAGAAGTGAAGAAAACGTGGCCTTCTCCCTTGCGTTTATTGCTAATATTTGTGATGAAAATATTAGTTGTGAGAAGTTTGACATAATTTACGTAATAATTCATTGTTAAGTAACAACTAAAGCAGTAACAAGCTTTGGTCACATGACCATAATTTGTTACAGTGATACAAATGTGCAAGAATTGACTGAAATGTAAAATTAATCACCTGAAACTGGAGGAGCATCAAAGAAATACAGAAACGTTAAAAGGCTGCATGGATGGGCAGAAACTGTACACGAAATTATGGGTGGTCAAACTAACCCTTAATTCATATTATATTTACTCGCCTGAGAACGCGATAACTTCCATAATGCTGACTTCGTTTTAATGTTGTTGTTTTTGTTTAGCCTTATCGTGGACGTCTTCCTCCGTCCAGGCCCCCTCCACCAATAAGCCCGCCTCAGACGAGCACACGTACCAGCACACCCCCCATGAGTGAGTTGTCACCTTTATTGTAATAAATAAATGATTAAAATGAATGAGGTGAATAGAACTTGCCGCAATATTGATTGGTTAATTAATACCACGCACATCATACGTGGATACACCTAATTGCAGTAACGTTGTCCTAAAAAATGAAAAAAGGAAAAAGCCAAATAGGAATTAATGAGGCTAATCAAGCCACATTCTCAGGGTGGATTCATTTGCAGGCGTTGTATTTCCCCGCTGGAATGTTTTTTTTGTTTTTATTGTTTTTCAGCTTTAAAACCTTTAAAACAATAGAGAATTCCAACAGGCAAATTCGACGTCTGTGCGCGGATGCTGCAAACGAATTCATAAGGCTCATTGGCCTAATTAATTCCTATGTGGCCTTTTCCTTTTTTCATTTTTTCTATGACAACGTTTTTGCAATTAGGTGTATGTCTACACGTGAAATCACGGTGTACATCACTTGTCGTACGGTTAGTATTTTTCTTGTTTTATGTTTTACTTGTTTTACCAGCTTTTCTGGACACAGGCCTGCCCAGAGGGAATGGGCACGAACGGGACTCGGGTCCCATGCGAGGTGTCATCCCTACCCAATCCCACAACCCGTAAAGGTTGACCACACCACCGGGCTCTCAACCCGTAAAGGTTGACCATACCACCGGGCTCTACGTCCCCTACTGTTTTCGAACAGTGGTGTGGGTTCTTTTACGTCCCACAAGAACAAATCATTGAAAGTTCTGTGAGACGGGATCTACGGTTTTTCGTCCTTATCCGAGAAGACTAGAAAGTCATTTGCAGATGTAATTACAAAGGCAGCACTTTCTTCTCAGTTATTTAAAGACCCTGAGTGTTGGTCCGGCCGGGGTTTGAACCTGCGACCTCCCGCTCGGCGGACCGGGTCTCTCCCAACTGAGCTAACCAGGCGGCGGTTAAATGGCGGCGGTTTTTTAAATGAAGATATGATCGTCCCAGTGGTAATAACAATTTGAGCAAATTCGAATTAACCGGTAAAAATTTCGGGACTTCAACGGGATTCGAACCCGAATCAAACGTAAATAGTGGTTTGTAATAGTGTTTGAGGAATCTCTCGGCATTAAAGGCCGTCTTTTGTTTTGACAAGTAACCTACACAGTGGCGGCTCTGCGAACTTTAGATTTTAAACTTCCAATGTATGGTCGATAAGGAATATTCTTGGCTTCCACAAGTCTTCTATAGCTCAATGGCAGAGCCATTCTGGACAAGAAACCAGAAGGTCGTAGGTTCAACTCCTGTTTGGAATACTCCGAGCCGCCTGTTTCACTGACTGAAAAAAACATCTTTCTCAGGGATGTTCTCTTTTGTGAAGCGGGTTCATTGTAATACGGTTGTTGATCTATAGCATAACTTAAAGTTCGGACATGTCATAATAATGTAAGTAAGAGGACAAGTATTTGTATACCTCTGCCATAAGACCGGGCTCCAATTCCTCGTCGGAGGAGCATATTTGATTATCGCTGCTTGTTGTGATATCTAGCTGTGCTGACAATTGAATATCTTCTTCCCCTAGCTTACAACCAGCAAGTCATTGGATTCTTGTCTCAACCAAACATTGATGAAATACTTAAAAACAAGTTCCAAGGCTACAGCTCAAACACTGCATTAAAGTGAGTATATCCGTGAATTCCAGTTAATGAAGGGTGCAGTGTTTTGAACATCATTTCCCACAAGCAACCTCGATTTTAACATGTTTATAATAGTGCTTAATGCTTATCCATCATTTCCCACTTTCACCAGGTCTAACGTGAGACGAGTGAAAACTGAGGGCGAGAGGGCCCTGGGACGACTCTCAAGTAACCTCGATTTCAACATGCTTATAAGGTAAGGTGGTGTGACACTTTTTAACCGTAATAACCCACGTTTGATACATGTATATTAAAATTTTAACATATCTTCGAGGCTTTCTGGTCATTTTTCCATATATGGTTTGGTTTTCTTTGCGCTTAAGTCTTAATTTGGGGAATTGCGAGAAAATAGAGTCTTGAAAAAATTGTAATTTCGTCCATGAAGCCTCGGAATTTGTTTTTGGATTTTAATGCATCGAACGTCGGCCATTGAAAACTCAATTCGGTTTTTAGAGCCGCACTATCTTTAGTCAGCGGGTACTAAACAGTGTCTGGCTTTCATGTTTATGAACTGATCATTTGTTTTTCTTGATTCAGTGCTATACACGAGGACGTTATATCATATGTTCCTGTTGACCTTGCACAAACAAGTGAATCCTTGCGACCTACGTCACCAACTCGTCACTTCCAGGCCTCTTCTGGAACACGGTCAAGAGCAAGCTCGACAGAAGGAGCTCTTAAAGGTTGGTATGGGTCGAGGGCTGTGCTGTAATTGCCCCAGGAAGCCCACCGAACGAAACGTTATATTGTTTTTCTTAGTTTCTAAAGTTTCAGGGATTTAAACGTTAATTTTCTTCAAGATTTATTTCCTGCTGTAAAAAAGACAATATGGGCGGGTTATTTTAATTTTTTCTTTTTCTCTCTCTCTCTTTTTCTTCCCCTCTTTTCTTATTTTTCTCGCCGATGAATTTGACGTGCGCGAAGCACTTTCCACCCCCACCCCACCACCCTTGCGCTAGAGGTGTCAATCCTGTTTTATATGCGTGCTTGATGATCTCATAAGAGAAATACAAGGTCTGTGAAAATGCTAGTTATTAAAGCAACATTATAACCAGTTTTTTAGTTAGCAAAATAGTCACCTTTTCAAGCGAGTTTAATAAGCACAGGGTGCGAATGCATTTAGTACAAATCTTAGAACATTGAGATACTCCTAGTGAGGCCTTCAACAGCGCAGCACTCCTCCATCGAAGTAGGCTTTTTGCGGTTCTTATTCCCAGGGCGTGTTGGTTTTGGCTTATCATCGATGTTTCTATGACAAAGTTTTTTCTAGATAAGGGTGTCCTAAGCAAACCTATTTAACCTCTGGGAAGGGAATGGTCCAAATTTGTCTTGCCTTTGACCTCTTTTAACATGGGTGACCCTACCAGGAGCTGGGGCTCCCGCTAGCATAGCTCTGCAAGTCATTGCTCCATGCAAGCCACCACGCTTTGGCATGAATGGACCATGTGGTGATGCAAAAACCAGTAGATGTTAGAACTCCTTGAAACGACTCGTATATATCTTAAGAATACATTTTTGTGCCCATAAGTAAATCTTACACATTGTTAGTGAAAAGTTCAGCAGTGAACAGTGCTACTTATTCAGGTGGTTGTTATTCATTTGTTTGTTATTTTTTGAACCAGGCGCGATGGCGGAATCTCCCGCTAGTTCCAGTCCTGCTCCCTATAAACGCGACTTTGAGGCCAAAGTTCGTTCATTCCACCGTCAGCTGTACCATAAAGGATATGGTCAAGGACCGAATAAAATCAAGTAAGTAAACCAGACACAATAACTCTAAATGTTCTTCTTGGAAATTTGTTCATCTTAATGATAATTTATTGGCTGAACAAGCAAGTGATATTCATCGACGAACTGACGTCTATTATGGTTTTCATCTAACTACCCTCCTGTGCAAACGGTCTTTTCGTTTATAGTTGAGGAAGATCATTGCGTGACGAGTCAAAACAATGTTTGCAGGGGAGGCTATATACGGCTTTTTGGTTTGATTTGGTGTCGCTGGTGACACCAATCTGTTTTTATATTATCTTTCGTAAAACGAACACACTGGTCATGACTATATAGAAAATCGTTTTGGAAATCGTATGCAGATCGTAACAGCAATTAGTGAAACCATAAATGGCTGTTGTGTTTAGTATTCTGGGTGGCTAAGTAAGCTGCAATCAATAGACATGCTACTTCGTCGAATGGCGGGGGGAATTACGCGGTAACATAAAACGATGATACATCTGGTACTTACCTCGCTTCGTATTCTCACCATTTCTACACTTATTACTTTGCATTTGCAGAATGAGTATACGCAGGGACCATATATTAGAAGACGCCTATGATCAAATAATGAAGGAGCCTGCAAGAAACCTGCAAAGAAATCGCCTCGAAATTCAGTTCACAGGGGAGGAGGGGTAAGAAACGAGAGTCGCTCTTTTTTTTGTTCCATGCCAGCTGTGTGAAGCGAGACAAGTAGTCGAGGGAATAGCTTTGCATTGTCAAATGGCCCAATATCGCAGTATACTCTCGCTTTGAAGGAAGTAATCAGCTCGTTTGTTCCAGACAACGTCATTCTCGTCAACGAAGAGAGACCCCTGGTCCCCTAGAAAGAGATTGTGCCTTAGGCCCCGCGCGTCACGTGTGTCGTGTGATGCGAGTTCTCGCGAGGGACGCTCGCGCTCTAAGAAACGACCCTCAGTACTTAGTTATAGCAGCGTTGATCACTTCAACTTAATGCACACAGTAAACCCCGCTTCCCTAACACCTGTTTTGATTTCCAGTTTGGATTATGGTGGACCCGCGAGAGAGTTCTTTTTCCTGTTGTCACGTCAAGTCTTCAATCCATATTATGGTCTGTTTGAGTATTCAGCTAACGACACCTATACTGTTCAAGTGAGTCCGGTCTCGCTGTATGTCGACAATTCACATGAATGGTAAGCAACTTAAATATAATTAACTTCATTACTGTGAGCACTTCCTGCTGGAGAAGTAACATTATTGTATTTTCATAACACTGTAAACTAGAAACAATTTCATGCCCTTTCTTCCAGGTTTCGGTTCTGCGGGCGAATCATTGGGCTGGTGATAATACATCAACACTTGTTAGATGCCTTTTTCACGCGTCCGTTTTACAAAGCTCTACTTAGAAGGTAATGTATCCATTTGTTTAGTGAAATACACAAGTAACATAATTAAGGAAGTACAGAAACACAGCTCGTGTTTTGGCAGACGTTCGTCTTACCGTAGCCTACCGCATAAACTACCATCGAGCATAAAGATACCAGTAGGCAACGAATCTGCCGGGATATATAATGTTTTCTAACTTGGTCGTTTCTTTACTTTATCCCTGAAAGTTTTAAGGTGGTACTTTTTCTTCCTCTTTATGGTGATTTTACTTGTGTTATTTCAGTCTCTGTGACTTGAGTGATGTTGAAGCGATGGACTCACTTTTCCACCAAAGTATGACCTGGGTCATGGAAAATGACATCACGGGAGCGTTGGATTTGTCTTTTACCGTCAGTGAAGAGATCTTCGGAGAGGTAAGATTTTTTTACTCCCGAGACACGTATTACGGGTGGACACAGTCTTCGTAAAGTTGGTGAACTAGAGTACTGTTCAGTAACAGACACCGTCTTCCAGTGCAAATGTTAAGTGAATTCGAAAATAAATAAAGCCCTGTTCGTTAGTTTAGAGCACAAGGAAACCACATACATCATTAAAATTTGAGGTGTGTAAGCTGTTGGAATAGCGTGTGGGTAAGCTCTCCATTTGGGGAAGTCGTGAGAGGTCACGCGAGAGCAGCACGCGTGCGAGGGGCAGGGAAAGAATGGGAAAGCCAGGGCGGGGAAAGCTCTTCTTTCCTCCGCCCCTCGCTCGCTCGCACGTTCTCTCGTGTCTCGCTTCGCTCGCTGTAAATGGAGAGCTTGCTAGCAGGCTAATGTTGGAAGTCAAGTACGAGATGCCAGCGAAAGCATGGCTACTCGAAGCTTAAGTTCTGAGGGTAATTTGACGGTTTATTGTATCAGTGGAAAGTGATTGTGACGGTTGTAATGAAGCCATGACTGAAGCCATGCTTTTCAATTCGCCATGCTAACTGATTCATCATCACGGTCGTAGGTCACCGAGCGTGAGCTGGTTCCAGGCGGTAAGGAAATGGAAGTGACAGAGGAAAATAAACACGAGTATGTTGAGCAGATGGTGAGATGGCGAGTTGAAAGAGGAGTCGCAGAGCAAACAGAGAGTATTGTCAATGGATTTAATGAGGTATTATACTGAAAATGAAGAAATGATCGTCGCAGTGAACACAATTTATGCAATTGCGTAAACTGAGTGTTTGTCCTGTTGAGATGTCCCTCTTATTTGAACCCGTGAAAATAATTGATAACCGGGGCGATGACTCACCAAGGTGTTTGCTTTGAAGCCACTGACGTTGGGAGCAGGTCAATTGTCGGTTCATATTCACCCGTGAAACGAAATGAAATACGTGTTAATGATATATTTGAAATAAATCATATATGAACTGCGGAAATTAAATTCTAAATGAAGAAATGATCCCTTTACAACTCCCGGACGCAATTTAAACCCACATTTGTAAAGAACATAACGTAAAAAAAAAAAACTTTGGACTTCAACGGGGTTTGAACCCATCCGACAGGGAAAGTTAAAACGATGCTCTACCGACTGAGCTATGAAGCCATCACTTCTTAAACGTACTTCTTATTGATACACCCACTTTCAAAGTTTGTGATCGAGGATTTGTTTCATGGTAAAAGTTGCTTGCAGGAAACCTGGAAAGAGGTTGAAATCAGACAAAGCGCGCAATCAAAGCTGTTGTACACTGATATGGACCCCAGTGATAAAGTGTCTTGTTTTTCTGTCTTTAGGTTTTGGATCCTAAGCTGATTAATCTCTTTGATGCACGCGAGTTGGAACTTGTTATCTCTGGCACAGCAGATATCGACATTGAAGACTGGAGAAAGAACACAGAGTATCGGTCAGGTAAGAGACGTTCATGGTACTCCATGTATGTAAACATCGGGTATAACATGTAAGTAAACCGCATACAGGACTATTGAAATGAAAACCCAGTTAGGTGGGATATGATCGTTGGGATGAGTGTAGTCCTGAACAGTACTGTTGTTGACAGTGACTGATGTTTTGACAACCAGGGCGGGGTTGTTGAAAGCTGAGTTAAGATAACCCAAGGTAAGTGCGAAATTTGAATTCAGAATTGAAGCCCTAAAAGGCAGATTCAGTTTAATCTTTTTTTTGTCTACAAATTGATGATTGCTCTGAAAGGAATAAAAAAACTATCCGAGGAAATGTTTTTGAACAAGAGAAAAGGAAACACGAAGTACAATTTAACCCCGTCTTTGTCCTTATCGTCCTCCGGACAACTGGGTGCCCTGTGCTTTAGTCATCCACCTGCAGGCCATGAAATGACTCCAGGGTTTCTAACCATGCACTATGACACTCTAGTTAAATTAAAACCTCGCTAGTTGATAACCGAGGTCCATTCAAGCATGTCTTCTGTTTTAATGTAGGTTACCATGGCAGTCACAAAGTAATAAGATGGTTCTGGAAAGTAGTGAAGTCGTTTGATAACGAGCAGAAGTTAAGACTCTTACAGGTTTGTCAAAGGCCATTTTTAATTTGTAATGTCTTGTATACTTAACTATTGGATGAGGCTGAGTATAATGTGAAGAATAGACCAGGGTGCTTTCCATGTAGGCAAAATTTCTGGCTTGACCGGTCTGAATGCAAATGAAACGCGTGGTTCGACCGGAAATTTTTCGGAACAAACGGACGACCCTCCGAGGTATTCCACTTTTTCCGTTCCAACTGGTTGGGACCGAGAAATTCCGGTTCAATTTGCGCAATTCTCTTTCGGCCGAAGGCTGGCACCTGGACTTTTTTCCGCCTTTTCCAATGTTTGCCGGTGAGCGTTGATCACGGGCTGTCGCAGTTTTTCTTTTCATTTCTTATCGTATCGTTCAAAATGGCATCTGTTCAAAATAGTTGTGAGCTCTGTCCGGGTTCAAATTTCTTGAAACGAAACAGCAACAAACTGCCGCTATTTCCACTATTGGCAAGAAAGCCTTTCCATTTGACCTGGAAGGTTTCCGGAATTTCCAATCGGAAATTTTCCTTAAATGGAAAGCGCCTCGGGCACCATCTTGAGGCTTGAGGTTACAAATTACAGTGATTTTTGAAACTGTCCACCTTAGCACCAAAGCCTGGACCTCGTTTCATTGTGTAATCTGTATGCTTGTTGGATCAGAATACAGCAAAGGTCTATTATACAGATCGAGAAGGTGTTATCTAGTTAAACGGTCTATCCTGTTCCAAGCGTTCAGATAGTGAGAACGAGACAAAGAAAAGTGAGCAGGAAAACACAACGACGGGGTTGGGGTTGGGAGAGTGGGCGAAAGAACCTCCTCCCTACCTCTTCCCTTCTCCCCCCCCCCCCCCCTCTCTTTTTTGTGCCCAACTCTCCATTTCGCGCCACTCTCCACCATCTGAACGCCCGGAACAGGCTAACTGAGGTCGAAGGCCGAAGCAGATAACACCTCCGAGCTCGGAATAATAAGAAGAATTATTCATCATCTCATACGAAAGCCAAAGAAGCTTACCACTTTGTAAAATTCCTTTTTAAAACACGTTTGCCTGCTCCTCAGTAGTCTCAGGATAATATTCTAGTTGGAGTGTAATTTTTGTGTATTCTTGTTGTTTTTGAGGCAGTAGGTGCCTTACTTCATCATCTCATAACGTGCAAAATCTCCCTTCTTTTAATCCAGCTCTTCCTTGCTCGCCCAACAATACAGCCAAGTAACCGCGCCTCTTCTTTGTCAGGGTGGAGTGTCTTAAAATGGCGGAAAGAAGTATTTTCAAACTCAGTATTCATACAGTTCCATAGTTATTCAGTGTTGCGGACTTGTTTACAATTGCTTCCCATTTTCAGATCCCTTTGGGACTTTTCTCTCAAATTTATAAAAGAAAAATAGAAACGGAGAAATATTTTGGATGAATAATGTTCGTATAGCCGTTGTGCAATGTTTCCTTTGCTCCATAACCTTCCCTTTATTTGCTAGTTTGTGCACATCACCAATTAACTAGAGGTGTTGACCTGGGTTTTGATCATGTGGTATGACTAATATTTGTTTGTAAAGAAAATTTAGACATCGGACATGTTATCTGGCAACTATTTGGGTCTCTTCTCTCTTGATGCAGTAAATTCTTTCGTCCATTACTGTGGGCAAACTAAAATGTTTGGATACAATGTTTAGTCGATTTTTCCATTGTGTTTATAGAGACATCCGACTGTTTATTGTTAAGGTTTGTTCCCTCGTCACGTTGAGAGCTTTTCTTACCTTCCTCAAGGTATTTTAAACAACTGTGAACATGTCCGCTCACTGACTAATTATGGAACTGTATGAATACTAAGTTTTAAAATGCTTCGTTCAACCACTTTCAGATATTCCCAACTTTTTTGAAGATATAAAATTTCTTAGCAGCAATGAAGTTCTGCGTATTTTACGGCAACGTTAAGTCTCAATATCGTTTGTCTTTTATCACTTCGGGTTTGAGGATTTCAATCGAAAGTCTTTCAGTATTTCAGGATTAATATTTAGGGTAGGTCGTAATGATAAATAATAATAAAATATTTATATAGCGCTTATACTTTTCAGTGCTAAGCGCTTAGCAATTGAGGCGTCAGTCATGTCATTGTAAGTGGCAAAGCAGGCACCTTACTGTTAAGTGCTGGCAGCAGTCAAAGTGTCTGTAACCATCCTGAATTAAATTCTTAAAGATTTTTTAAAAAAAATAGCAGTCGTATTAGCTTAAGTATAAAATGATTTTTGGCAATAAATCATTGCGTTATATTATATCATATTCAAATAATCCTGATTAGAACTAAAATTCATGGGAAAAAACCGTCGTAGTTTTGCCGTTTACTTAATCATTGCTACAGTGAAGTAGCTGCCCCTGAGAAAGCGAACTTTTAATTCCCTGCCCAGCTTATAGAGCACCTGAGACTATAATGAGTTTATGTTTTTCCTGTCTGCAGTTTGTCACGGGAACCTCCAGTATTCCTTATGAAGGTTTTGCAGCTCTGCGAGGAAGCACAGGACCCAGAAAGTTTTGTATCGAGAGATGGGGAGACTACACAAAGTTACCCAGGTGAGATACTACTACGCTTGACCTGCAGTGCCATACACACATGTAAAAGGGTCGCATGCTTTTGTCAATGAAAGCCAGGTTAAAATTCGTTTCGAAAAAATGTTGCTTATATCTTACACTTTTTGAAAACGTAGCAGTCCAATTTTAATTAGCGACAAAAGTACGGAATAGAAACTCACATTGAAAGTACTTGTGAAGTTTAATTTCACAAAAGTTTCATGATTACGTTTGAGAGCAACGTCAATATTTGCTACGTATATTATAATGCAAGCATTCCTAAACTACGGTCAATGATCATTCTTTTTTGCCTCCTGGGGGACTTTTCATGGTTTGATTTATGAAGCAATATTTAATTTTGTGTTTGTTGACCGTGATAGTGTATTAAACATTGGGTTTTAATATCAAAAGTTACCCTCCCCGGCGCTACGTCAATTACTTATTAAAATGCTGAGTTTTACCTTAATAGCTTAATGCCGCTGATTGCACAACAAATTAAAAAAAGACACTTAGGCGTCAATATTTTGTAACCTGTAGAATATTGGATCAGCACTCTGCGTCAAGCTCCCAGTGAACAAATTCTTCATTTAGTTGTATTGATTGTTAGGCAGTTTATGGCAGCAAAATTAGTATTAATACACCTGATTCTTGGTCTGTCTCAAAAGTAGGGGGGCCTATAAGACCATTAAAAATCCGGAAATTGTTATTTTGTGCTATTAGCCTCTCCCAAAGCGCTCCGCGTGTTGGGTGCTTGGAAGAGGGATTGAAAAAAAAACGTGATAGACCGGTAGGTAGATAGGCAGACAGGCAGACATAAACGTAATTAAACGAACTCTTTTAAGATGGGTCACTAAATCAAGCTCCGTCACCTGTAAGTCGGCTATCACTCTCTTAGTGATTCCGGATGAGTCTCACCTAATTATTAGCAATAAAACCTTGTATATTCGCACATTTTATATTTAGCCTGGGACCAGGCTCCGCACTGGGGGAAAATGGGAGGGGGGGAATCAAAGACCAAAGTGGCTACAAAGGCCTTCTGACTGCTGATAATAAAATACTGTAAAATTAAGCTATCGATCATTCTAGCGCTTTGTGTGTTTTTTTCTAAACAGCTATTTTGCTGCGGCCCATCGACAGTGATTGTTACACCATATTCTTTGTCGTTGTGTTGAACAACCTTTCCAAGAAAAAACCTCTTAAACACACTTTCAAACTTTTATACGGGAATCTGTTTCCTGGTAACTTTGATAAAGTTTCTGTTTAAGGAAGACATAAAAATAATAAACAAAGCTTGTATTTTATTCGGTATTCATAGAGCTAAAGAGTTAAAGCAGCTTGTTAAGGATTAATTGGGGCTACCCACACAGTCTCCATAGTGAAGAACGCTTTATCTTCGGCAAAATTACCTTTTATTGTTATGAAGTTATGATAAAACTTGCTCGAATTTTAGTTATCTTTACTCATGTTCACTTGCGGGTTATTAGACCGTTATGTGTCTCTAGGGATGGCAAGAACAACGCAAAAACCATTGTTAGAAGGCACTGCGGCTCGTGGGGTTAAGTGATCGAAGAGAGTTTGTGTCATAGACATACATGTGCGCATTTCTTATAAAACTACTTTTCTTTGAATTTTCAGGGCTCACACATGTTTCAATCGGCTGGATCTTCCACTTTATCGTTCTTATGAAGAACTACTGGAGAAGCTTACCTTTGCGGTGGAGGAATCAGAAACATTTGCTATGCAATAATCTGACAGTGAAATAACTGAAGAAGTTGTGTATAAACTCTTGTATTTGGTTACTCACCACAAATGGGTTTTCTTAAATATTTCTACAATACTTAGCTTTGCAGTTACGTTTTATTTTGTGGTAACCGGTTTACCGCAGTTTTTGTGCCCTGAATGCGAAACCTCAGAGGGGAAAAAAATAATCTTCTCTGCGCTTAGTTTTATTATCAAAAAGTTTTGTGCGATATTGAAAAGTTAGAATAATTAATTTAAATTGGAGTAATTTAACATTTTCGTGGAGCGAAATGTTACGTTAAAATTAAGATGAATTATTTAAAAAGGTTTCGTTAAAAATCAGATACATGTTTTGTTGCTGGTAGAATGATAACATTTTTTGGACGAATTCGGTGTTAGCGATTCGTTCGTTGTGTAAATAATCTCACATATCTGTCCCTAATTCTCCAAAAAGGAATAGCTTAGTGGATAGACATAACATAAAGAACACAATGATTTTTTTATCCCTTATATGTCCAGAGAGTTCTAAACGTTAAAATTTAAATCCTTATTTCCATCGTGTAAACTTTTGAAAAAGAATGCTGCCAACGAGGTTTTCAGTTTCAAATGGTTGCAGCGTGGTCAGTATTTCGTCACAGAGTAAAAAGTGAGTTCTACTTGACATGAAATGAAAGAGTGAGTGATAAGTTAACTGAATGACGGTTCATGCATTCGCCGTCTTTTGAACGACTTGGCTTAGAATCGAGCCTCTTCCCTTGTGTTATTGTGGTAACTTTAGAGTCGCTTCGGAGAAACCAAAAAGGATATTTTGCTAAGTTTGTTTCTATCTTTGAAGGATCTTTTGAAGCGTAGGAAATGCGTTGACTAAGTATGGGCGAGGTATGGCGTGGACGGAAAAGTGAGATTATTTGAATAAATTTACCTTCTAGCAGATCAGATCAGATATGAATCATAAAAGTATGTTCAAAGAATTCGTTCAAATCGTGGGTAGCTGTCTAGCTTGCTCTTAATAATTTGAGGTTGGAAGTGAGGAATAAACAACATAGCAAGACATACGGCAATTTCACTCTAAAAATATCAAAATCTAAGTGAAGAAACTTCTCTAACCCGCTCACGGTTTCCATTTTGTCGGATATATCCTCGCATACCCCCCCGCCCCCTCCCCCAACATTTGACAAAAGATAGGATCACCTCACTTTTTACAGACTAAAAATGGTTCTCGCAGGGCCACTTGTCTTTTAAAAAGGTGGCCGTTAAAAATATCTCGGCTATGTATATAACTGTCTTAAAGGAATGCGCTTAGTTAGTTTATCTTGAGTTCATAGACGGTGTGTCTTAACTGCGCTATGCCCTATGCGTGCAAATTTATGCACGATGAAATTTATTTAAGGTTTTTTTTTCTCGTAACAAGCGTGAGTGGAAATGTGATTCTCAAAACATTTTCGGCAAAAAAAAGAAGAATGCTGGAAATGTAACAATCATTTTCCTGAACTGGGAGATGTATATCAGAAGAATTAGATGTAGAGACATCGTCACTTAAAAGAGAAAGATCATGAAACCTTTAATTTAGAACTTCTATCACTAACCTGTTCAGTACAATTTTTAACTATCTGAAATTAAAAAAGGTTATAGGATTTTTCTCTTTCTCTATGTTTTGTATTGTATGTTTAAGTACCAATAAAAATGAATTGCTTTTCTTCTGTTTCTCTCCTTGCTTTTCTGTCTTCAGCTTCGTGGAGACGAATTCCTGCATCGATCATGTTTATATAACTGTTTAATATATTATACTGAGCTGGAGAGGTCTCTTTCCATTTTGAATCAAATCCTCAGATTAGAAATGTTATTCACTAGCTGCCATGTAGCTTTGACTGATGGTCAGTGATTGCAAGCGTCAAGTATATCATAGCAGTTTAGCCAAAACATATTTAAAGGATATTCTGAAATCGGTAGCAAAACAGTACTATGTAACAGAAGCAGAAAGGGTGAACATTAAAGTTGTCAAAAGTCTACAACTGCCAAAAATAATTGTTAACAAAAATCGCAAATATAGCGAGAAAAAGTATTTTTAACAAGGCAGACGAAAGTAAAAAAAAAGGCGATTTTAACATTATCCGTTTATGAGCTTAGTATAATGCTGTGAGTAAGTGAGTAAGTAAGTAATCGGTTTGATAACAGGGTTTCCACGTTGCGGCTCTTCATCTGTTACTAACTACAAAAAATGTATCAAAGAGACTTTGCTAAGTCATATACCGTAATTGAGAAGTTTTAATGTGGAACGCAGTAAATAGGGTATGCTTGAAAGAATGATTGGTATGACAACACCGTTTCCCGTTGAAATAATGACTCTTTAGTCGATAACACTAACCCCATCCCGTTTTTGGTATGTAAATACAGTACTTCAAATGGATCTAATGCCAAACATTTCCTAATGACTTAAATCTGGTTATAAAAAATGAGCCACAAGGACTTTGAACTTTTTCGAATGAACTTTCTAGCTGGAATCTCTGGCGGTATCTCTTCAAGTTATCATGCCTTAAAACAAAGGCCGTGGGTATTATGGCGTCCCAGCATGTTAAAAGACTCTCCCTGAGAAACAGACGGTGGAAAACAACACAAAAGTTAACTGTTACCTTGATACAGGGCAAAAGGCTATTTCGCTTGATGTTTTGTAAACCTCGGGTTGCCTCTATTTTCTGAACTTCTCCTGACCGTCATCACCTCGAAGCATGTGGTAAAAATACCGGATATGCGCGTAGACTGTGCAATTACACTTAACAGGTAATGTTTTTCTATTTTGCATGATATTAAAAAATATATATTGCATTTTTCTAAAAAAAAAAAGAAGATAGTTCCGCCCTGAAGAGCCGCAAACCACATAGGAATACAGTTGTTCAGGTTACTCGAAAGGTTTGGTTGCTTGTTGGGTTTAAATAATCATGAATAATATTTCTGTCACTCTTCAAGTTAAAACTAACTACATGATTGGTGCTTTTTGAAGATGAACTTTTCGTTCGTCTTCGTTCCTAGTTTGATTTTGGCAAATGTTTGCTGGGTGACTGTTTATTGTGAAACAGTTTTGTCTGGTTTCAAAAGCATCCTTCCAAAAACTTGCTTTACGAGTTACAACATGTATAGAAGTCATAAGCGAGTCACAACAAGACTTACTGTGATCGCCTGATGAAAGGCGACATTCCTATGCAAGTTCCATACGGGAACTATGGCCGTAAGCGGAAGTGACGATGAAGTGAAGGCGGAGACGTGAATAATTTTCCCATCTGTGATTGGTCGATCAATTAAGCGAGGAAAGAAGTCATCGGCAAAGAGTTATTTTAGCATTCTCCAAGACAGATGGAGTGTGACAGTCTAAATATTTCCAGCTCAGGTCTAGTTCTCTTTGAAATAAGCTACTGACTTTGGATAGCCAACGCTTTCACTTATAGATTTGCGATAAGCGAATAGCGCTTAAGATCGCTTAAAATGGCTCGAACGCCTCGTACCGAAGCTATTGAAAATTTTTTCGACATTTTCGATGAAATCGGCAGGTAAGCTGAAGCTTATATAAAAGTTCACGTTGATCAAGTTTAGTGTCACCATATGAAATACCTGTTCTCTCTTTGGCGAATACCCAACGAAGTAAATCTTTTTTAATTCAGAGGGCAATATGCTGTTGTCAAACGTTGTAAGGAAAAGTCATCTGGAAAGGAGTATGCGGCGAAATTTGTGAGGAAAAGAAGGAAAGGCAAAGACTGCAGAGCAGAAGTTTGGCATGAGGTTGAAGTGCTGAACGCCACAAATACGCCTTATCAACATCCTCAGATAATCACACTGTACGATGTCTTCGAAACCCGGAGCGAAATTATCCTTATCTTAGAACTGTGAGTAAACGGTCGATAATTTTTTTAGCGTTTAATTTATTCAAATGAGAATGTATTGTATTGTGACTTTTAAACCAACAGCGCTCTTGGCGGAGATCTGCATAGACATTGTATAGCTTATGACACAGAGGAACCTTCGTCCAGTAGAAGCGAAAGGGAAGTTGTTTATCTTCTGAGACAAATTTTAGAAGGAGTGAAACATTTGCATGATCAAGACTTCGTACATCTAGATATAAAGGTGAGAATTGTCTGTGTGTTTTGAGACGATATTGTGTTTGAATTGTACATGTTACCGAATGTTTGTTTGGCTTAGCTTCTCGTGAGGGGATGTCGTTACGCTTCAAGCGTTTGCTAAACATCCTTACAGCCTCCCCTTTGTTACAGTACAAATAATATCATTGAACCGAAGGAAATTTTTTATTTATTAACTTGTTTGTTTTCCTTTACCGCTTCTAAATTTTTCTCGTGAGCTTTATTCTAAAAAAACGTACATTTATGTTTAAAGTCTTCCAATACTGACGGCTTTTCATGCTTTTTCATATTGCTCATTCTAATCATTCACGATATTTTAATATTACATGCTTTGATATACCACTTATGATTTCATTTCGTACACATTTCATGAAATTTTTCTTAATGAAAACGATCGTATGCATATAACTTAGACTTCGTTAAACATTTAATGAAAACCTTCTTAATAATGAAGCATCTAATCAAAGAGGGCTTAATTTTTGGCTGCCACAAAATGCAAAGGCTTGAGTAGGGCATTTATTCTGTCGCATATATTTTAAATGCTTTCGGTATCGCCGCCTTGTTAAAAAGATAAAATCATGTACATTTGCGCCATGTCGGCCGGGTATGCGATTTTGATATTTTTCCTATAAGCCAGAATTACCTGTCAGTTACGCCACTATACGACTAAGGAAATTATAATCGTGTATTTCCGACTTCTAAAAGTGGAACAAATACTGTTGGACCTTTTTTAAACGAGAAACAAACGCCGAAATGACCTTAGTTTGGAATTTTAATAAACCATTACACAGAAGCTTAATGATTTATGCCTTTGCGGAGTCTGAATTGGTTCTACTGTGGCCTTAATCAAGTGTGACATGCCATAGCCGGAGTTGATTGCTTTTCAAGCGCCTCAATCCTATTTCTGTAAATAATACCATGTAGGGAGTTTTGAAGTGATATGTGCAGATTATTACAAAAATGTTGAGTACAAGAGAAAATTCCATTTTTCCCATGAAGATACACGTAAGATTTACTGTATATTGAAATCACTTTAAAGTTCCTTAAAATAGAAAGATCATCCATATTTTAAAAAAGTGTCAGTAAATCCGTGTTAATTTCATACCCTTCCCAAATTGTTTTCACAAACATAATTGCCAGAATTTTTTCCGTCATAACACAATCCAGCCCTGTCAGTAAAGTTACCCATATATGGCATTCCTGAAATAGACATACTATCAACTTTCTTTGGGGTACTCATGCTTTGGAGTTTATTTTAATGATGAATGTTCTGTTTATAACAACCACAAGAGTCTAGTATCTTTCATTAGCCTCTTCTCTTCGAAATTCCATGGATACCTAGCTAGCAGTTCCTTCTTTATGCTCAGTGGGAACATAGACATGCTAATGTAAAGCGTGTCTCTTTTCTGTGGATTTACCTTGTTAATTTTGTGTGTTCATTTCCTAACTGCTCCAATTGATAATGTCTTTGCACAGCCCTGCCCCCCCATCCCCCCCCCAACACACACACAGAGTAAATAAATATGTCTGGTTCAAGTCAGCCCTTTTTAATTTTTGCATAAATTTCAAGCTTTAAGAAAATTTTTTGGTCTTTACATTAATTTTGTGTCAAACCAAATTGGTGACAGTAGCACTTGTAAAAAAACCCAGGCTTTACACTTTTTTTTCGAAAGTAGCCAATGATAAAAACTCTCTGGAAAGAAAAACACATGAAACCACTTGAATAACCTATCACTAACCTTACTCTATAAATTGTAATCAAAATTTTTTATTCCATTAAATTGGCATATATATACCTGTGGGTAAATTTACTATAAATGAAAAAATTAACTTTTTGTCAGGCATGATATTTTTCTAATAACTATTTTTAGTACTCTAAAGGTCTAGATAGTATTAAGCTAGTGTAATTTTTTTAAGTAGAAATAACATGTGCCTTCAGACACTTTAAGCCTTCCTTTGCTATTAGTTCTAAATAAAATTGTTCAATGTGATCAGTCAAGTGAAATCTTAGATATTTCAGATAGTATGAAATTTAAACTAATTTTTATCATTTAAATGCTGTAAAATTCCAAAAATAAGCCACTCCAAAATAGGCCCCCCAATCCGGTAAAACAAAAAACCCTCCGTTAAATCGCCCCACCAATTATAAGCGCCCTGGGGGCTTTTACGTGGAAAATTGCTCTCAAGTACAAAGTAAAACAACGCAGACCTGGTAAATTTCCTTCCAACTATAAAGCTAGCCCAATCGATTTTGAAACGCAAATTTCCTTCCGTAGATAAGCCTCTCCGAATATAAGCCCCTCCAAAAATAAGCCCCTAAAAAAGGGACTTTGAAAAATATAAGCCACGGGGCTTATTTTCGGAATTTTACGGTAACTCATTTTTATCATTTCATTTTTTTTCTCCCAAGCCAAACAATATTCTGCTAATGACTGAACATGCCTATCCTGAAATCAAGATCATAGATTTTGGTCTGGCTCGAAAGATCAAAGATGGTGAACAAATATGTTTAATTGTTGGAACACCAGAGTATGTTGGTAAGGTCTATATTTTATGTAAACTCATGGATGTTATTATGTAGTGTATCCAACTAGTTAATGTACGGACTGTGTGTCACAAATGTGTGGTTCCAGGATTGAGGAGAGACCACTATATTTGCAGGCTACTGTGGGGGAACTTGCGCATTTTTTCTGTCACTGCGGCAGGTTCTGTGAAATGTCCTAGAGCCGAGGCCTGAGGAAAGACAACTATTACCCCCACGAATTTTGCATTCCAGGGGCTGCCTGTCAGACCCTTCATCTCCTGGAATTTCCGTGATTTTGCCACTTTATTGGGTACCTCCTGAAAGGAATATATCTAGAAATTTGTTGCACTGTACATCTATCTGAAAGGTATCCATGTTTCTCCAGTAAACTGAAAAAAAGTATTGCTGTTCATGTTAATACAGTGTCTAACAGCAAATATGTCATCCCTCGAACTCCTTAATTTTGTCTACTTATATGGATGTGGGAAAGCAACGCTCATATATAATTTGTTGAGGTCTTTCTTAGCTAATAAAGGTAAGTCACTGAGATTCATGGGGGCAATACCTTACACTTCACGAACGATCGGCCATGCAGAGCCGATGAACTATGGCGTATAGCTTTGAAAAAAGGATTTAGCCAACCATGAATAAAAGATCATCAATGACAACAGTAATCCTTCTTTTGAAACAGTGTTTAAAAGTAAAATAACTGATAGCAGGTTCAACAGAGCAGCTGTTAGTTTTGATTAACTCAGCATAATCCTATTTAGAACCCTGGAAAAAAGACTTTAAGAAACCACCCCCCACCCCCACCCCCTCAAAAACTGCCTCATTTTGGACCCCATCTGGCCCCAGAATCATCAGTGCAGTAGGTATTAGAGTATTTTGTCTCATTAAAATTGTACTCTTTAGAAAGAGTGCTGAATCAAGTTGCTTTTCTTTACCTCCAGCTCCTGAAATCCTTGAATTTGAGCCTGTGGGAAAGCCAAGTGATATTTGGTAAGCTGAAAGACTTAAGTTGCAGTTTTGGGATAGCTAACTCTGTTTATAGATTCAAAACCTACAGTGATGACAAGAATTTGCCTGTCAGCAAAATTTTGATGGGTGCTTCCTTAAATGCCAGGCCAAAATTTACTCTTTTTATTATTATCAAACCAGTGGATTACGAACAAAGAATTAAAATTGAACATGACATTCAGGGTATAATATATTTTATTATGGCCAAAAGAACATGGTTATAAACTATTCTAACTTTTAGGACTAAGTGGCCATATTAGTTGAGGCTTTACTGTATCAATAAATTTCCAGCCATCCACCACATACATTTTTATAGTACAGTGCATATTTCCCACATAGTAAAATCTAAACATGGGAGTGGTACGTCAAGTAAATTTCAGTCAACTCTGATAAATGTTGCTGTTGTGCATCAGCTACAGTGAGAATAATTAGTGCCAATTAAATTAACTAGTCTTGATTTTCTTTCAGGAGTATTGGAGTCGTTGCCTATGTGATGTAAGTGCTTTCTATCCTTTCCATCAGTTATCTTTCAAAAATTTAGTTTTAACCCATTTATATCCATTAGGGTTTTAGAATACTGGGAAACAGAATGAACAGAACCGTGCAGCTAGAGTAATTTTAAAGCCCAACTATGGGACTAGCTCGAGCCTGCTTCTTGATATACTCAAATGGGACAAATTAGTTATAAGGAGAAAGAAGCATAAAGCAATAATGATGTTTAAATCTCTAAATGAACAAGCTCCAGTGTACTTGCAGAACCTATTTCACGAACGAAGCACAGACTATGATTTGCGCAATTCCTTTCATAAATTGACATTGCCCAGGCCGCGTACTAACTACTTGAAACGAAGTTTCAGTTACAGTGGTGCTTTGTTGTGGAACTCTTTACCCGAAAATGTGAGAGAAATTAAATCAGTCAGGAAATTTAAAGAGCAAATCAAACATGTATTTGAGTCGTCGGACTCTCACTCGGCAGTCTTGTAAAACAGTATGTCGATAGTTTTTAGTCTAATTAATTGTGATTAGATTTTTACTCTATTATTACTGAAGATTTTACCGAGTTTTAAATAAAGAATCTACCTACCTACCTACCTAAGACAACAAACACAAATTGTTCTATGGTATCATGGCCAGTAGGGTTGGGAAGGGTTGATAAGCATTACTTGAGTGCGTTACTTGATAAATGAAAAAAAGTATGGAAAGCGAAGAGCTTAGATCCCCGGTCTCTCCCTTGTTTTAAAAAAGTGGCGAAGGCTCCAAGGCACTAGAAAACAAAGGTTACTGTAGATTGTCTCAAACAGTTTTGTGCTGCCGTCTAATGGTTATAACTTCCCTGTATTTGTGATTTGAAAATACTTATTACCTGTGTAGTTACTTTTTTACTTTGTACCTTGATTTAATCATTTGAAAGTGGTGGAGATGATGGTTTCAATAAGAAATATTTGAATAAGTGTAACTAAGGTATGTACAGTTTAATCCCTGTGATATCATTTTATTTAGGCTAACTGGACTGTCACCATTTGCTGGAGAGGACAAGCAAGAAACCTGCTACAACGTCTCCTTAGGTGCATTAGATTTTCCAGAGGAATACTTTAAGAATATATCCCACACCGCTCAGGATTTTATTAAAAGGCTTCTACAACGAGATGCTGAGTATGTCAGTTATTAATAGTACTTAACAATAACAGTTTATGTTTTTATTGGCTTTTTCAATCCCTTTTTTTGTTAATATAGCCTTAACTTATGTTCAGTAGTGTAAATTACAAACATGATGTACTTATATTTGCAGTGACAGACTCTCAGTTCAGGAATGTCTAAGTCACCCTTGGCTTAACACTGAAGAATTATTCCAACGAAGCCCTGTAAGAAAAAGTCGGCGTTCTTATGGTTCAGAACAAAAACAAAAGAGAAAAAAGCTTAAAAAGCTGCAGCATCAAAATGGGCTAGTTGATGGTGAGTGTTACTGTATTCAGTGTTTACTTACATGCCTTTTTCGGTTGGTCAAAATTTCTTCTCATAAATGATTGTTGAAAGCATTAATTTCACATAACATCAAATCTAACTGAAGAGCTTCCTGGAATTGGCCTCAGGTAGCTCTAAATAAACTACTACAGTATTTGTTGCTTATCCTTCCAAGTTATCTTGTGTGTTATATTATATTGTCACTTTGAGTTCTGATTTATGCAGCATGTAGCAGTCTTTCATTTTGTGATAGTAGCAATTAATGATCCTTTAAATCATGTACGGACTGTTTAACTCTGTCAACTTACTACTCAATGATAATTCATTTTGGCTGATGAAAAAGTTGTCATATTTAGTAATATATAAATTTTGTTTCAGGGAATTTGATAACTGTTGTGAATGGCATTGGGGATTCAAGATGAGGACGTGTGTCACTGTTCCACTTGATCATTACTGTGCAGACTTCTCATTCTTGAACTAGTTCTGGAATCCGTATTGTAGAAGATGATTAATTTATTTTCTGCAATTGTATAGTTTGTTCATATAAGGTTGTAAATCTTAGTGTTTGGCTGGCCACACAACCAGCTATATTATGCAGTGGTCATTATATATAAATCGTGATTCAGTTTTGTCATTGATTTAAATTTTATTTTCCTTTGTGTTTGGTGTGGTAATACTTTAATAATTTATTGGCCAGGACAAAAGAAAGTAAAATTTACACTAAGATAAAAATTGAACCACTAAAAAATTACTGTAAGAGATGTCAGTTTTTAAATTATATTGATAGAAATAGGGAACTATACAAATATGCCTTCTTGACGGAATTAATTGAAGTCTGTTCCTTTTTTCTTTATAAGTGGAGCAGATGTTAACTAGTTTTCTTTATGGTGGCCTGTTTAAAAGGCTGATCAAGAATTTAATACCTAGTTGACTTATTTTTCCTTTATGACTATTTAGCTCAATATTGCCTGTATTCTTTCTAATGACATTCAGTTCACTCAAAACTTCTACCCTCAAGAACTTTTATCCTTTGCTTCTGTTCAGTCAGAGCAGTCATGAAAACCAGATGAAATAGAATAACTTATGATGTATTTGTAACGCTTTATTAGTGTTTTTGGCAATTCTATCTGAAATGTGTAATTTCCTCCAGGCCCATGGTTACTTTATCCATGAGGTGGAAAACCTGAAAAAGCAAAAACAGACTTAGTTTGATGGTTAAGTTGCCGACTAACACTGTAGAAATTAATGTAAAGCCTTGATAGTGACTGAGCACCTTATTTATCCTTATAATAGTGGCATGAATACTTGCAGTTTAATGGAAATTTGAATCAATCGATCATGTTATTGCTGTTATTGATCCACTGAATCTGATACATCAACCGCAGAAGAACATGATACAGAAAGCAATGTAAACTGCAAGAGCGATGTAATCCTCGTTCACGTTTTTAGTAATATATTGTGCTGGTCTTCTTTCAAGTAAAGGTGATCAGGAAATCTGCTCAATTAAGGGGGCTTGGTCAAGATTTGTTAGGCGATAATGGTCACAGAATTAGCTGCAGTGTAAAAAACAAACAAACAAATGTTTCAAAAAGTACAAAAACAATATAGAAAAATATAGAAAAGTAGCACGAAAGGGAAAATTGAACAAGACAAGAGTGGATTGCCTTCCAGGTTAAACTTGAAAAACAGTGACACCAGCAAATATTTTTCCAACGATATTCCCAGACCAAGCCCTTTTCACAGTTTTGAATAACAAACCTCTAGAAGATTAGCAAAAGTTAAATTGGATTTGAACACAACTTTGGAAAGTGGAGCCAATTTATTATGCCTGCTAAGCCATAAGACTGTATCTACACCGGGCCATATTATTATGTCAATTACTTTATTACTTTACTTGAGCAAATTAATGTATGATATTATTATTTCATATATTTGTACGTTTTTGTTGTACAAAGGAAAGACAAAGTCAGCTTATTTTTTATCATCCAATTTATGTGCCAACCTTACAGAGAATGATTTATTGATTACCTTATAATGAAAAAACAAGCAAACAAGCATTTTTTTTCTGTTTTAATTTTTGCTGTACGAAACAGCATTAAAGAAATCGAATATAGTTTACAAAGAAGGAAGAGCAGTGTTAGCCAACTCGTGGATCAGTACAGCAGGTAGAGTGGCTACAATGTAGCAAGGATATTTATTTGTTTTTTTGAACATCGCATTTTGATAAGTGCCAGATTTTATTTTGTATTTTGTTTTTCATAGTGAACATAATAAACAAATTTCTTTGAAGTGATCATTGTGTTTGTTTTATTTATCCAGTACTACACCCAGTAGCATCTTTGATTATATAACTTCACTTTACATTGCGCACGCTCCTGAGTAGACTTTCTCAAAGCTCGTTCCCGGTTTCTGCTGCGACTTCGTCGCCGCCAGGGGGGCGGGGTTACTTCCTTACAAGAGGCAAATGAGGATGTGCCGCTGAATGGGGTCGCATTTTCACGACTGGATTGGCTCTAATGGGGTCGCATTTTCAATAGAGTTACTAGAATGAGGTCGCGCAGCGGTACTTACCAGCAAAAGTTAACCCAAGTACCTATCCGACCTTTGATTAGAGGGGCGGTGATTGTTCGAGGCATCAATCCGGTCAGTTCGTCGGAAGGCATGAAGATCGTTCTGCAACAATGTCCGGGAGTATCTACGTTGTTCAAAAAAGGACACCATATGACTACCCTTTTCCTGGAAATCTGAGTCTTCAGAACAAAGACGGCGAAGTCGCTAGAGTCGACTGCGAGGGAGACCTGTTTTGCAATGACTAGGGTGTGGGGACTAATAATGAAGGGAGGTGTGGGTGTCGGTTTCCTAGTACTGAATAGAAGTGCTGATGTGATCATCAATAACGCGTAGCGGGATGTGTGATGTCGAGGAAGGAGAGCTTGTTGTCGGAGATTGTGTGTAAATAGAAGAGAGGCTAGATACAAAGTGAATATAGTCTCTGGTTCCACGCGGCAACCTGGTGGAGACGGCTACCACATGCGACTCCGATGACATCATTGTAACCATGTGTAGTTGAGGTGCAAAACCGTGGTATTGGCTTGCTCATGCTCATGCTCATTGATCATGGACTGCACGATGCAAGCTGATGACAATAAAATTTGCACCATACCTAAACATCCGCAATGCGATAAACTACAAAATTGATACTTGTGAAAGAGACAAAAATAGAGTACTGTTGCTAACCAACAAGTTCCTTCAGTCTTTGTCAGACTATAGTTCCTGTTTTCGAGAGTTTTTACCTGAAACCCAACACTGCTGAGCACAGAATTTAGGAATAGAATATTCTGGCTGGACAGATCTGATTAAAAGCGGAAATTTCTTTATAGCAGTGTGCTGTTCCCTTCTGAATAATGGAAAGCTACGGAGGTACACATAAGCGATATCTGTAAGTCTGCCCACCTTTCCATCAGAAACATTGGGAATACAAGACACTAATTAAGACCACGTACTTTAGTAGAGCGAACGCCTTCTTCATGCCCTCATTTCCTCGCATTATTGAAAATTACAAATACTTGTTCTATAATTATAACTACTACAAACGCGTTGTGATAATTGTGCCCTCCTATCCTATCTCATCGATAAACTGCAGCTAATTTTAAACTGAGCCAATATCGCTGCTAAACAAGCGGGCCATGAAATTCACTTCGCTACGAGCACAAACACCACAGTACCGCAAATGATCCCCAACCGCAAATGATCCCGAGACCGCAAATGATCCCCAAAATGGACCGCAAATGATCCTCGACCGCAAGTGATCCCCAAAGTCGACCGCAAATGATCCCGAAAGAAAAATAGGAATGACTTGGACTGAAGTTAGCGGATCATAGTGTCGATTTTATTATTATTACAATAAGTCAGATTAAAAGCTAAATTTTACTTCTAAAATAGATATATGAATAAAAACAAAATGAAAAAATCATTCAAGTGTGAAAACGAAGCCGGTAGGCAACACACGACTTTTACTTCAAGCTAAAATGCTGCTTGTTCCAATGACTTTTTTCCGGCTCTGGCGGGTAGATTATACCTCTGAAGAAAACGTTTTGACTGAGCAAATATGATTTTTGCCGCCTTTTTCATACTGAGAGGTCATGACACGCATTTCCTGCAGTTATTGTTGTTTCTGGTCCGCATGATTTGCCCTTTGATGCAAGAGCATTTCCTTTGACCTCTTTTGAAATGCAGTCAGCTCTTCATTGCCGCTAAAAAAGGGTTTTAGGTTGTTTAATTTTCTCCAAAGTGCCTCCTGGATCCGAATAATCATAAGCGATTTTCTTTTAGTCCGTGAATGTGACGGTTTCCTACGATGTTTTGTCACGCGATAACCACCGCATACCTGTCTTTGCGTTTCTCATTACCAGCTTTAGATTCCTGGTAACTGTCTTCAGCAAAAGCACAACAAATGAATATACATAAAAGCGCCAATATAACTATTCACAACACGTTCATGAGCGGTTGCTATTTCGAAATAAATCGAAACCTGCGGACATCATAAGTTCGGGGGCATTTTGACTTGTTTTTATGTTAAATCATGTCTTGTTTCGTAACGGGCACCTAAGTTACGAACAAATGTCTTGCTGTTTATCACGTAAAATTAACACTTCAGAGAAAAATCAAAATTAAATATTCTGGTCAATAAAGGTCTTGTCATGTAGAAGGTGCCCGGCTTTGTATTCCTCAGTAGAAAAGTTTACCTTCTAGGCGTTAAAATAATAGAGTTTTTTCCGCGTAACGTCCTGCCTGTCTTAAATTTATCAAAAGACGAAACATGCTTGAAAGAAAATTGAAGCAATCGACAAAGGTAGAAGTATACGGTTAATACCATACCTTTTCAGATTTATTCCATTTTTTTTTTCGCCTTGTATAAATTGACCTGAGAAGTAGCGTCCTCCTTCCCTTTTTCTTGAAAAGGCGAGAGAAAAAGGTTTTTTTTTTATAATCAGTTCTTTTTTGCCGG